CAACTACTTCGATGGAATCCGGGAGTGGAATGACTTTGGTTTGCTTTGCTTCCATGAATTTTTCAAATAAACACAAGTAATTTCTTGGAATCTTGTTCTTAGTCTAGCCACTGTACAAATCCGAACAGATTTAAGATTTCAAAACTTTCAAGACGAGAACATAGTTTTTAAGTTTAAAACCGTACAAAGCCTTAGTGCCTCGATCATATAAGGGTGTTAAGAAAAGGAAAAATATGTTAGGTGGTTGGGTGCGCGTTAAAAGTTAAAAGTTAAAATCTTTGATGAATAGGTACCGTAACCTAAAAAGTTTCCTAGCTTAAAAGTGTTAAACTAATAAACGTTTGAACTTTCCATCAAGAGCGTTCTTTGTGACAAACTAAAGCGATTCGGAAGATTTTAGATGGGCATAGAAACTTTCTAATGCTGTAGGCAATTTTGACAATTGATTAAGAACGGATTTTCCTGTTTGTCAAGTCAGCTCGTGAGTTGAAAGAATTGGCGAAAATTCAGCATTTTATTAGATTGAATAATGTCACGGTGTAAAGAAAATAATGCGCGCTTCGAATTTTCTGGTGCTGGAATTGTGCTTTGAATGCGCTTCGAATTTTCCCAATGTTTGCTTACGTAATGTTTTGAACAAAAATAAACTCACTAGTTTTATAATAACTTCCCTTGTCACTTCGCTAGTGGTCTTTACTGCTACGCAGAAGATGGGAAGAAGTTATCGATATGAATGGAGAATACGTTACCAATTGATCTTTGCTGGTTTGAGTTTTTTTTCAATGAATAGTTTTGATCAAAAACGTGCATTATTTTCTTTACACCCTGACACTTCCATTACTATTTTCTTTGATGCAAATAAAAGGTTTAAAATAAACAACAATAAAAACTGAAAGAATGGCTCTAAATCAAGCACGGCCAAAAGTTAGAACGTTTAATTTGTGGTGCGTTTCTTAAAAAGCATCATTTTATCCTTCACTCAACTCAAACAATCGGCTTCTCGCGAACATTACAGAACAATTTCCCATCAATGCCGTGGCCGATGATGAGCTGCTCCTCGGTGTGTCCTTTCTTGAGCATTCGCTTCCTCGCCGCGTGTTTCTCATCCCAAAAACATTGCTGGAAGAGGAACGGATAGACGAGTGGCAGTACTCCACCCGAAGGAATCGTGCTCTTCGCGAGTAACCTCGACAATTCCTCATCATTTCGAATCGACAACTGCAGGTGCCGGGGCAGAATTCGACGTTTCTCCGCGTCTCGCGATACGTTTCCCGACAATTCCAACAACTGGAAAAACTTTCTATTAAAATAATCGAGATAATTGGTTCAAGATTTGGTATTTATTCCTTTTCTATAAGATCGCGAGCAGTTCTTTAGCTTCTGGCCGATCTTTACGTTTCAGGTTCTCGTCAAAAATGCGCCTGACTTTGAATTTCTCACTTGGTCTAGGTATTTCTGTGTATGCACACTCAATAAGTATGGGGAAAAGCAAAGAAAACAAATATAAGATGCTCACCTCAGCAGTCATATACTCCAGAACGGCTGCCAAATAGACCGCAGCACCGGCACCAATTCGGAGCTTCGGATTTCTCTAAAGCTCTCTAAAGCTCTCTAAAGCTCATCAGTTTTGTGTGTTTCATTTGAACTGAGACTAGCCTAACAGCTATTGCCAATAGACAAAAGTTAAGTTGATTGATCAATTTAACCAAAAAAACGATCTCAACCGGAAAGAACAAAGTGTCTAAAAACAAAATTCAGAAATATTATCCCGTTTCTATCGCCAACCTTTCGCAAATATCGCCCACAACGACTGACAGGAAACGTTAATCCGGCTCTCATGGGTCGCGATTGTCGAGTCGTTTTCTTCTTGGCTTTTTTGGCCAATCTTCCTCCTCTTCCTCCTGGTGGCATCACAGAAAATAGATGAAAATGTTTAACAGAATCAAAAGCTGTTGAATAATGGATATCAATCGAATGTTCCTTTAGAAATAGAGCTAGAAGAATCCAGCTTTTTATCGAAGAAAAAGCTAAAAAAAGTCGGGTATTTTCCCGTCGAATCCTGTCAAATTGGCTGGGAAAAAGGGGGAAAAGGATGGTGACTCATTCGGCTTTTCCTAGAAGTTTTCTTAATAATAAGCCTTTTTTGCGGGAAAAAGCAGGAGAAATGGAAAAGAACAGCCACCAGCTAAGTGTGTAGTTGGTAATAAATATGTATGCTTGAAGAAGTCCGAGAGTACCTGTGAAAGCTGTTAAACCAAACGAGTCAAAGCCGAGACGCATTTCTCAGAAATTAGCACACAAAACGGTCAAATATTCATTTAAAAAGCTTAGTTTGCATATTAATTTTAAATAAAAACAACTTTTTTGAATTTTTATTCTTTCCATCTGCAAAGTTTATCGAAAAGTTATTAAAAACAAGGATTAGGTCGGTCGGACTGCAAATGGTTGGCTTTTCTTTCTTTTTTTTACGAACTTTTGCCTAATTTTTGGGAATTTTTACAAAGGAATTTTAACTATTTCTATGCTTGGAATTTATCGAACTTTAGAAATAATTCTATCCTTTTAATTAAGCCTAAAACTTGTTTTTAATAACTTTCCGATGATGTGTTACTCTTTTCTAAAAAGCTTGTGATAGAGGAAACGAAGGAAACGAAGTTCATTCACTATTCATCGTTCATTCATCGTTCATTACTCATTCATCGTTCATTCATCAATACTTTATAGCACTTTTCCTACCATTCTATTGGGTTGGGGAGAATGAGTCGGCGCCGAAAATCAAAAAAATGTCTAAAACTTCTATTCGACTTCGTCAAATAATATGCGTTTGATATCAGTAGAATGGTTAACCAATTCTCTACAAAATGACATTTAAAAGAAAATTCAAACAGCGCCTCCGCTCAAGAAAAAGCCATTTTTTCACAAAAACTACAAACTGTGATCTAGAAAAAACCATTGGTGGGATCTTCCTGCAAATTTGGCAACTTAAGTAATTGAATGTGCTCTATCTTTTTTATATAAACACCAAAGAAGGTTTATGTGAAAGAAACTGTTCAAATGATGAGTCGGACTCTTTGCCATTTTAACCAGCTGCGTTTCGAAGTTCATAAACTCCACGAAAGAAAAGCTTTGTGGAATCTCTCAAAAGTGATTTTGTAGAGAAATAGTGGATCCTTTTGATGAAACCAAACCGTATGTTTAAAGAAGGCTTTATGTGTGCAAAAAGTCCCTTTAAAGTTTGGCGCCGACTCATTCTCCCCAACCCAATATTTTGGAGTCAAAAGCTTGCGCTAAGGCACATCAATTGATAGGATTATAAGGTTTCTGAAGAAGAGTTCGGATGAAATTCTTACAAGTGTGATCGAGAAAGCCTAACCTGGTTGTGACAGGTTGGCTGTTTGGAAAGGCGTCAACGCCTTTCCAAACATCAGGCTTGGGCCTGGCTTTTTAAGGACGTGGACCTGATTAGCTGGATCTAGGAGCCAGTTTGAACATTAGCCAACCTGTCACAACCAGGTTCGAGGTGAGACGGGCACACCTAGACTGGTGGTCTGGTCCAAAGTTTTATATCATTTGTGGCGATTGAGGGAATGTATTGCGGGAAATGGTGGACATTTCAAAATGATTTTTATTGACATTGAAACATCAACTAACAAAAAGGTGCTCACCACACGATTCCCCCATATTTGATAGCGGACAGAGGCGGCATTTAATCCGCTTCATTTCTGCAAATTTCTTCCAGATTCAATGAGCTCAAAGTGTCAACATTTCTCAAATTTGCCTTAGTTTTCAAATTTTTCGAAAACTATTGTCCAGCTCATCTAACTATTACGATGAAAACGTTGATTGACGTGGTCGACGGGAAAGTTTTTCTCCATGAAAATCTTCTCGATCATTTATGCGAACAGATCGGAAAGCGAGAGGTAATTTAATCACATTTTCAATTTCAACAATAACAATGGTAAAGTAGAAATGAAAATATTTACTAGCATTCGTTTTTTTTCAGGTGGCAATCGTTTCAACTGCCGGTAAATTTCGACAGGGGAAATCTTTTTTGAACAACGTTTTTCTGAAGGGACTTCGTTGTGGACGGGCCGATTTCGAGAGAGACGAAATGATTGAGTGAGAAAAATCTTTCGAAAAAAGAATTTTTAGATATTAAATTCCAAAACAAATAAGTATTGGGTTTGTGAATTGAAAACTGCGGGCTCTTGGTATATGTCACAGTTTGAGAACTTTCTTTTAGCCATAAGTTCCTTATTGATATCATTTTGTGGCTATATTAAGTAAAAACTCTGCTCCAGAAGGGCATTACTATTGGGTTGGTGAATTGAAAACTGCTGGCTATTGTCATAGGTGACAGTTTGAGCACTTTCTTCAAAAGGAACCCATTTTGGTGTCAATGGAAAAGTTGTAGAGAATCAAAAATCAAGCTTATAGCCAAATTTTCAGAACGATTCAAAAACTGGTTTTCAAGAAATGCGAAATTTACGAATTTTCCCAAAACTTGCATTTTAAGCGAAACTACTAAGTGTATCTTTTTGGAAATTTGGCTATAAGCCTAATTTTTGATTCTCTACAACTTTTCTATTGACACCAAAATGGGTTTCTTTTGAAGAAAGTGCTCAAACTGGGACATCTCCAGTCTTTCATTTTTGAGTCTCACACTTGTCTCACACACAAACCAAAATCCTACTACGAAAGAGGAATCCGCAAATTACCTGTAAAATGGGCAGAAGTCGTCAATAATAATGGAAATTATTTGGAATGAATCCATGATTTTATGTTGAATAAATCTTAATTCAAAGCCCCGCAGTTTTCAATTCACCAACCCAATAATGTAAATAAAATTGTAATATAAAAACAAAACAAACAAAAAAATAAAGTAGAAAATTTCAAGTGGACCTTCTGCTTTTTCGTTCAAATGTTTTCAAGAAAAGCGCACGCGGGGAGTGATGGTTCATCCGGAAGTTTTTTTCAGGAAAAACAAGAATGAGAGTAAAATGGTGAATAGAATCGAAGATGCTTTTCCTATAACGGGGGGAGGGGGATTTTTTTTCTCCGCACCTTATTTAGATTGTCATTTAAAGTGAACAACATATTTCAAAAACTTGCTTTCCAGAAACGACCAGCTTTCCCAGTTCAACTGCCGTCAGCCAAAAAAAACTCGCAAGCCAGACAAAACACGGGTCAACGAAAGGTGGGAGCGAGGAAAGAGGGAAAATGTGTTTCATTGGCCTGTGTTTCATCTGGCTTGCGAGTTTCTTTTTTGGCCGACGGCAGTTGAACTGGAAAACCACGTGATGCGCCGGGCTCATATCCTCTTATCCGCGAACACGAATACGAATAATACGGACACACGGAGGGGGTGTGGCGTCTCAACTTGGTACGCGGTGTGGATCCGTTTGATCGACAATTCACACCACGCTTTTTTTCCCCCCCCGGCCCCCCCCCTGGAAAAATTGCCTTTTACCAATGCTTATTGGTAAAAGGCAATTGATCCAGCGGGAGTACCAGGTGGCCAAAAAGCCTTGATGTCTTCTAGAATTGCATCAAACGGATCCACACCGCATCATGTTTGAGTGAAATAAAACGTAGAATTTACTTTTTTGAGTCTAAATAAGGTGTAAAGATAAAAATTCTCCCCCGCCCGTTATAGGGAAAGTAATCGAATATTTGAATCGAAAATTTGCATATCCCATTTTGTAGCTTTCCGTGCTTTTAATCGAAACTCAAGGAATTCACGATCTGGAAAGCTCATCCGAAGATTCTTCCATCATTTTCGCTCTCTCGCTGCTCATTTCATCAGCAAAAGTTGTCTGCTTTTATCATTTTCGTTTATGAAAAGAAATTCCAGATTTACAATACTCTTCAATATCTCAGCACTTCAGAAATCGATGAGTTGAATGCATTGTTTGCGTTTAGTCAAATGAAGGACGGCAATGCAAAATTGGGACAGGTAGGTGCATGTTGCATCTAAAAAATGTTATCTAAAAAAAGTTATTGCAATGATAAAATGTTCTAAAACTTCTGCTAAAGGAACTTTTCAAAGCCAATCAAAAAAATTTAGAATTTTTTGCTCCTTTTGCGAGACACCGTCGGAAAAACGGGAATCGAAGGTGGAAAGGAATATTTAGAACATTTGAAGGTTGCATTCACGAGTTCGAGAGAAACACAATTTTTGATTAAGGAAAATGTGCAAAATAACAATGGAACGAATAAATTTGTGGAGTGCCTCGATGAGTGCTTTGATCGGGTCGATTGTTTTCGTGTACCTCGGCCATCTCGACTGGTGATGGACGGAGTGGATGGAGGGATGAAAGCCGAACGTTCGTGAAAGTTTTTCATTACTTCTAGACAAATCGTACGGTACATTAGGAAAAATCTCTAAAACGCTGACTGTAAAATGTGAAAATCAAAGATTAGACTCAAAATTGATAAGCCTTGTAAAACTTTGTTTTATCGTGTTTATAAGGCCTTAGAAAATCTTCGATCTTAGAAAAGGCCCGAGTTTTCAAGCGTCAAGCGTTGAAGCGTCAATTCAAGCGTTGAAGCCTCAATTCAAGCGTTGAAGCCTCAATTCAAGCGTTGAAGCGTCAATTCAAGCGTTGAAGCGTCAATTCAAGCGTTGAAGCGTCAATTCAAGCGTTGAAGCCTCAATTCAAGCGTTGAAGCCTCAATTCAAGCGTTGAAGCCTCAATTCAAGCGTTGAAGCCTCAATTCAAGCGTTGAAGCCTCAATTAAAGCGTTGAAGCCTCAATTCAAGCGTTGAAGCCTCAATTCAAGCGTTGAAGCCTCAATTCAAGCGTTGAAGCCTCAATTCAAGCGTTGAAGCCTCAATTCAAGCGTTGAAGCCTCAATTCAAGCGTTGAAGCCTCAATTCAAGCGTTGAAGCCTCAATTCAAGCGTTGAAGCCTCAATTCAAGCGTTGAAGCCTCAATTCAAGCGTTGAAGCCTCAATTCAAGCGTTGAAGCCTCAATTCAAGCGTTGAAGCCTCAATTCAAGCGTTGAAGCCTCAATTCAAGCGTTGAAGCCTCAATTCAAGCGTTGAAGCCTCAATTCAAGCGTTGAATTTTAGTCTGACTTGGTATATGTCTGATCGCTTTATCAAAGTTCCTTTTAGAATGCGGTGAAGAGTTTCTTCGAACGATAAGCGAATGTGCAAATTTTGTCCTCGAAACGCTAACCGCCAAAATGGTGGGAAACGATTGTCTCACCGGTGAATCATTCAAAGCACATGTAAAGGTTGGCTGAGTAAAACCGAAGAATGTGAAACTTTTCCGCTTTACAGCACGTTGTCGAGCATTTTTCTCATCGCAGCGCAAACGCTAAATCTGTTATTTGATTCTTTTTGTCGGCTGAAGCTAATGATCGCTGATTGTGAAAATGAAAATGAAAAATTTCTTATCAAAAAATGACTTTGCAGTAAATGTGATGAATTGTAATTTACACTTTTTTTGTTTTTTTTTGTAGATTATGATTAGCGTATTTATTCTATTAGTACTTCGCAGTATTAGCTTTTTCGTGACGGCTCAGACCAGAGTACTATTAGAAATGTAGTACTATTAGAGGCGCAGTACTATCTTTTTCGATCTACTCCCAGCACGCAGTACTAGAGTGAATGAGAGCATCTTCCGACCAATCCAAAGCTGTCGTAATTGCACAATTTTTAAAAGAACTTTGTCAGGTTCTTTGGCAACTCACTCCAAGCCGTCCAAACAGAATCGAGATACAGGGTGACCAAGAATTACCGCAACACACAAAAGGCCTGGCTTTTAACCAAATATGCAACCCATCTCGAAAAGTTAAACTTAAATATCTTTATTCAACATATAACAGTAACAAATTCACAATTAAATTCAAATTGTTGATTAAATTGTTGACGGAGCTTCTCTTCAGACCCATTTTCTGTGCCATTCCTCGAGCCGATTGGTTAGGGTTTAATCTTAGACAATCGCGCACTTTCTTGACATTAGCCGGAGTAAACACTGTTCGTTTTGCACCTCTTCCAGGGCGATCAGAAACTGTGCTCAGAGTTTCATAGCGTTAAATGATTCGAGACGCGAGGCTTCTGGGGACATTCGGGCGCTTTGAGATCTCGCTCGCCTGAACACGCTGCCGCTTGAGCTCAAGGATGGATTGTCGATGTGGAGATGCTTTCACCATTCCTGAAAACAACCATACTAATGTATTGAAAGTTAGTAATCATACCATAAAATAAGAAAAATACACAAAAACCATAAAAACAGGTAAGCAAAAAGTGAAATAGGGCTCATAACATAATACGACGCACAACGAGTACGTAGTTTGAAAAAAAACCATTTGTCTTCAAATCAAAAATCTAAGCACTAGCAATTCTTAAATGATGTCCAACTAAGAGAAAAAATGCAAAAGAATCGATTTCGACTTGTCAATTTTTTGTTGATAGGTCGAGAAATTTTGTCTTTTGACCTAATCAATTCTCCTAAGATATCCCAGTTGCAATTATTCAAATTCCACTTTCCTGGGCCAATTTTTTGCGTAGATTCCAAAAAACACACTTTCAGCACGATTTGACGACGGTATCGCGATGAAAAGTGACTTTGAAAATTTCTAGGTTTCAACTTTGGTGTTCAGAAGGGCAAAAACCCTGAATAAAATAGAAAACATATAGAAAAACTGATACCATCGTGTAGAGCTCAACCTGAGCTTTCAGAATATATATAACACTTATGGGTTCTGTCGAGTACTTCTGTAGATATGGCGTATCAAAGTTGGTGAACTCTCCGGTGGATAAACAAGCGTGACAGGGCAACGTTGCAATGTGTCAAAACAAGTATTGAAAATTTGTTGCTCATTCTTTCCTAAAAGGAGGCAAATATGATGTACATATGGTACACCTACCATAAATACTCTAATAGAGGCGCATGCGCTTAAAATAAGAAAGTTTTTTCAACCTTGACCCCTGGAGGCCGGACTCTCGAAAATGATAAGGGCCCTTACAATTTTTTTTCGAAAAAGTATTAAAAATTTTTTTTAGATCCTTTTAAATTTTACTGCCAACCCTCTAGGTTATACATATGGCCCATATACACCATTCTAAGCACTAGTGACTTTTTGGGCGACCAATTTTGTATGGGAAGGATGCGCTTCTATTAGAGTATTTACGGTATTGGAATTCGTAACATAGCTTATTTTGTTGTTTTATTGCTTGTTCCTTTATTTCTATGTTAGTGTTCTTTTTAGATGGTGCCCACTACGCGGAAACGAAAAGCAGCCAAAAGCAATTTGAAAAAAGGACGGATCGTCAATAGGCTTATGCCAAAAATCTTACGAAACAATAAAGTGATAGGGAAGAGAAAAGATAAGAAGATTCAAAAAACTCTTCTTTTGCCACTTCAACAAAGCTTTCACAACGTTGATGAAGAACACATGCAAAAGATGCGGTGCCATCTGCTGCCAAACAGCAAAACTTGCAAAAGGATTAGAAGACCTGGGAGGTTTCGCAAATAGTTCACTTATCCATTGTATGATAATGCACCTCGGAGCTTTCTTATTCGAGCATAAAATGGTGGGCGCTGTTGCTGAGGAAGGTATTGAGGCGATTCATTGTAAATTGGCATCCGAAGTTACTCGCCATAAAATGTCGCCCGAGAAACGGCTACGAAATGCCCTGAAATGGATGAGTATTGATGTTTTGTTATCTGATGCAACTGCATCTCATGAAATTTGAAGTGTTGGTATATTTATTTGTTTTTGTTTGAATTTTTTTGTGGTTTTGAATTTAGCTGTTTAAATCAAATTTAGATTTGGCCCTTTCACGAACCTTTTCGATCAACGGTGCTGGCCATGGAGTTCACCAACTTTGATACGCCATATCTACAGAAGTACTCGACAGAACCCATAAGTGTTATATATATTCTGAAAGCTCAGGTTGAGCTCTACACGATGGTATCAGTTTTTCTATATGTTTTCTATTTTATTCAGGGTTTTTGCCCTTCTGAACACCAAAGTTGAAACCTAGAAATTTTCAAAGTCACTTTTCATCGCGATACCGTCGTCAAATCGTGCTGAAAGTGTGTTTTTTGGAATCTACGCAAAAAATTGGCCCAGGAAAGTGGAATTTGAATAATTGCAACTGGGATATCTTAGGAGAATTGATTAGGTCAAAAGACAAAATTTCTCGACCTATCAACAAAAAATTGACAAGTCGAAATCGATTCTTTTTGCATTTTTTCTCTTAGTTGGACATCATTTAAGAATTGCTAGTGCTTAGATTTTTGATTTGAAGACAAATGGTTTTTGTACTCGTTGTGCGACGTTGTTGCGGTAATTCTTGGTCACCCTGTATGTTTCCATTATTGGAGGAGCCGGGTTTCCATTTCGAGTCACTGGTTTTGGTCCATTACTCATTCAAAACTCGTAAAGTAATCGAATTTTGGCCTTAAGCGGTACGTTCCAAACAACATTGGGAGCTTGAATGAATTTAGTGAAAGCTTGAATGAATTTAGTGAACCAGGCACAAGAATTGAATCGATCTGAAGTGCTTTGAGTTTCTTCTTCGTTGTCTCACTTTTGTGAGCCGAGAATGTATCCAACATCAGCAGCCGTGTTCCGAAAACGGAGCTCCGAGAACCTTCTAGAGATAGCACCCATGGAGGCATCGTTCATCTAGGTCGATCCTCCCCAATGCAACTCGAGTTTGTTGTGGAACTTGGCGACAACTTTTGGATCAGGTCGAACTCAATTTAGTAAAACAAAAGGCTTGCATTTGAAACCATCATCATCACCGAGATTGAATGAACCGAATGAACTGGAAACAAAAAAAGCATGGAAAACAACTTTTTCACACTATTTCCTTATCAATTGTTTTTGCAGGACACTTCAAAAAATTTGATAAAAAGAATTCGTTGAAAAGAAAACCTAAAGCCAAAACAAGGCCTATCGCTTGGAGATGAAAAGAAATAAATATTCTGGCAAATGAATTCGAAAGCAAAAAAATCAGTATCAAGTGTTGATCAGGTATAAATATTATTCAAAAACCCTGTTTTCAAATATTTCTTTTATTTCATTCAGATTTGAACTTCGAAAACTTTGAGTTGCCATGGTCGACAAAAAAAAGGAAAAGATTCAAATGAGTGCGTTTTTTGGCATTTATCTTTGTAAAACTTTTGACTCTCATTTAAAGCTTTTACTTCATTTTTTACTTATTCAAAGAAATTCATTGTTTATTGCGTTTTCAAGCAGTTCACATCATTAGGTGCAGAATTTTCTTCTCTAAAAGCATCTGAAAGCAGATTGAAACTAGAATCTATTTATGAGCTCATTAATGTAATGAATCTTTTGAAAAACCCTTAGATTCTAATCGAGAGCCAAACTTTTGCACATAATTGGATGCATGCTAATTTACGGCAATTTATAACTATTGTGAGACGAAAAATTTAGGCTATCTTCTTCCACCAATCCTCTTTCGTCCCACCAAATAAACGTTGACCAAATTTTAAAAATGATTCTTTTTCTAGGTTTCTTTGTTGCTACCTATTTCGAAAAATTAGTGTTTTGAGTTAAGAAATTCTGTAAAAAGTTTCACTACATATTTCAACTCTAAAATCTTTGTAATAAAAATTAAAAAACATCATAAAAACAAAAAAAGCTTTCAAATTAGCCATAAGTCAATACGTTGTTGAAATACGTGAGTTTGAGTGCATATGGCGGATTTGTGCTTTGTGGCGGAAAAACAAAAATCTTCTCATAAAGTCGCCTCAATCAAATTCAAAAAAAGCATCAAAAAAACTGAAAATTTTTCGTCTATTTGACGTACAAACTGTTGGGCACTTTTTGTGGATCAATTTTTCTCCTCACAAAAAACCATTCATTTATCGGAACATTTATACATATGTATATATGCTTTATTCACGAGGCGAATAGAAGCGAATCAGATAATCATAGCCGCATATAACATATTGCTACAATAATTCCACAAAAAAAGAAAGAAAACTAAAAATAGTACAGTAAGACTACGGTTGGGAAACAGAGGTACACAGGTATTTTTCAGATGGAAGCTGACCGAAATTAGTTAAGGATGAGTACTTCTGATGACTGCGTGTACTTCGTGTATTTAATCACATTTAAAAGAATTTCATTCATTGACTGTGAAAAGTAAAACTGTAATAAGTATAATTAATGCTTGACTCAATGCCAGCTGCGCTGTGCATCCACTACGTGAATGTTTTCCGAAAATTTGCATCAATTCCCATGGTGAAATTAGGTGTATCTTGTAGTCGCGCTAAAAAAAAATTATACCGAAACACCACCACGTCATAACTCAGCGGGTTTTCAATGCATCACACACAACGCCTATGCAACTGGAAACCTTCATCGAAAGCACAAAACAGGCCGCCCACCGGTTCCTTACCCCATACCATGACCGCTCCACCACCAAATTTCACCGTCAGACGCAAGTCTTTAGAGCTGAATCGCTGTCCCACAGGTCTCCGAATCAAATGGTTCCCATCCGGTTGAAAAAGATTGAATTTTGACTCAGCAGTGAAAATAGTCAACGTCATAAAATGGTACATGTACTCGATTTTTGAGCTAGACCGGCCACCTGAAATTGTATTTTTTTGGAAGAAAAGGAAGAACGTTAAGAAGGAATGTTGAAAGGGATTAACACTCGGTGCAATCGAAAAACGGGCGTTTAGATATTTTAGGATAAAAAGCAAAATCATTCCTTTATCGGTTAGAAGAATTGCATGAAGTTTTTCCTTATCAGAGATATTTCCATTCTTTCATCCACCCAAAAACACAATTTTCTGTTTTCGATTTTCTTTAAAACAAACGTCTCAAGTCAAGAATTTTATGTCGAGAGTTCGAAGAAAAATCCATCGGTAATTTGAAAAGTAATTTATTTACCACCCTTGATTAGACTTAAGTAGTCTAACGTAGATCAATAGACATGGCTTTACTTTAAAAAGAAATTCCTTATTTCATATTGTCGATGGAAACGAAAAAAAGCCAAATGAAGGGTTTTCGCACAAATATCTGCATGAAAAGGCAATGAAAAAGGTTTGTTAGAGAAAGTTTGAGTTCAATGGTGGGTAAGTGTTTTAAGAGAATGAACTTGAAAAAACAATACGTTGTGACATAAATCTTCATTTTACGTGTAGCTTTTGTTCCTCGTCTTCAAGTTCAAATTTATCTCAGATCGCAGGCGGTGGGATAAACAAACATCAATAATTGCTGCAGCAAAACGATGAACTTCCGCGCGGGGGAAGAAAGTGTCTTTGTGTGTCATCAAATAACCGCCAGTAATGAAATCCTAAAAGAAAACAATTCAAAAAGATGCGCTTGCTTGATACCTGTATAGCTGCCACAATAATGTTACGTGTCAGGACTTTTCTCAGCCATCACTGACCACGCTGTCAAGGTTCAATCTTTATTTTGTTAATCACCAATGGATCACGAATGGAGGATTGTACACGGACATCGATTTCCTTTTAGAATTTCAAAGAAGGATTCAGACCCGTGCTTGTGATGCGATTTTGACACAAGGTTAATCAATATTAGAAGAGTCTATTAAATAGACTAAAACAAAGTAAAGAAAACAAAAAGTAAATAGTGGTTAAATAGAGGAAATCAAAAGCCCGATTTCACGTATACCACCTATACATGGATTTCAGGGCTGCAACCAACAGATGCAAGACTCGTAAAGTTTTCAAAAAATCGACTTTGTGTCATTGGGTGACGCCTGAGGCTAAACCAATTCTGACACCACGATGAGCCTTGAAAACTCCACGAGAAAAGTTTTCCAGACTCAAAACGATGGCCACTTTTTTCCCGGACAAGACATAAATTTAGTGGAGTAGAGATATAAATAGAGTCAACGTGATAAAATGGCACATGTACTCGATTTTTGAGCTGGGGCGGCCACCTGAAATTTTGTTTTTATGGAAGAATCACATTTTCTTGGAATGATGAATGCCTTTAACAATTTTAAAGCATTCCACTAAATCGATGATAAGACGGCGTTGGGGTAACGTTCCAAGACCAAATAGTTGCAACCTATCAGAATAGCTAAAGGAGGAGAATTTACCAAAATTAATTTTATAAAGAACAATTCTGGTGCCTCTGGACACGTTCTTTTTTTAATAAGATCTGATAGGGAAGGAGATCAAACCAAAGAAACGTATTCAAGAATAGGGCGGACATAAGCAACAAAACACATTTGATTAGTTTTGATGTTAGGTATGGTAATAAACCTAAGGATACGGTTTGCACTTATTGAGTGCCTTTTTACACATGGATTCAATGTGAAGACGAAAACTAAGAGGGGAGCTAATAAGGACTCTGAAATCACGCAGATATTCCTTTCCCTTCAACCAAACGAATAGGATTGTTACCGAGGTTGAAAGGAAGAGGAGATGCCAATGGAAATGTAGTTCGAAATGTCGAAAGAATTTGTTTATCTATACGAATTTAATTTCAAAAATAGAAAAGTAAAATGTATATTGAATAAAGAACGAACTTGAAACATTAGCTGTACTTTGTCGACTCCAATCGTATCCAGTTTGTACGAATTTAATCAAACAAAATTGGACCACGTTCTTTTTTCCAAAATACAATACAAAGTTTGAGAATCAAAATTCAAAAATCTAATTCAATAAACCCAGTTCAGCAAGTTCATTAAGAAATTCAACTATACGATTTTTTGATCAACGTTTTGGACTTTTGAAAACAGTAACGGATCGTAAAAAAGAACGGAGTATAAAAGAACTGTTGAGAGTGGGAGATTCCAACAAGTTTTTTAAGATTAAAATTTAACGAAGTTTATTCTTATCTTTAAATAAAATTCTTTTTTCAGCGATGAATCGTCTCCTCATTCTCCTCGTTTTCCTCGTTCCACTAATGACGGCGATCTCGTTGAAATTGAATGTGAAAAAGCTGGTGAAAGGACTTCTTAATGAAGTCGATGCCGAAAAATTTGATCAATTTGCAAACAAGTAGGTTTTTATTTGAAAAAAATGAGAATTAGGATCGAAAATTCTCTGATTTAAGATGGAAAAAGGACTATGGAAATACTGGAGAGGTTTTGAAGCGAGCGAAGATTTGGAAGAAAAACAAAGACGACATTGAAAAGGTTTAGATTTAATGAATAGATATTAACATAATTAGTCAAAAAAATTCTTAAGAATAATATTTTTGTGTTCAGGAAAACAAGAAAAATCGCGGCTACACTCTGGTCGAGAATTTCTTCACCGATTTGGATGATGATGAGAAAGCGAAAGTAACTTTTTAGATATCGTAAAATCAATTTTTAGTTTTATTTTTATATTTAAGATAGAAAACTTGACTTTTATCTTAATTTAGCATACGATGAAAGCACATTTTGTCACTGATTTAATCGAGGGAATAAAAGAGGGATTACCACCACGGAGAAATTTGACGAAACCCCCGAGAAACACTCGAACGAAGAGAGAAACTCTCCCGGAAACTTCGGTGAGAGAAGAATAAATACTTTAATTATGAATGACTATTGTTTTATGAATGCTATTGAATGTTTTAGTTTCTCTAAATCAATACCGATCTTTTCTAGTAGGGTAGTTGGAAGAAAACGAGTCGGAAGGTAAAATTTTTGGGCTAGTCAGACCGAACACTAGTGAGTATCATTAATCATTTGATATCAGAAAAAATTTACTTATTAGACATGAAATATTATTTACAAAACAAGAAGCTCATCAAAATACTCTCAAAATGAGTTACAGTTAAACATGCGTAGAGGAAATGAACTCTCTTAGCTAAAGAGTGAATCTTTGTAGTTTTGGTTGCAATTCAAAGGCCTTTCATTGTTTAGCAAACATAGTTCGTTTCTTAAAGCATGGATCTTTGTGCGTTAAGCATTTCCAGTTACAATCAAAGTTACAGTTACAATTTTCAGTATGAGGGTGCGGTGGAAGATTGGCGATGGTACGGCCTCGTTCCACCAGTCAAAGATCAACGCGACTGCAATTCGTGTTTCTCTTTTGCGTATGTTAATCTTTTTAATAAGAAAACAAAAACTAATAGAAATTTTCATTTTCCAGCCCAATGGCCACCATCGAAGTGCCGTTGAATTGGGCGTCGAATTCGGGTGCCAGCAATGTTTTGTCCGAGCAGGTGGGAAAGACATATACCGGATTTTCTCTAATAGTAGTGCACCCTGAGCGTCGCCTAAATTGCTCGAAATCTCGAGAACCGCTCATCAGAACCTATTGATGTGGGGTCGGAAAATGTAGCTGACGATGAGATCTAGTGGGGGATTAGAGTGTTGAGCTTCTGCAAAAGCTTGGAAACCGTAAAATAGTGACCAACTCGGCTCGCTGGAGTGCACTACTATTAGAGGAAATACGGTAATACATTTATGTAAATAAACTACTTTACTTCCAATTGAATCCACTATCAAAATTTTAGCAAAGAAAAAGAAATTCGAGCTCAAAAAAATAAAAATCACCCATTTGATTAAAGAACATTGTTTTTAGGATGGACTTGATTGTGCCGGGGCTGGTGATTGTGAAGGCGGTGGATACATGCACAAAATCTATCAGTAAATAGAAAATACTAGCAATTAAAATAAAAATGAAATCCTTAAGATATTCAATGAGTGCAGGAAATGCTGATTCATCTTTGTATCCATACACAGAAAGCGATGGAACCTGTCAAACACAAATCGTATGGAAAAATATAAGAAATGAAAAATTGGGTCGCAATTTTAGACGAGGCGAAACCTCATCAAGGATTACAAGAGATTGACAACAGTGCAACAAATGGAAGACGCCATTTATTGGAATGGACCGATCACTGGCGGTTTGTGATCTTGCGATCTTGCGAAATGGTGGATGTTCTTCGGTTCATTCAAAAACTGTTTAAAGAATGAAGCTCTTTTTTTCTAAAACACACTTAGTTCTTTTTATTTTTCTCATTTCTCTTCCCAATTTTCAGCGATTCGTGTCCCGAACTCGCTTCACTCAGCCGGCACGGGAATCTTCTATCCCGATCAAACGACTTGTGATGCAACAGTGACGAATGGACACACAATGGCCATTGTGGGATACGGTAAACACAAAAAAGATAGCTTGAAAAGGGAAGGAGTGCTTTTTAGGAACCGAGAATGGGATTGACTATTGGATCATTCGAAATTCGTGGGGTCCGAACTGGGCTGAAGGCGGATATTTCAGAGTGAGTTCATTTAGACAAGAAAATTCGATTGAAATCCATTCGAAAAGAAATTCAAATATTGGGCGGATCATATTTATTTCTTTCTTAATTCTCTTCAAGATCAAAGCTTTAACGAGTTCTATTTTCAGATGCGAAAGGGTGTCGATAATTGCGGGATCGAGACTCGCGGTGTCTATGTGCCGGTGATGATCTAGGGGAAAAAGAAGAAGAAAATTCTTGTCTTTATCGACCCACTGTATTTATTGGCATTTGTACATTTTGTATTTGAGTGCTTTCATATAAAACTTTTGATGCAATTGATTAAACAGAAAAAAAGAGTTTTGAAGCCGTTTTTCTCTATGTTCTTAGAGGTGAGTGTACAAAACAAATTGCACTTTTCTTTAGCCAAGTTTGATGAGGATTCTTTTAAAACCAACCATAAGTCGATCAAATCGCTGGAAGTCGAGATATAGAGTATAATAGAAAAGTGCGCTAAGTGCGTCAAAAAGATTTTTATCATCACAAACATTTTTTCTTTATTTCGTTTTTTTCTCTCAATCATTTCGACATCCGGTGTCGCTGCTTCTCGTCGCCTCCGCAAGAGAACTATGTTGACGATGCTGCAAAGAGATAAACGGATGAAAATACTGATGCTGATTTTTTTATGTTTGAGTTTTGCAAGTCTCCTCAAAGTATCCTTTCCAAAATTATCAACTTTGACTTATTGCTAGATTCTGACTTTTCAAAAACTCACCCAAGGACAGTGCGTATAAAAATTTATCGATGAGATCGATAATCGCCTTGATGCTCAAATACAAGTTAAAGCCGATAAATGGAGAGATCGATATGAGCAGCAAGTTTGTGAAAACATAAATAAAGATCATCGAAGTGATCCCGATCTACACATTTTGCCATCATAAAATAACAAGTATTTTCCTCACTAGAGTCATCAATCGGCGCTCAACTAGCTTCATTGTGACATTGTTTTTTAAAACGCTTTTTGATCACCTTTTGAATCCTTTTCAATGTGAAGAAGTTTATTGTGACCATGAAATAGATGATGACTGTCTTTGTGATGTTGAAGCCGGTAACTCACCTTCAGTTTGTAACTCACCTTCAGCCTGTAACTCACCTTCAGCCTGTAACTTCGTTATTTTATGAAAATTTAAAATGTTTTAGAAGTTCGATCTATTAACAGAAAAGTTTTGACGGTTTTTGAGACTTTTGATGTGTAAAAAACAATACCCAAGAATCAGTGTGAATAAAAGGTTTACTATTTCTCATCACAATCAACACGTTTGTCGGATTCAACTTCTATTGAATAATCAAGTTTTTCCTTGATCTCCTCGACAACATTTTATTCACGCTGACTCTTGGGTAGTATTTTTGTACATCAAAAACCGTGAAAACTTTTCTGTTAATAGATCGAACTTCTAAAACATTTTCAATTTTCATAAGATAACGAAGTTACAGGCCGATGGTGATCGATTGGTTCAGCATCACAAGGACGGTCATCATCTATTTCATGATCACAATCAACACGTTTGTCAGATTCAACTTCTATTGGATCATCAAGTTTTTCCTTGGCCTCTCGGCCAAAGAAAATGCCAATCATGAAAGCTTAGCATTCATTTTATCTGACTTATTTTCAACGTTTGCTTTAACTTGAAACTAAAATGAAATACCTAAATACAATTGGTTTTGGATTCCTTTCTTCAAATCAATGTTTATCGTTCATTATACTTGCAAGTGTTTCAATGACATGCTACCCGTATCAATCAACAAAAAGTACCTCAAACCTTGCCCTGTTTAAAAGTTTCGATTTCTAGAGAAATCTTTATTTAAAACAATCTCTCAAGATCGCCAAAAACTCGTTTATTTTCTCTGAGAATTCTCCTAGCAAAACACAAAAATATCCACCAAAACAGCATGCAAAAAACGTGGTCGGATAAACAAAAATGATAGTATTTAAAGTCAAAAATTAAGAACTTTTGTATTTCTTTTATTCAATACTATTCTATTAAACTTTTAACACTTTTAGAAAATGTATAAGTGGCTCATCTTTGTTGGTCTCGTTTTGGCTGTGAGCTGCAAGCGACCGCCGAACTGTGACATTTGCGAGGTTGTCACTTTGAACACACACTAATGACCTAATTTGTTTACAATATAACTAAATTTATAAAAGTTTCTACAATATACAAGATTTTCATCAAAATAAACCCCTTTTCTAGGAGCAAATGGAGCAAGTCGTGAAGGCGATGGGTGGTGATTGGGAGAAGCTCGATGAGGGGAAATTAAAGAAGAAGATGATTAAGGAATGTATCGATGAAGATGTGAGTTTGCTTGATTGGAAAATAAGGCATGTTTTTTGTTAAATTGTTATTTGAGATGAATAGGATCTCTTTTGAGCTAACCATCTTCGATTGGTCGTCTTTTTCAAAGCACTTTGAATTCAATAGAAAGAACAATATAAAACTTTTATTGCTTTAGTTTGATGAAGATGAATGCGAGGAAGGATTTGCCGTTTTCAAACCCGAACTCGACATATTGACTGGAGGAGCGAAAGCGGGCAAAAAAGCCGCACAAATCTGTCGAGACATGGTGAAATGCGAGAAGAGAGAGAGTCACAAAGATCGAGAGGATAAAGAGGATGGAGAGGATAAAGAGGATAAAGAGGATAAAGAGGATAAAGAGGATCGAGAGGATAAAGAGGATGGAGAGGATAAAGAGGATCGAAAGGATAAAGATTAACCAGTTTAAAGTCTTGTTTAGTGTTTGAGTAAATACAGGCTACTTGTTTATAAAACAGAACATCTTGTGTGCAAAAGATAACAGTACAGAGTTACTTAAAACCTTTTAAGACAAGTTCTATTAGGTTGTTCGGATATAAACGAGCGTTTGCACTGCTTAACTCGTGAGGAAGCCATTTCCCGCATCTGATCGTCTTTCCAAAGGCGTGGAGATGCTCATCAATAGTAGAAGTTGAACATAGAAACTGTTGAGCAAGTTCACGCGTCGTTTGACATGGATCCGATTCGATTGCAGCCCTCAAAGTAGAGTGTGTTCCTATCGGATAATGCGTTTTCTAAAATGCACCTAGTTGAGAAAACTACCGTAGTCAAAACTTTAATTTACATGCAATCACTCCGATTTTGGTAGCATTCGATGAGGAATTACAAGGCTTAATCAATGAGAACAAAATCGGTCTGATGCAAACTAACGGTTTGATTACGATAGTTTTCTTAAATAGGTGCATTTTAGAAAAGGCATTATTCGATAGGAACACACTCTACCTCAAAGTATCGTTGTCTACCGCTTGAGGTCGACGAGAGTGTTCATGATCCTCGAGACTTTCATCACCGTTCCAAAAGCGTTGGAACCTGACTCGGTATCGGCTTTTGGATAATACATCATTCTCAAATGCTTTGATCAAATCTCAATGGGATTCCGTGACTGTTTTGCCTAGTTTGAAGTCGTAAAGTAGAATTTGAACCATATTGAAACATATTGGAACCGAATCTGAACCATATTGGAACCATATTGGAACCGAATCTGAACCATATTGGAACCATATTGGAACCATATTGGAACCATATTGGAACCGAATCTGAACCATATTGGAACCATATTGGAACCATATTGGAACCATAATGGAACCATATTGGAACCGAATCTGAACCATATTGGAACCATAATGGAACCATATTGGAACCGAATCTGAACCATATTGGAACCATATTGGAACCGAATCTGAACCATATTGGAACCATATTGGAACCGAATCTGAACCATATTGGAACCATATTGGAACCGAATCTGAACCATATTGGAACCATATTGGAACCGAATCTGAACCATATTGGAACCATATTGGAACCGAATCTGAACCATATTGGAACCATATTGGAACCGAATCTGAACCATATTGGAACCATATTGGAACCGAATCTGAACCATATTGGAACCATATTGGAACCGAATCTGAACCATATTGGAACCATATTGGAACCGAATCTGAACCATATTGGAACCATATTGGAACCGAATCTGAACCATATTGGAACCATATTGGAACCGAATCTGAACCATATTGGAACCATATTGGAACCGAATCTGAACCATATTGGAACCATATTGGAACCGAATCTGAACCATATTGGAACCATATTGGAACCGTATCTGAACCATATTAGAACCATATTGGAACCATATTCGAACCATATTACAACCTTATTCGAACTATATTGGAACCATATTGGAACCATATTGGAACCATACTGGAACTATATTGGAACCCTATTGGAACCGAATCTGAACCATATTGGAACCATATTGGAACCATATTGGAACCATTGGAACCATATTGGAACCAGTTTGCCCAGCCCAGTCGTAAAGTAGGCGGACGCGAACTTGATATTTGAAGTCGGTCATCTAAAGCAAGAAAAAAGATCTTAAAAATAACAAATTATCCGTTTAAAAAGATTCCAAATATGCACAAGATAACGTACTTTAAAATACAAAAAGACATGTTTTAAAAGCTTCTCTCACAACAATAAGTTTAGCAACGCTTGTTTATATCCGAACAACCTAATATTAGAAAGAAAAGAAAAGTTCTATTAGATGCATAAGAAATGCAGATTTTGATCAAAAAAAAAGCTCTAGAATATTTAAGAATTCATTCAAAACTTCAATTCACTTATTATTTATTACTTCAATTGCATAATTTCGCAAGCTCGCAAGCGCAAGCCAGTAAAACGTAGATCTTCTCCAATTCTTTGACGTAAAGCGTCGTCATCAATGGTGAGAGGATGGTGATCATGTTCTTCATCATTTAGATCCACGTTATCGTTGCGGAACTTTTTAAACTATCGGCCGCATTTATTATTCAGATATAATTTCTGGTCCAAAGACAGAAGCAAGCGTTTTATGGCTTTCAACAGCGTTCTTTCTCTGCTTGAAGTCGTAGAGCATACATGCACGCGATACTTGAGGTTCTCCATCTCTAATATAAAAAGTATTGGAGCAGAAAATATCAATTGATAAGCAATAGAAACTAGTCAAATATGGCTAAAAAATGCAAAAAGAATTAGCTAAAAATGTTGAACAGATGATGAGATACAAGCTATCAAAAGTTCATCCGCATTTCTTATGCATTGACCTAATAGCATCATATTCTGAACAGAGTATCGATAAATGAGAAGATTTGTTTGATTTTCTTGACTGTTGAATAAATGGTAGAGATTGCCGAGTTTGACAATCGACTTGGATTGCCAAGAGATACGAGGTGCCGAGATGAATATACGTTGTGGCGAAATTAGCGTCGTCATTGATTGGATCTAAACTTGTGTTCGTAGCGTTGAGAAAATGATCTTGTTGGGGGAAATTATTATTGTGCATCTTTTCGTCGCATAAATTTGTGGATGCTACATTTGGGGAATTTTGTGAATGGCAATAGCAATGCATTCAATTTTTGCAGAAATGATCAAATAATTTTCTTTCGAGTAAAACGGCCATTCTTGTTTTTCTTTTGCGAATTTTTTGTGCCAGAAAATAAAAAAAGCGATAAAAGCTTTGTCAATGCACGCAATATTAGAATATTCCATAAAAATTTTTATTTGAATTGATCTTTCCCCGACACATAGTTCAGGGGCCATACCCGGCCTGCCCTAAGCCCAGACTTTATTAAAAAGCACATCTCCAGGTACATCACTAGATTTCAAAGAGTTTCATAAGACCTCAAGAAACCCTGTGTCACTTTGTTTCGTTTTTTTTCTATGAAACAAAACCCCATGTCCTCATGAATGATCTCTCCAATTCTGATTGCTCGGATGCGATCGCTCGAATGCGATTGCTCGAATTCTATTTGAGCTTTTGCCTAAAAAATCTAATCTAAATCTTACAATTGGTAGTTGAATTTGTTTATAATAGTTAACTATGAAAATTGCATGCTAAAAAGTTTTACCGTACTTACGTTGAGTAGAGCAATGCTATTTACCGTATTTACTCGAATAGAAGACCGGCCTCGATTATAAGACCGTCTCGAATAGAAGACGGGGTCTAGGGGATGATCGAAAACATAGAAGAGAATATAAGACCTGACTTCTATTCGAGCAAATACGGTAGAAGGAACGTGTAATCTTTTAGGCTCAGATTGTCAAGCGAAAGTAAACATCAATTATTTAAATTTCTTGCTAAATTATCAAACTTTTGATCACTCTGTGGCGAATAGCCACTAAAAGTTAACTCTGACAGCCTAAAAATTGGAAAAATATTGAGGAAATCGGTGCGCCTTCATTTTATTTCGCGCCCCAAATCATTTATTGTTTTGTAGCTTGTTAGCTGAGTATCTTGTGTTAAAGCCTATATAAGGCAACTGTTGTTCATTTGTTTTTGTTATCTTTCATTTGTTTTTTCTGCTTTCCTCAGATTTTGTGTGAAAGTTGTGTCCTAATTAGGACGAAATTGCTTCTGTTCTTATCGTCACTTTAATTCAATTGTCGATATTGTGTGAAAGTTGCTCAAGTGAGAGCCCAAAGATTCCGAATCAATCGGCTATTGAATAAAGTGCTTTTTTTTAGTTCAAGAGAGATCAGATATCTCAAAACAAGAAATAACGTGTCTTGAGTGAAGAGTACCAAGCACAAAAAGAATATTTCTTTACACACTCCGGATTCCGCATCGACTAGTTGATTCTGAAAATTGATGTTTAAAATAGTAAACATGTTTATCTGATTATGCTTGTGCCAAATGAACCAGCTTTTTTTTGCTTGTACTATCCTGTGATTTTCGGTTAAAAACAATACTTCCAAGCGCTCACCTCTACTTCGTGACAAATGATCGAGTTTACTTTTTTGACCCGCTCCATAATATTTCAAACAAAAAAGTTGTTTTTCTGTTTTCCCAACCATGTTTTTTGCATAGTTTTGTGTTTTTTTTTTGAGAAAATGACTTAAAGGGGTGCATTTGAAGGAAAAAACTTTTAAAAATACTGTGGCAGACTTTTTTTCAAGTTTGACAAACCAGATAGACAAGACCAAATCCAGCTAGTTTTTTTTTTGGTTGCTTCGATTCGATCTTTGAACTTTGATCTTTCTTGAAGGTAAAGAAAAATCAAACTAATTAACGATCGGTTGTTTTTTTGAGTAAATTTTTGAATCTTGCAACTTCTAGCAGCATCTTCTGCAAAAGATGACAAAGGTAAATCGAAGTTTCAAAGTTCTCAAAGATCTTCAAAGAATAAAGATCAAAGATCTTCAAATATTAAAGACCAAAGATACAAAGATTCAAAGATCAAAGATTCAAAGATCAAAGATCAAAGGTTCAAAAATCAAATCAAACAAATTTAAAAAAAGCTAGCTGGATTTGGTCATCTGGTTTATCAAAATTCAAGAATTTTACGATATTCCTTTTGAAATTTTATTTGTTTCCTTTTTACAGCTGTTGATCTAAAATTCTCTCATTTCATCATTTCCATTGCTGCACAGAAAACGGAAAATTCTCTTTCGACAGAAAATTCGGTGATAACAACAAGAAATCAATTGGGGAAATAGAACAAAAAGTTTTCTTTTATTTTCCATCAAATAGCAATAAATTCAAAAATTCTTTAGAAATTTGTCAAAATGGTCGCGCAAGAAGATCAAAAATATTGGCCTCTCGTCACATTCGAGAATGGGCAAATTCAGTTCAACGAGGATGTGGCACGGGCCACTTTTGCCAATCCAAAATACGAAAATTTAAAAGTGAGCTCATTCAAAGTATTATAAGATTTCAAATTTTGAAGCTTTCAACAAAAATGAAATCTTAGTCTAGATCAATTTCTAGATCAGTTTGGTTAGCGTGATTGGTCCGACGAGAACCGGCAAAAGCTTTTTGATTGCTTATTTGGCCGAGGGGGCTCCGTCTCGTTTCATAACGTAGGTTAAACATTTCAAAACTTTATAAAGAGTTCAGTTTTTTTTCTTGAAAAATCTAAACATTTTCATTTCAATTCTAAGCATTTGGGAGCTTTGATGGACAAGAGTACGTTGAGCTTTGCTTCACAAAACCAAAAATTGTCACAACTATTCTACTGTTTTCGATAGATTTAAGCTTTAGTATCTTTAATGTCTGTTTTTACTATATGACTCATTGCACTACTAAACAAAAATCCCGTTTTCTAAATCAAGAAAGCTTTCAGCGTTTTCGTTTTGATTGTATGAATGAATGAATCAATCTGATTGAATCAATGAATCAATCAATCTGATTGAAGCAATCAATGAATTGCTGACTTTTTGGGATGACTGATTGATTCAATCAGATTCACTGATTGAATCAATCAATCAATCAGCTTTCAACTATTAGATCAATTTAGTGGACGTTTCAAAAGCGGTTACGATCCGGTGACAGAGGGGATCAAAATTTTCTTCAGCCCGCTGATTTTTCGGGATGACTGGGGTATACTGGTCAGTCATATCTTATGAAAAATTGAATCTTCTTAAAATCATTCGAAAATCAAATCGTATCGAGTTTATCCTTTGAGCACGCCGTTTTCTTTCTGGACACCCAAGGCACTTTCGATCTAAAGAGTGACCGCGAAATCTCCGAGTGGATCACCACGCTCAATTTTCTCATTTCTGACATTCAGGTTAATAGTTTAGAATTTATTGAATTATAAATTTTTGGCTCTTTCCCAGTATCGTGGTCTTTTGTAAAAAAGTCCTTTTCGTGGTCTTTTGCAATTTTTTGTTTTTTACCATTTATCAGAATTTAAAGAACAATCCTAGAGAAAGGGATAAGTAGCCTCCCTGCGAACCAACAAATGTTGAAAGAGTTCACCCTTCTCTGTTGCTCTCCTAAACATATATTTGAATATATAAGTTGATGGTCGACTATTTATTGTTCCACGTAAATAGTGAATTGAAGCCTTCATCGTGCCCCACGTTGCTTCCACTGTAATTATCGAGCTTAAATTTCAAAGATTTCATTATAATTTTTGTGTATGGATAGTGGGGTCATTTGGGTCGACAAACTGAAGCTTGTGATTGACCCTTGTAATTGGACACTGGTGACTCCGACTAAAATGGGCCGGCTGAAGAGGGCGACGCTGTGGGTCCGAGGGAAATGGCAGAGAGGTTGACCCTGACGGACGCAGAAGCCTGTGATGATTCGTGCTTTGCTGAGCTGAGACACCTAGCTAGCCGTCGATTCGCGAAGAGGCGTCGAGTCACCAGTCGCCGTCACCACCAAAGAGAAGCTACCGGCAATAATGCAAACACTGATGACGAGATGAACGCTGAAGCCGTTAACGATGTCGTTCTACCTCTATGGGCTCGAGTTGAAGAAACACTAAGGAAGATCAAACATTGCGCCAATAAAAGATGCGGTATTTGTAACTCGATGGCCGGAAACATCTTACGACAAACATCCACTCACAAAGGGCCTCTCGTTTGTGCCGTGACCACTTCCGGGGGCCGACCCTGGGCGACATCATACAGAATTCCTCGTGGTCTCAACAGGATATCGTCAAGTTAGCGAGGATATCTGTCTTGGGTGTATGTGAATGTTGTTCTTATGATTGTCCTTTAAATTCTGATCAAATAAAGTGGTAAATGTGGAGGTTAAAACAATTGCAAAAGCCTTTTTGGTAAAAAACAAAAAAATTGCAAAAGACCACGAAACGGACTTTTTTTGACAAAAGACCACGAATCTTTTAAAAGACCACGAAACTATTAAAAGACCACGTAACTTTTAGAAGACCACGATTCGGGAAAAGAGCAAAATTTTTTATAGATAATCAATTTGAAAGGAAATATCAACGGTGAGGATTTGCGAACGGTGCACAGAGCCTCCGAGGTGGCGGCCTCAATGAATGAACATCAGATGGCTAAAGTTAGTTATAGAAAACGGCACTCACTAGTGTAGTTAGGTTATGGTATACCTAACTTCATGTAAAACCTCTTCAAATCGATTTTGTGGTCCAGGCAAAACCAGGACCAGCTCAAAACCTTGGTTTATTTTTTGCTTGGTGTATATCAAGCTACTTTGCATTTGTGCAAATGAAGAACCATAAAAGTTTTAATGTTTTCTATATTAGAGTATGTTTTCTTATTTTAGAACCTACTTTTTCTGGTACGAGACACCGCGCAGCCGAACATGGACAGTGCCACGTTCCTCAATTGTGTTTGGGTAACGAAGTTTTGCGCTAACTGTGAAAATTTTGCTATGCATTCAGTCACGCTGCTCACAATCTAAAGAATTGGCTAATGTAGTCACCTCGTTGCGAAAGAGATACCCACAAGAGCACACAAAATGCATCTTGACGCCGATGCCTTCAAAGGATTTGATTAAAGCCGATAATTTGGCATTAATTCGGGGTGAGTCAATAAGAAAAAGATTTCTATTTTGACAACAATTAGGAGATGATTTGGACATTCTTCATCGTTTTGAAGAAGTGGAAAAGCTCATCAAAAAGACGATCGCTTTAAATGATCGATCTTTTCGAAGCCCGGATGATCATATTTATTATTGGAAGGTCAGCTAGCAGATTTTTTGATTTTCTTGATTTAATAATGATGATTGTGTCCTGAGATCTGAGCGTCAATGGTCAGTTTATCCTTTGCAGAATGCTATCGATTTTCTGATGTACAGAGTCCCAAGAATCACAACAACTACTGAGGTTGCGCTAGTTTTTTTCGATCAAAAACAAAACCTAAAAAGTTTTCCCCTCAAGCGAGTGTAAGTTTCAGATGACAATGGAGTCTTTGATTATCAATGTCTTTGATGAAGTTTATAAACCATTGGCTGCTATATTAGAGGCAAGGAATTTATTGCCTTTACGCTAAAGAGCCATTTCAGAAGACAACACTCGAAGATTTGAAAACCGTTGGTATTAGACTTCAGCAAACTATGTCTAACTATTTTGACAAGAAACCGGTTACCGATGTCAAGTTAAAAGCAGAACTTGTGAAAAGACTCACGAAACAAATTGAGGTTTCGTTTAGTTGTGTGATTTTCATGAAAAATTTAGAGTGACCATTACAAAAGGAAACAATATTTGGAAGAAGAAATGAATGCCAGAGTTCAAGAAGAACGAGAGCAAGAAATGATTGAAAATGTGAGGGAGAGGGTACAAGAAGTGAGTTGAAAAATTCAAAACATAATCATTTTGGCCTTTTTAAGCGTCTCTGGATCTAACCAAGACTAAAAAACACTACAAAAACTACAGTAATCAAACTGCCACCACATTCGATCAGCCAAGTTTTGGCATCATTCAACGAGGAATCGGTTCATGATACCAAAACCAAACTGATTCAATGAAAACTAGCGATTTGGCTAGCGGTAGTTTCCTCTTGCAGTAGGAGGCAAGTGTACGATTGATTAGAAATTCATAGTATTGACATTGAGATTTATACTATAAGAGATTGAGATTTATACTATATTTATACTAGAAAAGCATAGTATACTACAAATTGTAACTGGGTGAACGAGGTCAGCCATTTAAATCATTCGAATCATTCAAATCATTCAAATCATTCAAATCCTTCAAATCATTCAAATGAACTCATTCAAGCTTGACTCAATCGAAGAAGCGATCAAGTTCCACCAAGCTGGACATCTTCAAGAAGCTTGTGGCGGTTCTCTAAAAGCCCAAAGGGCTTTAGAGGTTGATTTTTCATTTGAAAACGTAGCCTTTCTAAATTTTAGTTTATGTTCTCAACAAAATTTCGACAGCTTTTACCTGGATATTTCAAAGATTTAATTCGAAGACAGGATCAAGCACTCCGAGAAAAGCTACAAAAAGTTGTTTAAGCTTTGTTATATTATAAATTTGTTTAGGAGATTTCAAACATTCTGCTAAGAGAGCAACTGGAAATGCAACTGGAAAAGCAAGTACAACTTTTGCAAGTTGAAATCTCCAATGTAAGAACTTTTCTTCAAGTCACTCACGAAGAAGTGGAACCCGTGCTTGTGGATGCTCGCAGCATTTTTACGGTAAGACTTTTACTTTGTTTCCTAACTGTTTACTTTCAGAAAACTGTGGAGAATGCGTTGAAGTTTCACGAGAGAATCCAACAAAATAAAAGGCAGCAAGAATTTAGAAAGAAAGAAGCCGAAGAATTGAGTGAGAAACGGACAAAAGTGGAGATGACAAAGGAGAATGAGACGAAAGCGAAATACGGTGATTGTGAGCAAATCGTTGGAGTTGAGTCGGTTCTACCAGATCAAAGAGTTCATCAAGAAGCGGAAGAGCTTGTAAATGATAAAATATCGATGGATCAACAAACCAAGTCAACTTTGATGCCTAAAAACTGCGTAGAAGAACCCATAGAAAGAAAATTGACCACTCTATCCGAACCTGCAGAGATTTCAGTTGTTGAAAAAGTCCACGTTGCTCAATTTCAAGTTCCTTCAGAAAGCGAAATCAATGAAACTGATAACACAGCTGAAAATCGTCATCAAAAACTTTCAAATGAAACATCAGCTGTGCCCAAAATAAAGCCTGAACCGTTAATCACTTCAATCACTTCAAATTCGGTAGAACAAGACAACAAAAATTTGAACAATGTAACAAAGGAACGCTACCAAAATAGGCCCGTTATTCCCATTCAAAATAACAATAAAGCAAGTGGAGAACCGTTTCAAGAGCCTCAAGAACCAATTGCCGAGGCTCAGCCGTCTTTTGCCCTGCCCGTGGCTGAGCCAAAGGAATTTGTTTCTTCCGTGAATGGATCCATATGGACATCAGTTGACTTCACAAAGTCAACAATGGATCTTTCAAAAAATCAAAGCAACCCTGTGCACGAGCAGGATGAAAAGAAGAATATAAATTCGACGACCAATGTTCCCAATGAAGGTTCAGCTTTGATTAGTGATTTGAGTTCCAATGTTGGCACTCAATGCTATGCTTCACCAATGACGAAAAATTTAGATCAGAGTAAACGCGTCCATCAGCAAAATAACTGTAAAGCTATCTCGAATAAAAACGAGTGTAGAATAGCCAGTGACTATGATTCAACTTTGAATAAAGATTTGAGGCAAAAGATTTCTTCTACTAGCCACAATGGAGCAGATAGCGAGCAACGATCAGCAACAAGGCCATTCCAAGATCAGACCCGAATTGCTGCTGTCAATCAAAGCAGAGAGTACCCAATCTTGTCTTCAATAGTGGAGATGACAAAGGAGAATGAGACAAAAGAGAAATACGGTCATTGTGAGCAAATCAATAGAGTTGAGCCAGTTCTATCAGATCAAAGAGTTAATCAAGAAACGGAAGAGCTCATCGACAGGATGCACAAAAGAAAGCAGAATTCCACAAAAGTTGAGCACTCAAACGCTCCTTTAATAGCCAAATTTGAAAAAGAAACGCAAACTCTCTCCCCGATCGCTAAACTCCCCGAATATGTTCCAGTTTCAATCTTCGATGATTTACAAAGGAAATTGGATGTTTTATCTCGGGTTAGGTGTCTTATTTTTACTTCTTTATTTACATTTTAGAATTATCATCAAAGCGTTCTGCCGGAACGAAAAGACACTTTTATGAAAGCCATTCTCTTGGCAGGGATCAAGTATCTGCCATATACTAGTGAAAGTGTTAAGCAACAAGTTCTCGACATGGTTGCTGAGTGTTACAATAGAAACACTGGAGAGTTCTTCAAGGTATTTTTTAGAGAGGTAAAATGTGTCAACTTTAGAAACTTACCGTAACCTTGTCTCCGTTTTATCATGGCTTTTATTCCTTTACTGGTTAAGGATACAACAAGATATCAAAAGATCAAAGTAGCTTTTGAAATAGGGACGTTTTAGCAAAACCAGTAGTTTTAACAGTGAACAGTATTTACTAAAAACTGCTCATTTTAGATTACAAAAGATCAGATGTTTGATTCATCGGCATCCTCTTCTCTCTTGAACTTGCCCACGTTTCTTGAACTCAAAATAAAAATGAAAACGTGCGAGGAACAGCTGAGAAACTATGCGAAAAACTCTAATGAAACCCGAATTTACTTTCAAGATGTCGTTCGGAGCTTTGAGGTAATGCCTATATTTTATAAAGTTTACGGACGATTTAGCTTTCATGTCTCAAACGCAAAGGATCTTTCTTTGAGGTGGTGACTTTGTGCGAGAGTTTCTCTCAAATGGCTGAGTTGATTTTTCTGCAAAAGTTTGATGAGCGACTCTATTTTCCCTTTGTAAGTTGAAGCTTTCAATCAGCTCAACCCACGGAAATCACCGTAATATTCCTTTAGGTTTCAACTTTTAACTTATTAGGTTGGCCGGAAAGTTCTTTCCGTTTTTTGACGCTAGATCAAACTTTTTATTTTACGCATCAAAAACACCAAATAAAAAAAAAGAATTTATCTATTCAAAATATTCACCGTCAATATCAATAACATCCTGTCACTTATCCGGCAACAAATAGAACGGCGGTAAAACGGCGGCGGTAAAACTCACGTGGCTTCGAATCGAAAAACTGAGTGAGTGACAAGCGTATTTCCTCGACGTTTTTGAAAGATCTTTCCACGCAAATGATGCTCCAGAGACCTGAAAACCACTTCTCGTCTCCGGTCACAATGCTCTCGAAAAATGGCGTTTCATTGTTCCGCTCCAAAAGTGCAGTCGCCACATCAATTCGTTTTTGCTTCTGGGCTTCGGTCAACTCGTGTGGGATCCACTTCAACTTCTTCCAAATTTTGCCTAAGGAAACGAGAATCAAAAGCTTCAAAATCAAAACTTACCGACCTCACGCAGAATTTCCTCAATTGTTGTCTTGCCACACTCAAAATCCTCAGCCAACATCCGCGTTGTCAATGACGGGTTGTCTTCAATTGTTTCCAAAACTGCGTGACGATCAACTTCTCGTGGGTGTCCTGACCTCGGAACATCGGCCAAACTTTCCTCTCCTTCACGAAACTTTGCGAACCAATTTCGGGCTGTACGATCCGTAACAATGCCTTCGCCAAACGCCTCACAAACTTTTCGTGCAGCCTCCGAAGCATTCAAATTCAATTTCCATTGAAACAAGTGCAGCAGACGAATTTCCTCCTTGGAGAGACTCATTGCTTGAAACAAGTATAGGGAAGATATATACCAAAATGACCGCAAGGAAACGCACTTTCTAATGACATAAAAATCTTCCAGAAAAACAATAACGCTGAAAAACTACGGCTACACCGGAAAGAACTTTCCGGCCAACCTAATAATTGGATAAAAAAGGGTAAGATTACGATAGTTTTAAGAAAGGGGACACGTTTTAGAAAAAACTTCAGAGTGTATGAACACTTTAGCAGACAGTAAGATTTCATTCTAGTTACCGTGGCCTTTTTCACTTCCTTTCCTCTTCCTCCTTGTTTTTCCTTCTTTCTCTTGGCGAGTTAAGATAACGGATAGCTCAGTGATTAGAGCAATTGCCCGGGAAGGAAAAGGTTGAAAGTTCAATCCATTCTCCGGAAATCCACTTTTCCTTGTCAATTTCTTCACTTCATTATTACTACAATACATAGCAAGTACAGTAACCAATGACCATACAAAGTTAATAAAGATGACAGTGTCTCACACCCGGACAAGTACCTACTGTAATTAGAATCAGACATAAAAAACGCAGAACTCACTCATTAATGCATTTTCCCCGATGGATTTTTTTATGCAATACACTGTTTAGAAACTAACAAACAGCGAAAGGCAAAACATTTCCCATCTGAAGAAAACATTCACTTTAAAGAATGGACCAAAACCCTGTGTCGATTACACAAAAGTGGAAAAACTTTTTTCGAGCACATTGGAGAAGATGGTAACTTTTTTCTTGACAAAACAAATATCAACAATTGTAGCTCCACGACTTTTATGGATTGCACACATTTCAATGGTTGAAGGTTACGGTTTTCTGGATACGGTCGACTTTCCAAAGCATTCTTTACTCTCGCGATTCGCAAGAAGCCTTGGAGTCAACCTTGGATACAATGATAATGGATTGTTGGCTAGAAAAGTTGTTACAGGAATTTGTGAGTCTTGCTGATTTGGGCCTATAAACTAGGCCAAACTAGACACTGGATCAGCTCAGGCCAACGCCATTTTATTACTTTCAGCCGCACAAAGACAGCACTTTCCTTCTGGAGCTCTACTCCTATTTGATCGATGCCATTCAAGATGTGCCAACGAAAAAAAACTATAAAAATCGATTGCAAAATGAAATTAAGGAAAGGCAACGAGTTAATAAAGTCTACATTTATTCCTTTTAATCTGCACATACTACGTTAGAAAACACAAAACGTGTCATTTTTTAAAAGCTACCGTAACCTTGACTTTAGTTGTTGGCCAATATTTCGCAAGAGATATGGAGATTGGATAAAGCCGACGCAAGACTATGGTAGTTGAAAAGTTGGAAATATTAATCATTTACAGTTTGTTTAAATCCTTTAATGTGACGTATTGCAAATGATTTATTTATTAAAAAATTAAAGAATATTGAGAAAACAAGAGAAAATGCAAATTGAAGCGCAAAAAATTTCTCACAAGTCTGTACATTCAATTGTTTAGGGTAACTTGCGAGAATGTCTCTAAAAAGTCTTCCAACTCTTTGAGGCGAGTCTCATACACAGATCTTTCTTCATCTTCATGATTTAGTACCCATTTTAACTCGTCCCTGCCACGTTCCTGCACCTTCGCCTTGTCATCGATACTCAGCTGGGAAAACTGAAACTTTAGTAACAGTTGGGATTATCCATTGAGCGATTAGCTTACAATTTGCATACAAAACTGTGGATAACTATTGATACTTAAAATATGTAAAAATATTAACAAGAAAAAATTACCCTTGCTTCTGTGGCTTCCTGCATTTTATACGAGAACTTTCTCAATGCCTCAAGGCTTTGGTGGGTTCGCTCAAATTCCGCATCTTCGTTGGCGTTTTCAATGGCGCTGCGAAGATTACTTTCGATGTCTCTCTAAAATAAAAATCGATGTCTCTCTAAAATAATCAAAATTTAGGTCTCGTTATCTCGGATCCGAAAAGCGCTCAAAAATTTGAAAGAGTTTTTCTCTAATTTTTAAAGCAAAGGAGTATAAAACGCATTGTATCTTTTTACAGGAGCATTAAGCATTAAATTAGCATTAAATTCAAGTATTTGTTTTTAACTTCGAATTTGAAGATAGAGATTGCTCTTCAAAGATAGAGATTGATCACATTTGAATAATTTTGCGACTCCTTTCAGATCAATAAATTTCTCTAGGTTCTATTTCAATCAAAACTTTCAAGTTTCCTTTGTCAACACTCCCAGAAATGGTCAAAGATTGCGGTTTAGAGAGCTCATTTTGAAATTTTGACTTGTAAAGTAGCCCAAATCTATTATCATTACTCACCACATCTCTGGTGTTTGTGCTTTTCTCGATTTTCAACGAATTGCTTTTCCCCGAACAGAGCTCTTCGGCGGTGACCTCCAGAATGCCATTCTCATCTAGCGAGAACGTCACATCCACGGTCGTCTCTCCTTGCTTGGCGCTTGTGACTTCGATGGTAAATTGACCAAGTAAATAGTTTAACGCCGCCCTTTTTCGTTCTCCTTGATAAACCTGAACTTGTATTGTTTATTTTTGACTTTCCCAAGCAAGCAATACTTTGAATGACATTGTCGTTTGCCAATCCCTGCACGCAATGTGATTTTTCGTAATTCGTGCTGGTATCGGCGTGTTCTTGGGAATTGCGACAGAAAAAAGATTGCCGAACACTTCAATGCCAAGTGAAAGAGGAGTGACCTCTTTGAAGACAAGATTCCGGATTTTTTCGTGTTGATCACCGGAGATCTTTGCCGCCTGAAAAAGTTATCTCTGTATTCACATACGGTTTGTTAGATCATACTTGTATAGCTGCTCCATAAGCAACCACTTCATCAGCGTTCAGAGATGTGTTTAGCTCTTTGTTGTCCAAGAGTTCGCTCAACATCTTTCGCACCTTTGGGATCCTGCTTGAGCCGCCAACCATCAATATCTCATCAATCTAAATGGTGTCAGGGTTATTTCAACATCATTTTACGAGCTAGGCTAAGGCTAGGAGCTGGTCTGGGCAACGCTGGTCTAGATTTTGGTATTGCTGATCGGGTTTGGCTGGCACACAAGTCTTTAGATTCATCAGAAGTTGGGCTCAAGCCAGGCTAGCTTTTTGTCTGGTCATGACTTAGCCTTGCCTTACCTGATCTGACATTTATTTAAGTTCTAGAGTCCAATTGGAACATCGCTGGTAACATTATACTCACTTCAGCAGCCGTCAAGTTCGCATCACTCATCGCTTGCTTCACTGGTTGGAGTGCTCGCTCAAAGATCTCTTCGCAAATGTTCTCAAACTTTGCTCGACTAATCGACACTTTGAAGTCTTTCCCGAGCACCAATGAAGGAACATTGATTTCAGCCTATAATTGAACTTATTAAAATTGGTTCAAATTTGCTACCTTTGTTTCTGATGATAATTGGATCTTTGCCAATTCACATTGGAGGTAGAGACGCATGACAGCTCGCTTATTTCCATCAAGAATGAATCCTTTCTTTGAGGCAATGCTTAAAACGTGCTCCAAAAGCTTGTTGTTCAAATCCTCTCCACCCAAATGTGTATCTCCACTAGTGGCTTTTGTCTCGAAAGTGCCATTGTGAGCGGTGATGATGGAAACGTCGAGGGTTCCACCTAAAGATTGTATAGCTTTCAAAGATCTCCATGAATAGATGTTCAAAGCGTATCATTCAGGTATTCGGTTATCTGTCCGTTATCTCTAAAGCATTAGTTACAATATTCTGGTATGCCAAAGTCAAGAGTGTTTAGACAGCAACCAGTCGAACTAATAGTACCTAACTTGAAGGAACACAAGACAGGAGTATTCAGCATTTAAGGAACATCCAACATGTTAAGTAGCTAAAACTAAGTATGACTCATTTTTGGGACGAACATGGACAGTCAGCTGTACGATAAAGGACAATCGCCTAGTCAAATTGATTGACGAACCTCCAAAGTCGAACACTAGAAAGGTTCTTGGTTTTTCGGATCGATTATTGATTCCATAGGCAATTGCAGCAGCCGTTGGCTCATTCACAATTCTCAGCACTTGTAAGCCAGCCTCTTCAGCTGCAAGAATCGTTTCATTGCGTTGAGAATCATTGAAATAAGCCGGGACTGTGATCACAGCTTTTGTGAGCTCTCGATCAAGAAATCCTTGTGACAATTCCTAAAACTTTTCAAGTTACCTTGGAAGTACAAATCGTCCGAACCTTCAACTTTTTCAGTATCATTCCAGAGATTTCTCTTGACGTGTAAACATAATCCGTGCAACTTCTCGTTACTTTGATTCTTGGTTCATTTTCCACGTCAACTACTTCAAAAGGCACGTGCCTCATTTCTTGTTGAACGACTGGATCATTGAACTTTCTGCCAATCAATCTTTTTGTGTCTGAAAACTTGTATTTGATTTGGTTATACCCAAGCCAAGAAGAAGACTCAGCTTTCTTAATCTTAGCTTGCCCAGCTTAGCCACTGAAGTTGCTCTTTTTTTTCCAAAAACACTCTTTCTGGAAATTCCCCGTCAATAGTTTACAGGCTTCCATAGCACAAAGAGATAGCCCAAAACGACTTCCATCATTCATTTTCTACAACCTATCGCCCAGACTTTAGGGAATTTCTCCGGCTCATCGGTGAAATAATCAAATGGAGATCCATCTGTCCAGGTTTCCAAACCAATCCCGCTCAATCCAAAGTAACTAGTAAACACCTTTACTTAAAACATACCGTAGATTGTATTCCCAGAATTCCTCGTGGCTTGCTGCCTTGCCGCTTCTCCCACGAGAATCTCGGTATCAGTGAAAGCAACTTGCGATGGAGTGGTTTGTTTTCCTAAAACTGGTACTGGTAATGAGCTTGATTTTCTGACTTTTTTTTGGATAATTCCACATCAAACTGCTTTAGAAACAGCAACAGACTTACCGTATTCATTTGGAATGATCGTCACCTCTCCATCCACACAGACACCAACACAGGAATACGTGGTTCCCAAATCGATTCCCAACACAACTGGCTTGCCAGTGATTCTAAACCGTGATTTGTTACCATACTTAAACCTAGATTTGTTACTAATTTCATAATATTAGTATTGGGTTGGTGAATTGAAAACTGCGGGCTATTTCGCGGGACTCGCAGATAGAGAAAACAACAACATAAAGCCAGCTGAAAGGGGGGGGGTTGTTTACTTCAACATTTCCTCTAATTATTGCTAAAAAATTATACTTCCAGCTTTTTTCAGACAATCTGCCACCGGGACATATTCGCCATGTCGTGTCGCTGTCGCTGTCGCCATGTCGCTTCATGAGTTCCTACAAGAGCACAGTGCAGGCTTGACAGCTGCTAATATTAAAAAGATATATGGCGAGGACTCACCCTCCGAAAGAACGTGTCGAGTATGGTTTGCCAAGTTTCGATCTGGGGATAAATCTTTGAAAGATGCAGAGCGCCGTGGAGCGGCACCCCAACTGGATGATTCCAAATTACTCGAACTCATTACCAACGACCATCAGGTATCATCGCGTGAATTGGGAGGAGAGTTAGGGGTTGATCATGTTACAGTGCTAAGGCACCTTCATACCCTTGGATTTAAATCGAAACTTGGGACTCGGGTGCCCCATGACCTCACTGTCCCCCAGAAGTGGCAGCGCGCCTCGATCAGTGCCATCCATCTCTCACAATACAAAGGGAAATCTTTTCTTTCTCGAATTGTGATAGGAGATGAGAAATGGGTTTTATCTGTGAACTTTCCGAGGAAGTGGCAATGGGTGGGGCAGTGAACAGTTGGGAAAGGTGAATGAATCCCTGAAGAAGAATAGGCCCTCCAAGTCAAGGATGGTTCGCCTCCACGACAACGCGCCCTCATGTTGCAAAACTGACTCGATCTAAAATAAACAGCCTTGTTTGGGAGCTTTTGGCGCATTCCCCATACAGTCCGGACCTCGCCCCTTTTGATTACTATTTATTCCGGATCATGAGTAATGAGCTTGCGAGAGAACACTTCGATTCGGAAGAAGTAGTCAAAAATGGGCTTTGAAAGTCTTTCGATTCAAAGCCAAAATCCTACCACGAAAGAGGAATCCGCAAAATGCCTGCAAAATGGGAAGAAGTCGTCAATAATAATGGAAATTATTTGGAATGCATTTATGGTTTTATGTTGAATCAATTTTAGTTCAAAGTCGCGCAGTTTTCAATTCACCAACCCAATAGTTCTAGTTATAATTAAGTTATTAGAACATGTACTATTCAAACAATACCGATTTTTGGCCTCTTCCTTATCTTTTTCCCGTCTTTCATTGAACGCTTTCAAATTCGCTTCGAGTCCGTTCTTCAAATTTTCATATTCTTCTTTCTCAATCATTCGCCTCGTTTCATCTTCTTCTAATCGTCTTTTTCGCTTTCTTGATACAGCTGCATGTCTTGTTTTGATTTATCTGAAAAGGAGATAGCTCATTTTTATTCTCAAACCATACCCAGCGATTGTTGCAACCCCAGAATCAGTCGTCGTGTCTTCTCGGCATCTTTCTGTTGTTGTTTCTCTTTTTCAATGGCTTGCGCTTCTTTCCGAGCTGCTTCCAATTGTCGTTCTTCATTCACTTTGTCCTTTTCTCGCAACTGGTCAGCACTTGCTCTCAAAATTCCAATTTCTTGTCGAATGAGTGCTTCATTCAATTGTTGTTCTTGTTCTTTGGCATGCATTTGTTTTTCGATCTCTTGGGTTTTCAGGAGAGCGCCAGCGATCATCTTGAACTCTTGGTCGACTCTCTAAAATTGGTTCAGTATTTGAATTTTTTAAGCTCTTCAAGAATTGGTACGTGTTAAACTTGTATAGTAAATAGCTAATGTTACAGGCAGACTGGAAAAACTAAAACTGACTCCGAAACTCGATGTAAACGCCTACATGATAGGCAAATCCAGCACAAGCTCCTTCTTATTGTAAGAATCCCACCTTGATCATGAAATCCAATGCCTTATCGTTTATTGTCTCCAAATATTGATCCACTTCCTCAAACGCCAATTGTGGAAACTCCTGTTGAATTTGGGTGAGCAAGTTGTTTTTCTCTTCCAAAATGTTGTCAGTCAATTGATTTCTCGCCTCTTCGATAGACTTCTCGATTTCCTCCGGTTTTGTGATCTCCGATTGTTTCTGAAAAGCTTGAGCTACAGTTCGACTTCAACTAAAGCTTCCTACGCACCGCAGCAAAAGCTACCCTAATCCAACAGATTGCCAATGGATTGACTTGTTTAGTTGTTTAAATTTCCAAGACGGTAACTTTATGGTACGAGAGTTAGGTACGGTAACTTTATGGAGGATTTTTGGAAAACACTTTAATCTTTATTTCAAGTTACCATCATCAAGAAATCCCGGTACTTGTTCACAACGAGATCACAGAGCTCTCTACCCTTTTCACGAATGCTTTGCATCGAGTTTTCTCGCAAAATATCAAATGATCGATTCTAAAACTGTTTTCAAAATGGAAACGATTAGCTTAAACCTCAATCAACTCGACTAATTTCATTCGCTTTTTGATAGCCAAGTCTGTGTCCATCAAGAATTCGTTCGTTTCTGGAATTTAGAACAAGGTTCAAAGTTGGTCAAAGATTATTTAAAGAAATATTCAACTCACCCTTGTCAAACAAGCTCAACGCTTTCTTGTAAGCAGCTTGGTGTTGCTTTTGAATGTTGTCGAAGGATCGCTGTTCAAGGATTTTCATGAAAGTTGGCTGAAAAGTTGTTCAATTTTAAGGCTAAAGATTGATTAGCTAAAGCTAAAGCTCTTACTTGACTTTCTTTCTCATAAAGTTGAATGGCCGCCTCGTAAGCTGATGCGATTTTCTGATCTCGATACTTTTCATCATTGAACGTTTTCTTGTCCTCACATTTTTCCTGGATGAATGATTGATGAACTAAATAAAAAGTCACTAACCATCAATTCGGAAAGGAAATTGTTGAAATGCTCTTGTCGGCTTTCTTCACTTCCGTATCGCACCACACTCAAATAGGCCTAAATAGAGATTAAAGTACTGCGAAGGAATTTAGTTTTAACTAGGGAAAAGAGCTGTAAGTATCAATTAGTCGGTACAGTAAGTTGAAGACTGAAATTGGTTCTTTTGATCAGTGAAAAGCAGCTATGAATAACCGATTGGCCAATATTTCTGAGGTCGACAAGAAAGATGCGCTTACGTTCTTCGCTTGTTCAAGTATACTCTTTGACTCAGCCGCAAACTCTCTCGGTGCAATCGGTTGAAAATGGTGGATCTGGTTGAACTAAATCAATTATGATATCTGAAAATCAATTCAAGACTTACTCTATTCCATCCATCTTTGAAAGCCGCTTTGCCGCCTTTCTTCGCTGCATCAAAAGCCATTGTTTTCATCGCCTAAGCTTTTAGCAATCTAACTCTAACAAAATGAAATTTACGTCAAACAGTGTTCCGATTTTATTCCTTCCTTTAGACTTCATCTTTTCAAATACATCCTAAAGTTGATTTTTATTTTTTGATGAATTGTTGCTACCTTTGCATATGATTTCAAAGTTGATCCAGTTAGAGTTACACCTTGAACAGTTTTTGGTTCGAGATTTTGGATGAGATGGTTGGCGGCATCTGCCAAGCAATCATGGCAGTCTTTGCCGACATCTAAATGTAAGAATTGAAAACTATTACTGACTCTACTACTCGTTTTGCACTACTGCTTATGAAATATGCTTTAAGCCTTGAAACAGGATCAGCTCAAGGTCAGGTGAACTCAGAATTGATTGTTAGGATAAGTCTTCAAAACGCACCAGCTGCCTTGATCTCCATATCAGCATCGACCAGTTTTTGATCGGGACGTGGCACCAAATAGCACTCGGTCCTGAGGAAAGCTCTCATTACCCCAGTGATCAGCTCGTGTGTCTTTGAAGCTCGTCTTGACCCTTCCTGAAAAAAACAAAAATTCTAAAAGCCGACCGATCTACCATAATCCTTGTGAGAAAACTCGGTGTCAATCCCTTGTCAATTGGCGCGTCACGAATGAGAAAGAACATGTGCTAAAAAGATTTTGACGGATCAAAAACATTACTCACTTGGCCAACACTATCCCCGCTGAGGTCACTGTAAGCAATGAATTGATTTAAAGCATCGAAATCTTGTAGATCGAGATTACTTTTGGTGTTGAATACCTGCATTCTGTCATTTTTCTACTAGAATTTTGTACGCAATGATTTGTTTTTGCGTCAAAACTTGGACCTTACTTGGATTGATGACAAAAGTAAAGAAACAGCAAAGTAGTTGATTGACTGATCAATGTCGGACTCGTTGTCAAAAGTTCCTTGAGTGTCGACAAGCAGAATGGCAATCTGAATCGTGACATGGTTTTCCTATTTTGTTCAACGATGTTCAACGATCTCACTACAGTACTTGCATGTTCACTTATGAAAAGTATTTCAACAAGATTAAAAATCTTTCTAGCTAGTGAAAAGATCGGATTTTACAAGGATCACAATTCAATCTTTTATCTTTTAACGTTTAACTTGCAGAACACTTTCGCTAGAACTTCAAGTTTATCATTTTAATGTTTGTTCTGGCCAATCTTCACCAACCTCTTCTCCAAATTTATCCCTTCGAAAGAAGACTTTAGGCCAAACCAGGATCCCTTTTGTATCAGCGATATAGCCGTTCTTGAAAGGGATCCCATCATAGCCCCTAAAAAAAACTGTAGAAACTTGTAAACTTGTAAACTTACCCAATACTTTCATGACTCAAAAATCGAGCATCACCATTCCTTAGCACTCTCAGTAGAAAGTTCAGGAAGAAAGTTTTCCCGCCTCTCGGCTTCCCAGCAACGGAGATTATTCCAACCTGGAAATAGTTATTTAAAGCAATGAAATATCTCGTTATTTTGTATTACAGTCATATTGAAAACCTTATGCTCTCCAATTTGTGCCGTTATCCTTTCAAGTAGTAGTTCATCATATTGAGCCACTCCTTCGCTGTTCATCTCATAGAGAAGTGCCATGCTTTGGGCCTGAAGTGAATAAAATCTAGAGATACGCTAATTCTGTGTTTATCGACCATAGTATTCCTGGGTACACGTATTCCTGGATCCAACCCCTGACAGGGTTGGATACCTTGAAGATCGAATAGAGAATAGAAAGGTGTTTAGGTGTTCAATCTTGTTTTCCAGTATACTGTAGCATGGTCAGTTACTGGAACTTACAGTGAGTTTATTTTAGTTCCGGATTAAAATGGACAGTAGACAATGCATTATAGAAATAGGCAATGGATTGCTAGTGGACTTATTTCTAAAGTTAAAAACAAGTACCTAACTTCAATTACAGTTTGCAATGTACGAGAGTTTGCAATAGTTCTATTGAAGACTTAGAAATGTATGATTTTATTGTAATCTATACATTTATCAATCAATTCCGAGTCTCACACCTATTCATACGTATCATACGTACCAATTATGGCAAATCAAACTCTTGTAGTTAGTTTAAATTACGTCGGCTAGATCAATCAACTGGATCACCACTCTCCAGCCTCTACTTCATCCCTGCCCAGTAACCAAAAAGTCCATTTGAGCTTGTTGCTTTCTTCGCACATTTTACAAATAATACTTACCGTAAATACTGTGATAGTATCCCACCCCCATAATGACGGTGCGGAGTGTTGCGTAGTCTAGCTTTGAACGAGTTTTTCTCGACACTAGTTTACGCTGCAATGCGCGCTTAGGTATCAAAAAATAGCGCTGAATTTTAGCTATTTTTTGATGCCAAAGACGCATTTTTTGGAAGTACGGACGCTTTGAAAAAATGAAATACTAAAAAACTTTTGCGACTACGCGACTGCACAAGGGGATGGGGTACTATTACAGTATGTACGGTAGGTACATTAGCAATATTCCAAGTTCAATACCCACCTTGATATCCGCACTAACTTCAATGAAATCCTCTGGATCCGATTCATTTGGTGCGACAGTGTCATCCATGACTAAGGCTTTTACTAACAATAAACAATTCAAAACTAAAATAATTGATTTACGAGATCAATCACTTGAAAGAAAAATTATGAAGGTGCAATTTGGTTGCGAAAAGAATTTTCTTATCTTTTGGATTCTTCGAGCGATTCTTTGGGGTGTTTTCTCTGACATAACAATATTCGTTTGCGAAATTTCGATGGTGATAAAATCATCACCCGATTTGCGCAAGAAAATAGTGCCAAAGAGTTCTCAAAATTTTGAGCCAGCAAAGCTCAGGGGGAGACTAAATAAAATCTGACTCTGCTGGAACTAGTAGTTAGAGTGTAATGTTAGCTGAATGTCTGTGTAACCTTTTCGGGAAGTTTTGTATTTTAAAGCTCCTCGAAAGTCTTGATGGTAAAATTTGTGAATTGATAAATCTTGACAATGGTCGTTTAATCAATCGGAATCAATTTTTGAGTTTACAATAAGCAAAACTCAACGAGGCATTTTGGTACCTTTCCTGGCCGAGTATTTGTTCTAAATTTTCTAAATTTTTCAAACTTTATGATTTTTTAATGTTTTCTATTTTGAAATAGGTAAATTCTTTCATAAACATTTAAAAAATTATCAAGCTACTTTGTGTTTTAACACATTTATTCTTACAGTTACACTATTAACCTGGAAATAACCCACCTTCTTCCTGGAACTCTTGTACATGGTTCAAAAAAAGATTCAGAAAATTTGTCGTTTCAGAAAGAGTAACATAAACAAGTCCCAGAGAGTCAAAGGAACAACTTTCGGAAGCTGATTCGAGGTGAAAACTCCAGTCCCAAAATGCGTTCGGGAACTACAAGCCAATTAACAGGCTCTTTCTTTCAGGTTCTCCTTCACGTTCACAGTGACAAACTCTGGTGCTTACTCTCATCAATATCAATATCAATAGCTTCCAATGCTTTTTTTGTTCTAATTCCCAAGTGCACGCCGATGCCAGCACGAATTAAAAATGAAATGATCTCTAGAACGAATTTAGCAATAAATAATAGCTCAAATATTTAACGTTTACTATTTAATTATTGAATTATTTAACGCAATGCAAACACCATGCAACAACAGAAAAACTTTATTGTAACAACACTATTCAAGCAACAAAACATTGAGGATCGCATCGATTGTTTTATTCACAGTCCCGCGCAGGTCTTTGATTTCTGTACGGAGTACATCAACAATAGGATCATCCTCGATTTTTGCGATTTTTGATTTTAAATGACTAAAAATGCAAAACGATGCTTAAATTCCAATTTTATAAACAAAAGTACGCACAAATACCGTTTGCCAAATAATTTACTTTAAAAGGCAAAATTCTTTAAGGATTTCTTTATTTTACACCTGTCGCAAAATGATAGAACCACTACGTTTCTTTTTGCTTTTCTGCCTGTAATAACCATGTTTTTTGCTTACTTTTTGCTATTTCTTATTTTTTAGGGAGATGAGGCGTAAAAATCGCTTTCGCGGATCGAATAGATTAAAATTGCAATTTTGAAAAGAAGAAAGTTGTCGAATCGGAAGATCGCAAAAAAAAAAATGAAGCGCTCGCCCAAAGTTGTCGCAAACTTCTTGAAGGATCCTTTCAATTATGGCAAGGAGAAGTCTCCGGGACATCATCGAAAGCTCACGATCAGCGCTGAACGGCATATGGGACGTCTGTTGTCGAATTCGGTGATGTCGCTACCGGACGTCAAGGTACAAATTAGAGCTCCCGTCCACAAAAGCACTCTTTCTCGAGCCATCAAGTGTTACATCCGTCACATCAAAAGAGCAATCATGAAGAAAGCACCAAAACTGAAGCCGACACACAAAGAAAAAAGGATGTCTTGGGCTCGGGATCACATCACCATCGATTGGAAAAAAGTAAACTTTTTGCCTTGAATTGTTAACTATTTTTTTCTTTGTAGGTCATCTTCAGCGATGAGAAAAAATTTAATTTGGATGGTCCCGACGGCAACAAGTACTATTGGCACGATTTGAGAAAAGATCCAATGCTTTGTGGGCGTCGAAACTTCGGAGGAGGAACACTGATGATATGGGGCGCTTTCAATGTGGATAACGTTCTTGATGTAGAATTTGTGACTTGTCACATGAACTTGAACGATTACCAGGACATCCTTATGGATCAACACCTTCCCTTCCTAGCACAAAATCGAGGGAAACACTATATTTTTCAATAGAATAATGCTTCAATTCATGTCAGCCAATCCACTAAAGCTTTTCTGGAAGGTCACAACATCGATTTTCTCGAATGGCCTGCCTGCACACCGGACTTAAACCCAATGGAAAATTTATGGAGAATCCTTGTGAGGAATATTTATGCTAATGGAAAGACTTACGGAAAGACCGAAAAACCAAGGACTTTTCTGGTTTTCGATTTTGGAGGTTTGTGAAGCATTAAGCTACTGAAGTGTTAAGCATTCTGAAGCAATAAGCATTCAGGCTACTGCATTTTATCGTTACAATCTGTTACTTATGTATGCATGCCTCCCAAGGATGAGTACCTAACGCTAGCTTTTTATCATTAGCAGGTCCAAGCCATTTGTCTAAACTTGTCAAATCAAGTCTAACAATAATATAAGCTACTCGCTAGCCACTTAAGGAACAAAATTTGAGAACAAAACTAGGTTTGAGTTTTACTAGAGTACTCCGATGGGATCAAAACCTAATAACCTTTTCTTACATTTAGGTTTTTGACACTTTATTTACAATTACTTACTTACATTACTTATTAAGAAGAACTTTACAGTAAGCTCGGTGGATAACGAATTGATAACTGACAGTGGGTATATTCATAGGATAACTATTAGTTAGGTTTTTTGAAGTCTTACAATTAAAAACTGACCCTTGAACTTGCTATAGCTAAACCTTGAAAGTCTAGTGGAACTCTTTAATTTACTATTAAATCTAAAAGAGACTAGGTAAGGTCAGGCAGATCGGCGACCCATCTTCCGGAGCCATGATCCGGCCAAAAGCTGAACCTTCTGATGAGTCTAAAAACTTTTGTGGATCAGGTTCTGGTCGGCAAAATCCAGGCCAGGATCTGGCTCCTAACCTTGCCTAACCCTTAAAGTGACTTTGGAACAATCCTGGCACCATACTCTTAACGTTTCACAAACTGAAGGATAATTTTTACGTTTAGATTGACGAGGTTCTAATGGCTGGTGGCTCAAGCAGGATCCCGAAAGTGAGAAAGATGCTCAATAGAGTAGTATTTTGTTGTAAATGTAAAAGATCTCCGCGACGACGACCCTATGCGTTCTTTTCATGTCACTTGTAGGAAAAAGCTGGCATCTGGTACACTGCTCTGAATGTGAGGTCACCACTTGGGTAATTAAACTGGCTTGAACTTGAATGAATGCTCTGATAAAAAAGAGGCGGGGTTACGGTAGTTTTCGAAAGTGTACACACTTTAGAAAACGCTTTACAACTAATTGGTCAAGTGATGTTATGATAGTGGCCCTATTGTAACCATCATTGATTAAATGTTAACTTTAGTTCTCTGGACTGTCCGATGCGGACAAGGAGAGCTTGCAAAAACGAAGCACCACCGAGTTCAAATGGACACTAGCTCACCAAACAGAAACGAAAACAGTTTATGAGAAGCGGCTCGAAGAATTGAAAGAGTTTCTAAAGGAGCTAAAACTTGAAGACAATACAGTTTAATCTTTATTTGTGTGTTTCATTTTGTGATTTGCTAATGTTTGTTTAACACATTCGCGACAATTTGCATCGGCATTGACGTCGAAAATGTGCAATGTCCAAACGTAGCATTTTTCTAAACCGATTTGCATGAAGATTTCCTGGGGGTTTTCAAGCATGGGGAAACAGAATCTGGTGTTACTTTTTAACTCCAATAACTCAGTTACATGAAAACTGGTAATCTGGATGCAAATGCTTGGTTCGACACACTATCAGTGCCAAAATCCCTTTTTCTTAGAGACCAAAACACTATAAAATAGCTTTTTTGCGAATGTGCTAAGATTTTAAAGTAAACTTGTACCATACTTTCATCGTTAGCTTAAAATTGTGAATTTCTTGATGGACTGAATAAATTTCCGTAAACCAAACCGTTCCGGATTCAAAAAAATTTAAATTTAAAAACTTAAAAAAACAAATAAACTAGTTTATGATTAGAAATTTTTCTGAATTCTGTAAAAATTTGGAATATTTTCTTTATGACATTGTCATATTTATTTCCCTCCTTCAATTCTCTTCTTGAGTTGATTCTTGTAACTAGTTTTCTTTGGCACGTCATGAATGCTGTCGACCAAATAGGAGTACAATTCCAACAAGAAAACGCTGTCTTTCTTTGGCTAAAAAGTTGGATATGCATACTTTGTCCGTTTAAAACCCACGTATTCAATCAATAAAGCCTTCAACCAGAATTCCAAGATCAATGAGTCCAAAGTGGACTCCAAGGCTTCTCGGAAATCGCGAGAATAGAGAATGTTCTCGAATGATGACCGAATTGTCGCTACCGTTGCTTTCAGCCACTTGAATGTTCGATTCCCATAGTATTCTTTGTACTAAAGTTAAGTTTAACGTAGTAAGTACACGTAAAATGGTACAGTCTTACTATCTCTCGCTACAGTATCACCCAAAAATATCTAACTTGCCCAACTATTAGCTAAAGTATTCTCAGAATGTCTAACTTGTTTAACATTGTCTAACTATTCGCTACAATATCCGCAAAATAAGATATTCAGGAGTGCTAAGGAGTGTCTAATATCTATTAAAGCTTTGCAAAAATTTCGAGCTAACAGTGAATGTCCAACTAATAGTAAAACTTTAGTTGCTTCCATCCTTTCAACTGCGGTTTTCTCGGGTAATTCGATGTGCTGAATACAAATATCGATATAGTTGAATTGTCGAGATCTCAATATTGATAAGCGCTCGATAATCAAGTCAATCTACCTGTATAACCGTCGTCTTGAGTACCGTACCTTATTAATGTCAGTTAGAGCTTATCTCTTCAAAGCTTTTTTAGAGTTTAGTTCACTTTTGGGTTTCAATGCCCTTTTGATAGATCAGGTGCGTGACAAAATGATAGGACCGCCCTTAAATTTTACACTTTTTAGCTATGAAACTTAACAACGCTAAATAACCCTTAAATCTTAGAAATAGATACAAAAAATAGTCATAAATAAACGTTTCTAACGCTATTTGAATAAGTTGCAACCAAAATTATAACGATTTCTTGATACAACGCCTGTTGCAAAATGATAGGACCACATAACAAATAACAATAAATCCGAGAATAAACAAACGAAAAACATTAATGAAAAATGCATGAATAATCAATAGAGGCTCCCTTTTTCTCTATGACATCCAGTAGTCGATTTTGGTTTTGTGCTAGGAAGGGAAGGTGTTGATCCATAAGGACGTCCTGGTAATCGTTCAAGTTCATGTGACAAGTCACAAATTCTAAATCAAGAACGTTATCCACATTCAAAGCGCCGCATATCATCCCGAGCCCAAGACATTTTTTTCGTTGTGTGCCGGCTTCAGTTTTGGTGCTTTCTTCATGACTGCTCTTTTGCTGTAAGACATACCCTTGATGGCTCGAGAAAGAGTACTTTTGTAGGCGGGAGCTCCAATTTTTGCCTTGACGTCCTCTAGTGACATCACCGAATTCGACAACAGACGTCCTATATGCCGTTCAGCGCTGATCGTGAGCTTTCGATGATGTCACGGAGACTTCTTCTTGCCATAATTGAAAGGATCCTGTAAGAAGTTTGCGACAACTTTGGGCGAGCGCTTCATTTTCTTTGCGATCTTCCGATTCGACAACTTTCTTCTTTTCAAAATTGCAATTTTAATCTATTCGATCCGCGAAAGCGATTTTTACGCCTCATCTCCCTAAAAAATCAAAGTTAGTTTGAAAAAGGAATAGAACAAGCAAAAAAATGGCTAGAAAATGAATGGCTAGAAAAAAATGGCTAGAAAAATTTGTGCCTTTTAAAGTAAATTTTTCGTAAACGATATTTGTGCCTACTTTTGCATATCAAATTCGAATTTCAGCGCCATTTGGCATTTTTAGTTATGTAAAGTCAAAAATCGTAAAAATTGAGGGTGGTCCGATTATTTTGCAACGCACCGTATGAGCAATCAAATGAATATGGCTTTACACGCTCTGATACAAAATTCACCATTTTGTCCAAGGTAGCAAGAAAGTGTCTTTGCACTTTTGGGTATTCAACACAAGGCCTTATTCCCTTTGTCGTCAACGGCTTTTTCAAATCAGAGATCTTTTTCTTTTCACTGGTCGACAAAACCTGAAAACCGTGGTATAATAAGCTCTGTTTTCCAATAACTCACAAAAGCTTGGAAAAGTGGCTTATCGAATTTTTCCATGAAAATGAGCTCGGCCATTCGATTGAAATCTTCAATCAAACCGACTACCAGAAAGAAGGAGCCATTTTGTTCGAGACATGAGAGCTAAAATATTGTAATCCAATGTATTGTTATTCAATCTCACCTCGAAGCGAAAAGCTTGATCCTGAAAGTAATCCTGGGCTTCATCAATATTTTTATCATATCCTCTCATCAGCTCGTTGCAGATCTTCATGTGTTCTTTCAGGCCTTGAACGTTCGGCGAGCAACTGGTTAAAGCAGGTTCTGGCATTGATTTGAACAGTTCTTCTTTTGTTGGCTGAAAGTGAAAACGTTTTAAAAGGCACTTTGTTTTAGTAAATTACCGTAATCAAATCGTCAGTTTTCATTTGATTAGCTCAATTTTGGTAAAATTCGATGAGGAATCACAAGGCTCAACCAATACTACCAAAATTGGGCTGATTAAATGAAAACTGGCAGTTAGATTATGGTAGTTTTCGAAAACAGGTCTCTTTTAGAAAACAATGCGTAACACACTGGAGTCAGATTTGGCAATTATCAAAACCACATTAAGTTAAAGTTACCTTAAAAACACTTTGTGTGGTTCTCTCATAGTTCTCAGCAATCAAAGACCGTATTTCGTGCTCCATCTCTTGCAGATAATTCCTACCTTTGAAACAAATAGCTTGCATAAAGATTTCCTTTCGCTCAACCAGCCCACTTTGCTTGTAACACTAAATTTAGCAATTTAGACATAAAAGTATTCACGAAATCAAACCTGGGATAATTCTTCCAAGTTTCTTTTAAATCCATCAAGAATTGAGTTTTTGGTTCCTTGGACAACTGGACTTTCTGCAGCCTGAGGTTCAATTTTTGTTTCTTCGCCTTTCAAAATCTTCCTTTCTTCTAATGTTCTAATTATTTGATCCACTTCTTCAGTGGTGCTGGAAACTTTGTCAAGTTTTGGAATGGCTTCAGCTTTTGGGAAAATATTGCTAGTTGAACGTGTTCTCCTGTTTGACAGATTTCTTTCGATTCCACTTTTGATTAGAGTCGGCAAAGCGGATTGTTGATTTTTTAAAGGATTCCTTTCCGAGTAGAACAAGGCTTCTTTGCTTGCTGCAATGATCTCACTAGGGCTGGGTGGACTGATAGCCGAAAGCTTTGGTTTACAATTGATAGCATAGCCTTGATCTTTGGTCAAGCTTGGTTGGCTTGTTGTCCTGTGCTTCGGCTCACAATTGGAAACAATTTGCTGGCATAGTGTCAGTTCACTTACACTAGTCGAGATTGGTTCTGGTTCACCTAAAACTTTTTGACCATTGGGGTTTTGATTGTTGATTGTGATTGGCAAACATGATTCCGGTTCCTTGATCGAAATCGAAGTTGACAAGTGTGATTCCGGTTCAGTTACACTACTTTGCTTATGTTCTTGACCAGTACTAGGATCTTCTCTTCTTTTTATAAGCTCTTGATAGGTTCTGCTTTGATCCTTGATTGGTTGATTTGAACTTGAGCAACCTCTGAGGGCTTCTTCCGTCAATGACCCTTGATTCCCTTGAACTGTCTTGTTTTTGATAAGCGTACTTGTGATTGCCGGAGTTGAATCTCTATCTATCATCTCAATATTGTCGTTATTAGTAATGATAGCAGTGTGATAGGCTGGCTGAATACTTTCCTTTCTGCTTTGAATAGCAAGGATTGGCTGTTCAGAAATTGTCCAATCCTTTCTGATCCTTTGGCCAAAATGATTTTCAGGAGCGTTTTCCATCTCGTTGTTTAAGATTTGACTCCGTTCCTTTTCAAATCTAACTGTCTCAATTCTTGGATTTGGAGTTGTCTCCCTGGCTTTTCTCATTTCCTCCTTTACCAAATCCTCTTTAGCCTTTAACTCTTCGGCTTCTTTCTGTTTCCGCAGCTTTTCCATTTTGTACTGATGAATCTTCTCGCCGAACTTCAACGCGTTTTCAACCGTTTTCTGAAAACTGATTTGATTAGGTCATACTTTGATAGAATTTTGAAAACTTCCATACAAGCAGTCAAAAGTTTACCATGAACTCATTCCGGGCATCATCGAGAACCGGTTTAATCTCTTCGCTTGTCACTGAAAGAATAGTGATCACATTGGCCACTTCAACTTGCAAAAGTCCAAGTTGATCCTCCATCTCTCTCAGAAATCCGTCTTTGTTCGTAGATTCACTGGTTTCCTAAACAATTGATCAACAAGAATCTTTCAAAGCTTTTACCTTCTGCAATTTCTCTCGCAACACTTGGTTCTGTCTTCGAATCAAATCTTTGAAGTAGCTAGGTAACAGTTGACGAATTTTTATTGAAAACATTGTCTAAACAATATCTTTCTTGAAACGAATAAGAATGAAACCTCTAGCGCGTTTTGAGCTTTCGAAAAACCTCTAGCAGTTTCCCGGATAAGTCCACTTTGATGAAATTTTAACGCCTCTTCGATCGACTCGAGCTGAAATTTTTGGTTGAAGTAAACCAAAGGATCTGGAAATTTGTCTAAACAATTGATTAGTACCTATTGTGTTTTCTAAAATGTGTCAACTTTTGAAAGCTACTTTAATCTTGGCCAAGTTTATTCGATCTACAAATACCGAAAGAATACATTTGAGCAAGAGATAAGAGTACGGTTGCTCTCAAAAACACTTTTTAAGTTACAGCAGTCAAGAAGGACGCATCCTAGTCAATCTGGCGCTCAAATCGGACGTCAACTTTTGAAAACTACCGTAATTTCTCTCGTAATTCAAGCCCTCATCTTTCACTCACATCTTGTATCCTTTTCCTTCCCATTTCAACAATCTCTTGCACCCGTTCTTCTTCCATTTTCACCCTTCTCTCTTCAGTGAGATCCTGACTTCTTTTTTGATAATCTTTCTAAAGAATTCCAGACTTAATCAAACTTGATTTAAAACCTAAGGTGACTTTAATAGGTGACATGTATTAGGAAATTCAGAAATTTTAATAACTTTGATTCATAGCTTTTTATCTGTATGAGTAGCTTTTATTCAAACCGTACTTGAGTGGTTGTTGTGATTTTTGGAGCATAGTTCATCAGGAAATCGATAGCGTTCTATAAAACAGTGGTGAGATTTATTTTGGCTTGTGGTAAACAAAGAAACTTGTCCATGGACAGCTAAGCTATGAAGATCTTTCAATTGTCAATTTATTGGGCTAAGATTGACCTCTTTGACAAAAGTTTAGCTTGCAGTAGTTATCTTGGTCTGACAGTAAACTCAAAGTGAGTGAAGTGACATTTCTACAGTGCGTTTCAAATTCTCAAACGCACCCTCTAAAATAGCGAAGTTGGCATTTTGAACACCGCTACAACTATTAATCTTTTTCTATTAGAAAGAGCATGTTTTAAAACCTAAAAAAGACGTAAAATAAGCATACTATAAAAAGTAAAAATTTTCAAAATAGAAACTTTTTGGTGATTTACCAAACCGTTTCAAATTCTTAAACGCACTATGAAAATATTTTTATTTATCGACACAAATCAACAATCAAAGGTAAAAAATCAAAACTAATAATCTGTACACGCACCAGAACGATTAATTACTTGAAAAATGCGGTATGGCATTGAATTGATGAGGTTTTGAAAAGCAAAGACGTCGAGATAGCTTCAGGCCAAACGGATCGCTGTTTTAGGTACAAATATACGTCTTGAAACTGACGATGATTTTTGTGGGCAGCTTGAACAAGTATCCGGCGTAAATTCTCTATCGGATTGACGTCAGGAGATCGAGCGGGTCAGTCCAAAGTTACAATGTTGTTGTTGTTCAGCCAGTTTCGGGTGTCTCCGGCTCGATGAATTGACGCGTTGTCGTATTGAAATAAATCGGGAACACTTGGATTTAGGAGCAAAAATGGCAACAAAAAATTGTTCAATATATCTATCTAGTCATCCGATTCGAAACCATCTTCAGAGCGACCGTTCCATTAGCACAAAATGCGGCATAAACCATCACAGGACCACTGCCAAAGTTTCGAGTTCCAAACACCATCGGATCATGTCGAAGATCCCTCCAATAGTAGCCAACGCCATCGGGGTCGTCCCAATTCCATTTCTTCTCATCGGAAAAGATCACCTAAACGCAAAAAAAATAATAAAACATAAGCGGCTTTCCAACCATAGACCAATCCTGGTTCATATGAGCCTTGGCGAACGCCAATCGGGCTTTCTTGTGCAAAAGCTTCACGATCCGTTGCATGTTCAATAATTGTCGATCAATATGTGCGTTTTCCTTGATGGCTCGCCAAATTGTCGACTTCGAAGCGTCGAGTTTCCGTCCCGTTTTCACTTCATTGATCGTTTTTCCCTGGATGTTGTTCACAATATGGCGTCTAGCTCGCGGTGTAAGCTTTGGTTTTGGTCCTGACTTTTTCTTTGGTGCAGAAACGAACTTGGACTTTATATAATTTCGCACGGCAGAGTCGAATCAGCCCAAATTTTTTTTGCGATTTTCCTTATTGAGTCGCCAATCCTCAAACGGGCATCAATCTGGCCTTTCTCATAATCCGTGAGCAGCTTTCCGTGTTCCATTTACCTGGAAATTAGCAAAAATTATAAATTTAATAAACAAATATGCACAACAAAACAAAAAATTTCAAATAACAACAGCAAAGGCGGGTGCGTTTTAGAAATTGAAACGGTGGATTTACCAAAAAGTTTCTATTTTGAAAATTTTTACTTTTTATAGTATGCTTATTTTACGTCTTTTTTAGGTTTTAAGACATGCTCTTTCTAATAGAAAAAGATTAATAGTTGTAGCGGTGTTCGAAATGCAAAATTCGCTATTTTAGAGGGTGCGTTTGAGAATTTGAAACGCACTGTAGTTCTACTGCTACAGTACAAGATCAGTTCTTGGTGCTAATGGTCTATGTTGAAGCCTTCTAAAAACAAGCCAACTAAACAAGCAAACCTTCCAATAAAGAACATGATCCGCTTGGCTTTGAAACGCTCGATCGTTAAAAGCAACTGTTTGCTTGATAAATCCCTTCACGTCGTTGAAACGACGAAGAATTTCCATGTCGCTTTCTGAAGATTTTACACACATCGATGATACAATGAAGTCGTTACGGTACTGCAAAGTACCGTAATTATTCTAATAGAAGCAGATCTGCTCCTAATAGAGAGTCTCCTTCTAATAGAATAATTACGGTAAGTAAAACAAGGTAATACATGGACTCCATCGTTAACCAACCTCGCATAATCGCGAATCCAGAAGCTTTCACCAATTCATTTGAAGGCATCTGGGTCAAAATGCATCTAGCTTTTCCTTGTGGATATCTTCTTTGTAAAGAGTTGACTATCTCTTCCAATTCTTTCGAGTTGGATCGTTGTGACTAAATTTGAAAACATTTTTTAAAAAAGGGCTATTTACCCAGATTCTATTGAGAAACTCGGCACCATCCACATTTGGCTGGGCAGCGTCTCGAATCATGAACAGGAGATTCTAAATAGGATTTGAAGTAAGAAGCCAGAAAAATTTATGGACTTTGCACGCGCTTTGCGTAAGTAAATGGGTCTTTGTTATGGCTCTTTAGATTCTTGGTCTTGTTATGTCTTAGTTATGGGTTTGATAGCTGTGATTTGTGATAGTGTAGGTAGGACTGATGAAAATGGAGTGTAGTTGTGACATCATACTTAAGGGTCATAAAGATAGCGGGCAACGAAGTTGATGGTGGGATAAATATTTGACCGAACTTCGTCACACCTAGGGTAGACTGCAAGATGTGCCTGCTTTGGACTTGCATAACTCTTATTGATCACTTTTTCATTATGATAGCCATTTTAGTGAAAAATCCATTACTATTAGCTCACCCTAGCCATTTGCTGATTCCCCATCGCTGCAGCGATCTCGGTGGCTCGATGAATCGTTCGCAAATCCTCACCAGTGATATTTCCTTTCAAGTTGACTATCTTAAAACATTTATACATTTATATTTTGCTATGATCAACCTGTATATCGGAAATCAACAAGTTCAACGTTGTGATCCACTCGGAGATCTCTGGATCACTTTGAAGGTCGAAAGTGCCTTGGGTGTCAAGAAAGAAAACAGCATGCTAAATAAATAAAAAAATCTTATTGTAGCTTGGCTATCAACAAAATGTTTAGAAAGCTGTGACTCTTTGACTTGTTAATAACCTGCTCGTAATATTTACCTCAACTTCTTTCTCATCCATGAAAATCATCGGGCTGTGGAAAATTTTGATTCCCTCCGTGACACGATCATATCCGCTTTGGAAACGACCACTAAGTTGATCTTGTCTACTATATTATAATTTTGAAAAATTGTCTGTCGGTTATTATCTGTGTTTGTGTGTCTTTTATCACATTTTGCAGAGAGTAAAACATCGAATCGGCCAGATGGTCGACCGGTTAGGAGTTTTGTCTCTTAAGCGGAAGGTCGAGGGTTCAATCACTCTGGCAAGATAAAAATGTTTCTTTTTCCCACCAAGTGGGTTTTTTCTTTCACAACATTTGGGTAATAGGGGTAAATAGGGCTGAGAACGGCCGCAGTGCCATAAAATTGTGTGTTTAACCTTTATGTCTTATTATGTACCCTTTGTTTGTATCACATTATTGGTTTTCAATAAATGTATTTTTTTAGAATCAGAAGTAATGGTGTGGAAGACGGGGAAGTGGTTAAATTTAAATAATTCTTATGTTTTTGATGTTTAATATGCCAATTTCTGAAATTGAATGAACCGAAATTGAATGAACTGAAATTGAATAGAGTTTTGGCAAGGATAAAGAAAATGTTTTCATGAGAGTTTTCATATGCAAATTTTCAGATGTTAATTTTCAAGGTTAATGCAAATTTTAGCAAAGCAGCCGCGTAGCGGATGTCCAGTGCAGCTGGTAGCTCATAATTTCAAAAATCTAAACCATTCTTGTTTCAAATTGTAAATTCCTCACTTGATTAAGTCATGGTCTGACCCTTCAGCCAAAAAGGCGATCAAAAAGCTTTTCCCGGTTCCTGTCGGGCCGATTACGCTGACCAAATGGATCTGTAAATATTCAAAAGTGATAAAATCAATGAAATCAAAATGAAACTGATAAAAATTTAATCTTTTTGAAATTTCACCTTAAACGGGGCATATTTAGAAGAAGCAAATGTAGCTCTTGCCACCTCCTCATTGAATTGAATTTTCCCATTCTCAAATGTTACAAGTGACCAATATTTTTTGTCTTCTTGTATCATTCTAAATTTCTGAAATGAAATTTATTACTGTTTTAATTAAAAGTATCAATCAAACGAAAAAAATAAGTTTGACCCGTTTCCCTAATTGATTTCTTGTTGTTATCAACGAATTTCCTTTCGAAAGAATATTTTCCCTTTTCTGTGCGGCAATGAAAATGACGAAATGAGATAATTTTAGAACGACTAGCTGTGAAATAGATCTAAACGCAAAATGGGGGTTTAGAGAAATTTTTAAAAAACTGTAACCAAACGAGAAAAATGTTTGGTTGGACTATCTTGTTTTTCTTAGAGCAACATCCACAGATTTAACTAGAGAATGATGCAGTCTTACAGTTTGACCCACGAGTCCAACTAATCGAATCTTATACATACAGTGGTCCACAAAAGTAATGCCCCATTGCCATCCAACAGTATGTTTTGTAAAAAAATCTTGCAAAATCGATATTTCTGAAAAAGAGTAGGGTATTTTTACCGACCCATAAGCTTCGACTTTTCAAGAATATAAGATTTATCCATATACATTACACACAAATTAAAGTATAAAACAAAATCAATAAGCTACTTGAAAATTAGCTCCACAAAAGTAATGCCATTTGCAAAGAATTCTTTTAATTTTTTTTTTAAATCAATACTTGGTTGGTTCTCCTTTTGCTTTTATTACTTCATTGAGTCGATTCGGCATGGAATCCACGAGATTCATCAAAAGACTTTGGGGGATGGTGGTCCAGAGACGTTGAATGTGAACCCATAAGGCAGCCTTCGAATCGAATTTCTTTCCCTTGAGTCGCGACTTCACAAATGACCAGAGATGCTCGATAACATAGATATCCGGTGAGTAGGGACGCAGATTGATCAATTTGACTCGACTTGCCGCAAACCAGCCCGGAAGTCGTGCTCATGTACCATTTTGAAGAGTCACCACCGTTCCCATAATGAGCCTTGACTTGTGTTTCGGGTCGTTGTCCTGGTAGAGCATCCATCCAGGAGGCATCGTCTGTGTGGCAAAAGACAGCATTTGGGTCTCGATAATGTTCTTGTAAGCCACAGCATTCATCGTTGAGTTGACGTGAACTAATGGACCTACTGAAGTTCGTGACATCGCTCCTAAAGAAAAACAGTCAGGTGACAAAATACTAAAAAGGTTCTTACCCCAACACATTATGTTTCCGCGGTTGAATTTCACGGTAGGCCGAATGTACTTGAGTCTGTATCGCTTTCCAGTCGGTCGCCGAATAAGCTGGTTTCCGTCCGCGTGAAATAAATTGATTTTTGTCTCATCGGTAAGTAACACTTTCGCCCAATCACGTGTCGTCCAACTTCGGTAGGTCCGTGCAAAGTCAAGGCGCCGCTTCCGGTGCTTAGATTTTATCAGAGGTTTACGGGCAGTCCTTCTTGCATATAATCCAGCTTGATTTAATCGTCGTCTGATCGTTTCCGGCGATACAACCTTGCTAAATTGATCCCTCATCATTTGGTTTCCATCGGTTGATGTTTTGTTCGGATCGTTTTTCACCATTTGGATCACGGCTCGATCTTCTTTTATGGTTGTGATTCGTCGTCGGCCACTCTTGAGGCCTCGATGAAAGTTTTTGCCGACTTTTGATTGAGAAAAAATGCGGCGCACTGTCCATATCGAGCAATTGAAGAGGTTGACCACATCCTTCTCCCGCATCCCATTTTCCCGGCCTTAGCGATTTGGGGCTTCTTCGGAGTGTCAAGATTTTTCATGTCAGGGATCTAAATAATACAATAGAATACATTTAACGTTCATGGAAGGAGAAACAAAAAGAATAATCATGAAAACGATCAATGGGGCATTACTTTTGTGGAGCGAATTTTAGGGGTAATTGCACTCTTCCACATCGATCTTTTGATTGGAAGGATCTCAATCAAAAAAAACCAGTTATTTAACAACTAAAATTTCTAAAGTATTTTAAAAGAAAAAAACATATATTTTAAATATATGTTTTCAGAAGGAATTTTGCAAAAAATACTTTTGAATGGCAATCGGGCATTACTTTTGTGGACCACTGTATCTTCTATAAGATTCTATAAGTTCTTCGCGGGGTCAAAAATTAGAAAAATGAAGGGGCGGGGCGGGGGCGGGCCCAAAGTTGAAGGGGGCGGGTCGAAGAGGTAAAACCGCCCCTTGTTCTGTTTATTCGGAAGCGAACTATATTAAATTTTTTGCATCAACTTAAGGATACTCAGCTATTCAGCTGAATATCTTTAAAAGAGGTAACTGCAAAGATTTTTATTTCATCTATTTTTTTCTACATTTGTGCACTTTTTGTGTTTGCTTTAGTTTTTGAGTGTTTTTAATGATTTGTAACTACAGATACTGCAAGTAATAGTTTAGTTAGTTTAGGCAATATTTATTGAGGAAAGTTTTGATTGAAGAGCTTTTCTGTGCATTTATTTTTTTCAAGCTCCAAAGTTAATTTATTGGATTGGTGAATTGAAAACTGCGGGCTATTTCGCGGGACTCGCAGATAAAAAAAAACAACTTAAAAAAAACAACAATTGAACCAGCTGAAAGGGGGTTTGGTTACTTCAACATTTCCTCTAATTATTGCGAAAAAATTATGCTTCCAGCTTTTTATTTTTTGGTATTTTTCTTCACTTCTTCTATTGCACTCGACAATCATATTCGACATATTCGTCATGTCATGTTTCATGGGTTCCTACAAGAGCACAGTGCAGGCTTGGCAGCTGCTAATATTAAAAAGATATATGGCGAGGACTCACCCTCCGAAAGAACGTGTCGAGTATGGTTTGCCAAGTTTCGATCTGGGGATAAATCTTTGAAAGATGCAGAGGGCCGTGGAGCGGCACCCCAACTGGATGATTCCAAATTACTCGAACGCATTACCAACGACCATCGGGTATCATCGCGTGAATTGGGAGAAGAGTTAGGGGTTGATCATGCTACAGTGCTAAGGCGCATTCATACCCTTGGATTTAAATCGAAACTTGGGACTCTAGTGCCCCATAACCTCATTAACCCCCAGAAGTGGCAGCGCGCCTCCATCAGTGCCGCTCATCTCTCACGATACGAAAGGAAATCCTTTCTTCCTCGAATTGTGACAGGAGATGAGAAATGGGTTTTATCTGTGAACTTTCAGAGGAAGTGGCAATGGGTGGGGCCAGGCGAGAAACCCGAAAGTGACCCCAAGCCTGATTTGCACCAGAAGATGTTTATGCTCTGCGCTTTCTGGGATATGGAGGGAATGGTGTACTGGGAGTTGCTGGATAGCAAGACGACCGTTAATGCAATCAAATGCAGTGAACAGTTGGAAAAGGTGAATGAATCCCTGAAGAAGAATAGGCCCTCCAAGTCAAAGATCGTTCTCCTTCACGACAACGCGCGCCCTCATGTTGCAAAACTGACTCGCTCTAAAATAAATAGCCTTGTTTGGGAACTTTTGGCGCATTCCCCATACAGTCCGGACCTCGCCCCTTTTGATTACTATTTATTCCGGATCAAGTAATGAGCTTGCGGGAGAACACTTCGATTCGGACGAAGCAGTCAAAAATTGGCTTTGAAAGTTTTTCGATTCAAAACCAAAATCCTACCACGAAAGAGGAATCCGCAAATTGCCTGTAAAATGGGCAGAAGTCATCAATAATAATGGAAATTATTTGGAATGAATTTATGGTTTTATGTTGAATAAATTTTAGTTCAAAGTCCCGCAGTTTTCAATTCACCAACCCAATAGCTTTTCTAAAATGTGTCAACTTTAGAAACTTACCGTAATCTTGTCTCCGTTTTCTCTTTACTTTTATTCCTTTACTGGTTAAGGATGCAGCAAGATACCAAAAGATTAAAGTAGCTTTTGAAATAGGGACGTTTTAGCAAAGCCAGTAGTTTTAACAGTGAACAGTATTTACTAAAAAGTGCTCATTTTAGATTACAAAAGATCAGATGTTTGATTCATCGACATCCTCTTCTCTCTTGAACTTGTCCACGTTGCTTGCACTCAAAATACAAATGACAACGTGGGAGGAACAGCTGAGAAACTATGAGAAAAACTCTAATGAAACCCGAATTTACTTTCTAGATGCCGTTCGGAACTTTGAGGCAATGCCTATATTTTATAAATATATTAAAAATACTTCAGAGTGTATGAACACTTTAGCAGACAGTAAGATTTCATTCTAGTTACCGTAACCTTTTTTCTTCCTTTCTTCTTCCTCTTTGTCTTTCCTTCTTTCTCTTGGCGAGTTAAGGTACCGGTTAGCTCAGTGATTAGAGCAATTGCCCGGAAAGGAAAAGCTTGAAAGTTCAATGATTCTCCGGAAATTCACTTTTCCTTGTCAATTTCTTCACTTCTTTATTACTATAATACATAGCAAGTAAAGTAACCAATGACCATACAAAGTTAACAAAGATGACAGTGTCTTACACCCGGGCAAGTACCTACTGTAATTAGAAATAGACATAAAAAACGCAGAACTCACTCATTAATGCATTTTTCCCGATGAATTTCTTTATGCAATACACTGTTTAGAAACTAACAAACAGCGACAGGCGAAACATTTCCAAACTGAAGAAAAAATTCACTTTCAAGAAGGTAACAAAACCCTGTGTCGATTACACAGAGGTCGAAGTACTTTTTTCGATCACATTGAAGAAAATGGTAACCTTTTTCTTGATAAAACAAATATCAACAATTGTAGCTCCACGAGTTTTATGGGTCGCACTCATTTCAATGGTTGAAGGTTACGGTTTTCTGGATTCAGTCGACTTTCCAAAGCATTCTTTACTCTCGCGATTCGCAAGAAGCCTTGGAGCCAACCTTGGATGCAACGATAATGGATTGTTGGCTAGAAAAGTCTTTACAGAAATTTGTGAGTCTTGCTGATTTGGGCCTAGGCCAAACTAGACACTGGATCAGCTCAGGCCAAAGCCATTTTGTTACTTTCAGCCGTACAAAGGCAGCACTTTCCTTCTTGAGCTCTACTCCTATTTGATTGATGCCATTCAAGATATGCCAACGAAAAAACCTATAAGAATCGACTGCAAAAGAGAATTAAGGAAAGGCAACGAGTTAATAAAGTTTGCGTTTAGACTTTTTGCACGTCCTAAGTCAGAAAACACAAAACGTGTCATTTTTGAAAGCTACCGTAACCTTGACTTTAGTTGTTGGCCAATATTTCGCAAGAGATATGGAGATTAGATAAAGCTGACGCAAGACTATGGTAGTTGAAAAGTTGAAATATTAACCTTTTACAGTTTGTTTAAATCCTTTAACGTGACCTATTGCAAATCATTTATTTATGGAAAAATGAAAGAATTTTGAGAAGACAAGAGAACCTAGCTATAATTTTTCTATGATAAATACCGTTACTTAATATTCGTAAATAAAATCACAAACATTATGATCAGGAACCGGTTGAACTTTGTTAAAAAAGTTATACCTTATCGCTGGGTCTTTTGAGTATTGGATCAAAGCTGAGGCAAGACTATGGTAGTTGGAAAGTTGAAAATATTAACCTTTTACGGTTTGTTTAAATCCTTTAATGTGACCTATTGCAAGTCATTTATTTATTGGAGAATGAAAGAATATTGAGTAAACAAGAAAAAATTCAAATTGAACTGCAAAAAATTTATCACAAGCCTGTACATTCAATTGTTTAGAGTAACTTGCGAAAATGTCTCTAGAAAGTCTTCCAACTCTTTGAGGCGAGTCTCATACACAGATTTTTCTTCATCCTCATGATTGAGTACCCATTTGAACTCGTCCCTGCCACGTTCCTGCACCTTCGCCTTGTCATCGATACTCAGCTGGGAAAACTGAAACTTTAGCAACAGTTGGGATTATCCATTGAGCGATTAGCTTACAATTTGCATACAAAACAAGGTATAAGATGTGGATAACTATTGCTATTCAAAATATGTAAAAATATTAACAAAAAACCCTACCCTTTCTTTTGTGGCTTCCTGCATTTTATACGAGAACTTTTTCAATGCCATCAGGCTTTGATAGGTTCGCTCTAATTCCGCATCTTCGTTGGCGTTTTCAATGGCGCTGCGAAGATTACTTTCGATGTCTCTCTAAAATAAAAATGGTAATCAAAATTTGGGTCTCGTTATCTCGAATCCGAAAAAGCGCTCAAAAATTTGAAACAGTCATTTTCTCTAACTTTTTAATAAAAGGAGTATGAAACGCATTGCATCTTTTTACAGAACGGCTTAGCATTAAATTCAAGTATTTGTTTTTAACTTGGAATTTGAAGATAGAGATTGATCTTCAAAGATAGAGATTGATCACATTTGAATAATTTTGTGACTCCTTTTAGATCAATAAATTTTTCTAGATTCTATTGCAATCAAAACTTGCAAGTTTCCTTTGTCAACAATCCCAGAAATCGTCAAAAATTGCGGATTAGAGAGCTCACTTTGAAATTTTGGCTTGTAAAGTAGCCCAAATCTATTATCATTACTCACCACATCTCTGGTGTTTGTGCTTTTCTCGATTGTCAACGAATTGCTTTTCCCCGAAGAGAGCTCTTCGGCAGTGACCTCCAGAATACCATTCTCATCTAGCGAGAACGTCACTGCCACGGTCGTCTCTCCTTGCTTGGCGCTGGTGAGTTCGATGGTAAATTGACCAAGGAAATAGTTCAACGCCGCTCTTTTTCGTTCTCCTTGATAGACCTGAACTTGTATTGTTTATTTTTGACTTTCCCAAGCAAGAGGTACTTTCAATCGCATTGTCGTTTGCCAATCGTGGACCGTAAATGCCTTCGTATTCGGGAACTTCAAGCCGATCAACAGGCCCTTTCTTTCCGGTTCTCCTTCTCGTTCATAGTGACAATCTCTGGTGTTTACTCTCATCAATATCAATATCAATATCTTCTCATCAATAGCCTTTTCTCCTTTGCTTGCAAAAATGGAAAGCCTTAAGAGTTTTTTGGATCTTTTTGAGTTATTTCATCTAACAAAGTTTCCATCAAGTAAACAAAGGTTGTTCTGTGTTGTTCGATGTTCTCCCAAAAGAGAATCAAGCGAAAAGTTCGCTCGAAAAGCGAATGTGCTTCGAGAAACTCACGGTACTGCTGATTGGGACACGTTGAATATAATATTTTTAGATGCATTTGTAGGAAAAAAATCGTTGTGTACATTTTTGTCTATTTATATCAATCTCTATTTATAATATGATTGTTTAATATAATATAATTCAAAAAATATTAGATGAAGATCGCGAAAAAATGGAAAGAATTATTGACCCAGGAGGCAAGAGGGTACTTCTTGCCTATCCCTGCCGCTGTTAAAGAGTCAGGGGCGAGAGTAATTTTCCCCCCTACACCTCCCCTGTGCCACGGTGGAAACCGGTAGGTCACTCGGCTAGGGTTTACCCCGGGAGTCGCGCCTTACCATGGTGTATCCTTCCAACCGACGCAAGCACCAAAGCACCATGGGATTTTACCGAGTCTTGTTCTGACTCAGCTTAACGAGAGCTTGTGACAAACTTAAATGATCCGATCTCCTTGCCACAATATGCATTTCAGGTGTTTCTAGGCAAGCAACTAGGGCGTTTCTAGGCAAGCAACAGGCTATAATTTTGAAAAAAATTAACTTAAAGTTGTTAACGTTGAGCGTATTGATAAGTGTGTTTCCTTTTTAGTATTAAACTTGTACAAAATAAGCTCTGAAACTAGTAATCTACTGTTCCCAGTATATGAATCGCTAGAATATTGAACACCGTGTCTGCGAAATGACTTAAAACTATTTAAATGTTAAGATTTCTGTTAAGAAACTTCAATAATAATCTAAAAAATGGCACACGATCTAGTTCATTTAGCTTCTTAGAGTTGGTTGATGTCAATATAAAATGCAAATCATTTTGTGCTCGTAAATTTTCACTTCTTTTGATGAAAGTCAGGAAATATAAAACTTTGTGTTGGTTAAAGGCAGTATTTTTTACTTTATTTCAATCTTTTCGTTCAACCTTTTCTCTCGCCTTTTGCAGGTTTGCAGAGATTCATTTTCTTTTATCAACTATGAGTTCAACAAGCTCAAATTCTTAAATTTTAAAAAGAACAAAAGAAAAATAAAGACATTGAAAAGAGACAAAGCCTAACAAACATTGCATAAACATTCAAAGGCTAAAATTAAATTTTCCTCCAGAATATCTCCAACAATTGCGTCAATCGATCCTCGTCTCTCTCGTTTTTCTCTTTTATTTGATCGGCTGTTGGCAAAGGGCAAAGGCAATTCTGCAAGTCCCTTTTTAACTTAAAGAACGAATTTGGTAAAGATTTTCGGTGGTATTCTCCGGTTATACCTCAAATGCATCAATCCGGTTATAATCCCTTAAAATCTACATTTTAATATCTAGTTTATCATACATTAAGTGCCCGCACTAGATAAATCCATGAGTCAAACTAAAGTCAAGATATTTAGACATGGCAATACATAGACATAGACAGGCAAGACATAGACATGGCAAGACAGACATGGCAAGACATAGACAGGCAAGACGTAGACAGGCAAGATATAGACAGGCAAGATATGGACATGGCAAGACAGACATGGCAAGACATAGACAGGCAAGACATAAACATGGCAAAGTAAGTGCCCAGTTCCCTTGATGTTTAGGCTATCATGCGTGTGATGTGAAATTTGAGGATATAACTGTGAAAGCAGGATATAACCGGTAAGTATCTTTTGACTTCTTATCTTTTGATCTTTTGACTTCTTAAAAGCAAACATTCATCAATAGAAGATAGGGATAGTTAAGGCAAATCGAGGGTTTAACTCTCTTCTGTGGATTCACCGATAGGAGCTTCTCTAGCATGATGATATGCTAGAGAAGCTATGCAAGAGAAGATACATAATTGTACATAATACATTAATTGCCCGCACTGGATAAATCCATGAGTGAAACTAAAGTCAATCAAACTAAAGTCAGTCAAACTAAAGTCAAGATATTCAGTCATGGGAAAGTAAGTGCCCAGTTCCCCTTGATTTCTGGGCTATCATATATGATGTGATGTATCATATGTGATGTAAAATTTTGCAGGATATAACCAGACTGATGCAATGAAGGATAGAATCGGAAAGTATCTTTTGATTTCTTAAGAACAAACATTCAACACTTGAAGATAGGAATGGTTAAGGCAAATTGAGGGTTCCATCCTCTTCTGTGGATTCACCGATAGGAGATTCTCTAGCAGATTTCGTAGATTTCCTCCTGTAATACGATAATGAATTACAATCATTGATTCTTTACTGTTCAATTGGTCCAAATCCCTTGTCAATCGAGAAAACGCTCGCTCGAATTCTTTATTGAGAGTCGATGGACGGCACTCCTCGTTCAATAGACTCTCTCCGAATCTGAAAACAAGATGGATGAGCTTCTTTTCAAATTGATTTTTATGAAACTCCAAGATGTCAAGCAAAACACCCACATATCTTCATATTTATTCGTCGGGAGACCGACCACGTCGAGAATTCTTTGTTTGACTTTATCCTCTCTTTTCTGCAAGAATGAGACTATTTATGAGGCTAAAATCTAGAACCATATCGGTCGGATACATCAATTTCGTTCCCAACATCCTGAAAGCGATCAACCCAACCGCCCAAACGTCCACTAAATGAGTTATGTGTTTAGGAAAGACTCAACGGTTCTTTGTCGTCGAGTTACCGAATCACCCACCTCCACAGTCATATCCCAGTCCCAGGATCACCTCCAATGGCTGGTAGATCAACGGAGTTGGGACAATTTTCGTGTGATCTCTTTGCGAATTCGTTTGTCTAATTGAGGGAAACGTGAAATTCGGAAACGTTACCACAAACTTACTCAGATACCCCGTAATCGAGCAATTTAATCACAAAATCTTTCCGATTCAGTCCAATATTCTTCGGCGTCACATCCTCAATATTCGCATGTTTTGACGAATTATTGTCTCTTAAAACGCACAAACCCGATGCATGATCCCTCGCAAGTGCAAGAAATCCAAAGCTCTGAGCAGCTGCACGAGAAGAGAAGCCAAATATCGATGCTCGCGTAGAATTGGCCCCTTCTTCTCATCGTTGTCTTGTTTTGACAAACGCCTAAATGACTTGAATAGCTTTCCGATATCACTCGAATTGGTACAGACTCGAAATAGAACTCCAAACTACAGTCCATTCGTTCGGTGACCAGCCATACATAGCCGGGTCTTCCGTTGGGAAAACTCTCGTAAAAAGAGTCTTTCATCTCGACAATCTATAAGGAGAAAATAAAATGCCAGCCTCGGCACTCGCTCACATTCGGATGCACTAAAAATTGGGTGTTTTGAAGTTCGCGGAGGAGAAACGTGAATCCTTGATGTTTGTCGCTCTGTTTCGCGTTTCGTTTCAACTCGGCAATGTCGAATCTGAAACTGAAAAGTCGAAAAAGCCACAAGAGATTGCTCGCCTCTTTGCAGCTACTCTCTCTCTCGATTCGTCCTTTTGGCCAATTTTCTTGATGAACGACGCGGCTCTGAAAACATTTGTTTTTGGCTCAAAGCCATCACTGCTGTTATTTTTAACTTTAAAGGTTACAAAAAACTCTTTAACACTTATGCAAAAACTTTGGTTTTCGAGAAAAAAGTAAAACTTCAGAGATTTCGAAAATTTCTAAGACTTTTATCCATGACTCTATACGACTAATGTATTCTTGAGGCTGTCAACCAATTTTAATAAATTTAATAAGCAATCCTCTATATCTAAAGATCTAACAGTGAGTGACTCACATGACAATGGCTTGCGATCTGGGAGCGAGCTCATGAAAACAATGTTTGGGAATTCGCTCATCTCGAAAGTGCTTATCATCCTTAAAAAACGATTTCATTCAAACCCAAATCGACTACTTTTCTCTTACCAAATCGGGCTCATAATTGATTGGCATCAGCGTTGTTCCTTCAAAGATTTTCCAGATTGGAGGCTGATTTATGTTCGGATTTTGTGTGTAAATCCTTCTGCAGAAAACGATTTCTCGAGAATTTCCGCTCATCTTTGAATCGGCAATGATGGGTTTTAAATTGAAAAACCCTATAATATACTTAAAAAATGAAAAATGAAAAATTGAAAACGTAAAAGATTTTCTAAGATGTTACCTAATTTAACCATTGGTGTCACTTTTCTGATTTTTGGAGTAGACACCATTTGATTATCATGCACGTAACTTTTCAAGCACAATTCACATAGATTTTCACCATTCTTCAATTTAAGCCATTCTGTGTGTTGCTGAAATTGATTTATTGTTATTTTTAAAATTTCAATTCGATTACCAAGCCTTGTTATTGTTAGAAAGACAACGCACTTTTCGCAAATCTTTCGTTGTCAACAAAGCGGCAAAAACTGGAGTCCGATCTTTTGCTTCCAATTGAGTTCCACTAAAAATACGTTTTTCAAATCTAATTTTTAGCCCGCCTCTCAATTAACTTTTGAAGTTTCTCAAAAAGACTTGGCTCCTTAAGTGGAATATCTTTAATGTGGGAAAATTTCGCTGCGAAAGGGCGGTGTTTTAGCTCCTCATCATCAAATTGGGCTTCACTAAAAATAAAAATTTTCTTCTTTTTTGATTCAGAAACCTTTTCTCAACAATTTCCCAAATTAAAATAACAGCACTGTAGACATCGCTAGCACTTGTTATCTAAAATATTAATTTGTTTAGTGATTGGATTCTGAATAAAACTGGATCATTTTTTGGCTCTCCTTCTCGTCTAGAGTTGCCAAAACCAGCGAGTTTAAGACCAAAGCTTCCAGTCGCCAAAGTGCTAAAATTAAGATTGAAAGTATACTTTGAAAGGACGCGCTTTCCCTGTCGTTTTGATTTAGATTAAATACTTTTGGTTTCTCATGATTCCCAAATATTGTTGAAAAATTAAAGCCTACTATTAGAAAAATAAAACAAAAAATAATAAATTTTGATAGAAACAAACTTTTCATGGTTGATATTTGCATGTACAATGTCACGTTCAGAAAGATAGCAAATCGCTCGGAATAGTTGTTCGGCCCACCATAAAATAGTTCGTAACGAATATTCAAATTCTTGTTGAAAGATGACTAAAAACAACGAGAAGTCTTTTTTCTCACATACAGGTTTCGTAAGTATTAGATTACTTATTTTACGCTTGCTTCATGAATGTTAAAAAAAAGCACTTAAATCTACCGTAATCGCCATTTGATCAGTTCAATTTTTGTATCATCAACTGATCCTCATGGTTTCTCATCAATGTTATCAAGTTAAGAAGCTGATCGACAGAAAACTGGTGGTTTGATTACAACAGTTTTCGAAAGCCTTTTCAAAGTGCAATAATCAAAAGAGAACCACGAATCAGTAGTACCGTTTAATTAAGTCACTTGGTCACAAGAAAAAAGGATCACTTTTGGATATTGGTCCTCTTTCACAATACTCCATTACAATCCCAAGAGTCGGCGTCATCACAGTGCCCAAAAATGAAACAATGTTTGGATGGACAAGCTTGCTCAAAGTCTCGGTTTCGTTTTTGAAAACACCATAGTAGTAATCGTCCTTGATAAGATAAAATTTCACAACACGATGGCTAAAATTGAAAAAGTTTTTACAAATATACGAAAAACTTACGTGTCTTTGTCTAAAACGATGTGCTTTTTGGTGGTGAAATACAAGTCTTTTTCGACTACGACATGCATCCTTTAAGAAAAATGTCAGCTTTAGTATTTATAGCTGAAAATTAGCACTAGAAATGACAATGAAAAGAGAAATTTTGAGTGAAGAAATTTCAAAGCAAAGGTTTGGCAATCGTAGTTGGATTGCCAATTAGATAAGAAATCTCGATGGGCCCATGCAGTCATGGGAAAACTGCATGGGCGCTTTTTCGGCTTCAACAAAATTGATTGATACGAGAGTGCGAGTAGAAAAGAGAGGCTGATACGAACAGTTCTACACTTTCTTTCCTCATAAAAAGTTTTGTTTCATTGCATTAATGTTTTCAAACAAAATCTTTACTTCAATGCTCTTAAAATTATTTGGAAATTTTCTCTACGGTCATATTGATTTAGTCAGCAATGAAAAAGTGTGTTACTAGTGGGAACGCTGAGCAATTAAACTCCTTGTTATCTTTCTCCCAATCCTCAGTTAATTTTTTGCCTAATAACTATTGTTTACAGTTTCGACCCTCTCAATTTTCTATGTGAATACCCTTTTAAGATCTTAATTTTACGAGAAGAATCAGCTGTCGCAAAAAATAAATGCACAACCCTCGTAAGCGACATACAACGTTCCAAATCTGTTAAGTATTTCCTAGAAAGTCAGCAATCAGTCGGAGGGAGTTTCGGTGGGCACGTCAACACTCTACAAATAATAAGAGAGTCGATTCATTTTTTTCAACACTCCACAAGAAATCATTTTTAGTAAACAAGTGGACAGATACGAGATTGTGCCCGGGAAAGATCCAAAATTTTCTGATGTAATATTGGAGACACCAAATTGTATCCTTAGTTGTAAAAAAGTTCAGGGTACAATCAACAAACATGGTGGTATGTAAATCAAATATTTCTGAAAAATCCATTTGCAGAAGCATACTCTTTGAAGTGGAAAGAAGAACTTGGAAACGGGGGAAATGGAGAGATTTGGAAAGTTGAGTTTACTAGTCAAAGGTTTGTCATTTGCATCTACTATATTATAATTTGAAATTTTTTTGTCGGTTTGTGTGGTTGTTACTACGATTTCACTTCACCAGTTGTGTTTTGCAGAGAGTAAAGTATCGAACTAGGGGTAACCAGGGTGAGGAAGACGGGGAAGTGATCAGATTTTAGGAGTCGTTGTTTATTTAAATAGCTTACTAGGGGTCGTTGTTTCTTTACCACCGAGTTTTGAAGTGGGACCTAGCCTATTTTGTAGCAAATTTTTCGCTGATTTCGAATATCCAGGCCGTTTGTGTGTAATTAGTTTTCAAATTTTCGTTTTAAATCCGTTTGAAGTTTGTGTGCAAAAAAATCAGTTTTTGAGTGGGTTGCGCTTTTTATCTGACCGCGCGAGTATCAAGCGATCTTGCGTTCCTGGGGGGCATATCGTCGTGGCCGACATATTCGCGCGATCAGATAAATAGCGCAACACTCAAAAACTGTTTTTTTTTTACACACAAACGATCTGGATATTCGGAATTGGCGAAAAATTTGCTACAAAATAGGCTAGGTCTCACTTCGAAACTCGATAATAAATAAACAACGATCCCTAGTAAAAAAGTGTCAAAAAATGTCGGTTTTGTCTAATAAAAAAGTTATGCTGAACAAAGTCCCATGTATTAGGTTGGCGACATTGAACTTTCGTTTTTGAGCGACAACAAAATTTATTCGTAAAAATAAACTAGAAACAATTAATCAACAATATATTCCCCACAGCTATCAATAACATTTCTCTACCTTTGACGCAAATTATGGATACTCTCTTGAAAGAATTGTGCTGGTTTTGATTGAAAGAAAATAGAGACCCATTTTTGATGTCGTCAATGTTCTGGAACTTGTGGCTTTCGAGTGAATGCCGCATCCTTCGAAAGAAATGGTAGTCAGACGGGGCAATATCTGGACTATAAGGGAATTGCTCAATTTTCTCTTGCGTAATTTTTGCAACGTGAGGACGAGCATCGTCGTGTAACAAATCGCACTGTTGTCGGAACAATTCCTTTTGAGCGAAGAACCGCGTTCACGCGATCCAGTTGTTGAACGTAAAGCTTTGCATCAACAGTCTGACCAGAAATTAACACTTCGAAATGAACCAGGCCTCGAGTATTCCACCAAACCGAAAGCATAACTTTCTTTCCGTGAAAATCCGGTTTAGGCATTGGCTTTGGAATTTCACCCGGGTCGAGCCATTGCCTTTTCCTTGTAATATTGTCATAATGAATCCATTTCTCATCAGCAGTTAAAATTGAATCCCAAAATCTACTATTTTTGGAGATTCGAAGCAAATTTCCTGAACAAAGAACTCTGATGGCTTTTTTTGCATCACTTAGTGAATGTGGAATCCATTTTCCAGCTTTATTGATCTTGCCCAATTCATGCAAATGGTTTTCGATTGTTTTATGATTCCGCAAGTTCACGTGTAGTCTTTGTCGGATCACTTTCGATTATCTGCTTCAAATCGTCGTTTGCGACAGCCTGCGAGCGGTGTCCTCGTTCCAGATCTTCCAGACTTTCGTCACCCGCTCGAAATCTTTTGAACCAGTTTTGACATTGACGAACAGTGATAACATCTTTCCCAAATACGTTAGAAAGTGATTCATGCGATTCCGTTGATGTTTTTCCTTGTTTGAAATCGTACAGCGAACAGATGCGAAGTCGATATTTGAGGTCGTCTAGCATTTAAAAGATTTTTTTATTAAAATTCTTCAACTGGGAATAAAGAAAAGACGCGTAATAAAGCACAATAATTATATCTTTAAAACAGAAGAGATTGCGGTGATAATAGTATCCACAGTGTTAAAATCCATAAAGAGAAACGCAAACGAAATTTCAATGTCGCCAACCTAATATTATAGTTTAACTTATAGAGAATTTTTTTCTCCATCGAATGGTACCAAATTTGTAAAAAAAATATTGATTCTGCTCGATTTTATGCCATTAGTTCGGATGCGGACGTAACATATGCACTGAGGGTAAACTCGTGATAACACTTTTCAGCAGCTTGCCTCGTGAATATGCCGCAAAGAACACAAAAACTCGAGAAGATATTTACTCACAAAATATTGCTTTGAACGAACTACGCCACGAATGTGAAATACTAAAACAACTCGATCATGCACATATTGTGAAATATATGGGCTTCGCCGAATTCCAACACGATCAAATCTCGAAAAGGTTTGTTTTGCTGTTGGAGAAATGTGATGGTGGCGACTTACTAACTAGTGAGTTTGTTTAAAAGTAAAAGCCGCTTGTGCAATGTTACGAAAACGTTCAAGACATTTAGTGATCAATGACAGACACAAGATCTATTCCGTGTATACAGTCGTTTATTGGGCAGAACAGTTGTTTTCGGCGCTTGAATATTTACGGAAGGGAAATTTCATTCATCGGGATATCAAAGCAGAGAAGTGAGTTGAAAAGTGGATCAACTATACGTACTTTAAGCTCAAACTAAAAGTAATAGTAGTAAAAATTGAAATTTAAGCGTTCTTCTATCTATAAAGCAGTTCTTATCTCCAAATAAAATCGAATATGATGTGAAACTTTGCGATTTTGCCTTTACGATTCGTCGCGAAAACACTACGTTTTTTTTGATGAAAACTTCAGAGGAATTTCCTAAAGGAACATATGCTTCAATGAGCCCTGAAGTGTACAATTGTATGGTAAGAAAAAGAATATATATATTATCGAATATCCATGTAAATAGGTCTGTCACCGTAGCGACATTTTCTGCCTTGGTCTCGTCTTGTGGTTTTTGATTGAAAGAAGGTTAGACATTTACTGTATGAACAATTTGTTCATTATGTTTATAGTCTTATGTCCAAGACTTTCTATAGCGCTTTCTAGAAAATTCTATTCCTGCCCATCCGAATGGAAAACCTATCAAACAGCAAAACAGCAAGAACCATCATTCGTCAATTGCCGAGACGATTTACGAAATATCATTTATGAGTTAAACTGAAAAAGTTCTCAAGTTTTCAAAGAGTGAATTTAGTTGCACTAGGAAAAAGTTTTACAATCGGGCTCAGGATGCAGAAGAAGTGCGACATCGGTTGGAAACAATATTACAGGTGTGCTATTAACGTTTAGCGTTAATAACCTGAACAACTGCTTTTTGCTCATAATAGCAAAAAATTTTCAATTACAGGTTAACAATAAATAACCAGTCCTTATGTTTTGAGCATTTCTAAAATACAATCAAACCTCTCTGGTTTGACCGATGGGTGTCGTTATACAGAATAACGACACCCCTCGGGACGGGGACCAGACTGGTGTTGTAGAGAGATGTCGCACATAGGTTACAAAAATAATCGTCTTTAAATCAAAAATCCGAACACTACAAATTTTAAGTTAGGCCCAAAAATGAACGGAAAAAATAAAATAATCCGAAACCGTCTATCCAAAATTTCAGAATTAAAGGCGGCGACTTTGATGTTAGTGAAATTTCATATTTCATCGAACCATAAAGTGTTATATGTCATTCAATAGCTCTTTTCACGCTCTTTCAGAATACTGAATTGAGTTTTTGTGGAATTCTATTTTTCCAGGAAATTTTTTCCATATTCGGCGCCGAAAAGTCAAAATAATTTTTTTTCACGAAAATCTAGCTGAAAAACTAGGCTCAAAAAGCAAATTTCTGAATTCTACGCAAAAAGTTGGTTGGGAATTGTTTTTTAATTTTGTGTTTTGGTCAATGGAAACGCGAGCTCTGAAACCTAGGTTTTTTAGAAATGCGCGGTTATATGGCCCACGCGCACCTTTGATGTTGGTAAAATTTTTCTTTTGTGTCAAATCATCAAGTGTTATATATCATTCGAAAGCATTTTTATGCGTTTAAACGTGGCGGAAAGAATATACCAAAAACTTTGACTTTTTATTAGTTTTCTCCGATTTTATAATCTGGAATGCAGTTTTTTTCTGGTTCTGCGGTACTTGCAGATCTGGTATAGTCTAGAAAAAATTTATTCTAAAATAGTGAAGAACGCAATTTTTTTGAAGAAAGAGTTACAATTCCAGGAAAGTTGAAATTTGAGAGTATTTGTCAATCTCGGGTAGGCAACCCAGGTGCCCAGACAAATACAGACTGCCTTGACAATTACTCGATAAATTACTATGCCAAGGGCATAGTAGGACAATTACTCGATAAATTACTATGCCAAAGGCATGACAGATGATAAAGTTATTAATGTCAATTGCAGGAGAAAATCATTTAGTTACAGACAATTTTGCTTTCCGATTATTTATTTTTGATTATTAGCGTATTATTATTTTTCCTATTACATTCGTATTTCCAACACTTTCAAAACAAAAGTTATAATTTGCAGATGGGACGAACATCAGAAGCCAAAAAGTCTAGAAGTGGCAACTTGGAACATGGACGCCAAACCAATCAAAACAACATGCACGGATTACGAAGTGGGAAAGTTCATGCAAATCCTGTGGAATCAAAAGAAGAAAGCTCATCACGATCCGCAGACAATCAACAAAAAGAAAACGAATTCGACAGGAAAGCACATTTGAAAGGAGCACGGAAGGCAAGGATTTTGAAAGATAATGAAAAGAAAAGAGCCGAGCAAAATCTTCAAAACGCCATCTATGTGGCAAAAGCAAAGCAAAACGATGATGATTCTGTTGCTTCAACCTCACATATTCAAACCAAATCACCGACTCCTCCAACTCCAGAAGCTCTGCTCGGTATGAAAAAAAGTGCCAATCTATCAAATAAAGGACTATTAGCTGTAAACCATTTTCTTCAATCAAACCAAGGAGTAACCATTGGCTCACAACGAACTATCGAAAAGGCCAAGGAGACTCTGGACCAGTTTGTCAGATATGAAATAGTTCTCAATGAAGGAGTAAGATTGGAAGCTGTGTTGAAAGCTGTTGAAGAGCGGCGAAGAAGATTGGGTCTGCTGGATGAGCGAGGAAAACGGCTGATTTTTTCCCTCGATAAAGGGCACGGCCGAGTTATTTCAACTATTTCATTCCTAATCTGCGAAAAACCGTGCTCGTCTCCGTCTGTCTTCCATGACAAGCTTGGGAAGGTTCAGATTCTTACGACTCGCTGAAGGAAAAGGGAATTTGGAAAGACCTTGAAACTTTGGTGCAAGCCGGATATATGGTTTTTCTCGGTGGAGACCTATCTTTCTTGAACACCAACTTTGGTCTTTCCTGTGCGATGACATTTGGATGTTTATGGTGCAACAAGAGGTTTGACAAAAAACCATCCGCTGATAAGGATTCAATTGATTTTCAACAATATGCTGATCGGAGTGACCCTTCGGTGGAAGCGATGATTTCAAAAGTAAAAGGTCTGCAGGCAAAAAAAGAAAATCTATTAAATATTTCTCGAAGTTTGGTAATTCCCCCAATACTTCATGCAAAAATCAAGATTGGAAACCAACTTTTTGAACAATTGGTGAAACTCGAAGGCTCCTCTCAGACTTTCCAAGATGTTTGTCGAAAATGCAAGTTGGATGTGGATCGGAAGAGTGATGGGATTATCTATGCTCGTTTCAACGGAAACGATATAAAGAATCTCTGTCGATCCTCAGTGATTTCTGATTTAGCAGTCGTTTCTTCCTCCCGTTCCTATCAAGTAGTCATTTCTGCATTACGTGAGTTCAACAAATGGTCTCAAATGGCTTCAACCACTAAAAGTGTTCTTTCGGATAAAGAAATAAAAGATTTGGCTTGCAAAGGCAAACATTCAAAAGCCAGAAATTGCTGCCAAACAGCGATTCTTTCCGATGAACTAGAAAAAGTTGGTGGTTTTGGACAAAGTGTACTGGTCCATGCTCTACTCTTACATCTTGGCCCATTTGTCCATGAGCATAAATTCATCGGAAATGCATCCGAAGAGGGCATTGAGGCAGTTCACAGCAAGCTAGAATCTGAATTTGCTCGTAACAAGACAGGACCACAACAAGAGCGACTAATGAACTCGCTTAAGTGGCTCGGTTATGTTGTTCTCCTCAAGGATGATGGAAAGATGATTTAATGATCTTAATTTCCTCCTTTTGATTCTTTTTTTGTCTAATTCATGCTTATAAATAGAATAAATTTTTTCTAGACTATACCAGATCTGCAAGTACCGCAGAACCAGAAAAAAACTGCATTCCAGATTATAAAATCGGAGAAAACTAATAAAAAGTCAAAGTTTTTGGTATATTCTTTCCGCCACGTTTAAACGCATAAAAATGCTTTCGAATGATATATAACACTTGATGATTTGACACAAAAGAAAAATTTTACCAACATCAAAGGTGCGCGTGGGCCATATAACCGCGCATTTCTAAAAAACCTAGGTTTCAGAGCTCGCGTTTCCATTGACCAAAACACAAAATTAAAAAACAATTCCCAACCAACTTTTTGCGTAGAATTCAGAAATTTGCTTTTTGAGCCTAGTTTTTCAGCTAGATTTTCGTGAAAAAAAATTATTTTGACTTTTCGGCGCCGAATATGGAAAAAATTTCCTGGAAAAATAGAATTCCACAAAAACTCAATTCAGTATTCTGAAAGAGCGTGAAAAGAGCTATTGAATGACATATAACACTTTATGGTTCGATGAAATATGAAATTTCACTAACATCAAAGTCGCCGCCTTTAATTCTGAAATTTTGGATAGACGGTTTCGGATTATTTTATTTTTTCCGTTCATTTTTGGGCCTAACTTAAAATTTGTAGTGTTCGGATTTTTGATTTAAAGAAAAAAAAATTTACACAGGGGTGTAATCGATGTGTGTCGTTATAGAGAAACAAAAAACGTTAGGTTTTCAAACGATAACGTCATGTCGAGGTTTTTAAAGTAAGTTATTGGAAAAGTTTAACAATCAAAACAAACAAAACAAATAGGAATAAACAAGTTAACAATTCTTAAAGTTTTGAGAAAAAAATCAGCTAAATTTGTCTTTTACTGCTAACAACAGAGTGGTTATAAAAATGTTATCAATGCTTTTTAAAGCTTGTAGAGCTTCTTTGTTCGAATCCTTTCTTGCATAATTTTGAAACATTTGAAAACGTTGATAGGCCTGAATCCGTAAAATTGGCTCTTCCACTTCAAGACATTGCTTTTCGAAGACATTTCCGAACGAGCAATAACTTTGTTATCGGCTGTAATTGCTTCCAATGTTCTTATACTTGATGTGACAAGGTTTTCATCAACCAAGCGAAATCCATGGCATTCATAGAATCACCAGTGCCGTCAGTGATGGTCAACTTCTTTCAGAAGACCTTCAAAAATCGTTTCACACCTTCATCATTGTTGTTATTGCTGTCATCATCATTTTTTAAAACCTGCCTTGCGGAAATAATGCTGAGACAGCTTTCACTTCGGTCCATGATTGCTCAAGCAGCTGAAGCGAGTCCAAAAGCTCAAACTCGAAAGCCTTCTTTGATCAATTGCTGTAATTCGGTGCTAAGCCTAAGTATTTTAGCATACTTAGGTAAAACTATAAAAAAACCACTGTTAACAAAAGTTCTGACAAAATCCCGTTTTGTAAAGCTCAAAGTACAGTAGGTTCAGTGCATTTTAGCAAAAAAATCTTTAAAAAGTCACGTTTTGGAAAAAAGGGTCGCTATATAGAAGTTGTCGTTATAAGAGTGTCCTTATATAGACGTTTTTTTCTTAATATTTTGTGTGGTGCCCAACCAAATTTTTAAAAATGTCGTTATATAGAGGGTGGCGTTATACAGATGTGTCGTTATAGAGAGGTTTGACTGTACAAACAATTTTATTTAAAAACTTCAAAAGAAATAACGATTTTAAACATCTCATTAAACAAAATAAACAATCATTTTCGAAATTTCCACCATTTGCCTTTGATGCAGAGCTTGAGACGTTCCGTGAAGTTCTCCACGAATCTCCGATCTCCGATCTCAGCAACAATTTTGTCCCATTCTCGAGTCAACGATCGCTTCTGGGCCTCCAAAACTTTTGTGTGATTCTGCACAGGCCCTTGACTTCAAAATTGACGATAGGTTGTGATCCAAAGGATTGAGATCACAGGAATAAGGAGCCTATTCTTGAGCCGAGATGAAATCCGGGAAATTGGCTTTGTACCAATCCTGCATGGTTTTGGCTCGGTGAGAGGGTGCCGAATCCTGTTGAAAGATCCAAAACTGGTTTCTGAAGTGTTGTTGGGACCAGGGAAGCACTATGTCTTCGAGAATCTCTTTTTGATAAACATCTTTGTTGATTTTCACTCTCTAATCGATGAAAATGAGGGGTCTTTTACCCGTGGCACAAATCCCGACCCAAACCATTACGGACTTTGAGTTTTAACGATGCTGAACGATCAAAGAATTACCCGGAGAGCTTATCGACCAAATCCAATTGTTTTGCCGGTTGTAAATTTGCTCAACAGGGAAGAGCTTCCCATCCGAGAACAGAATTTGCTCCCAATTCGGAGTTGCGCCACGCTTGATCAGTCCACGGCATCTATCTAGTCGGATTCGTTTGTTGTCATCGGTAAGCAATTGTTCTTGTTTGAGCTTATATGGGTGAAGGTTAAGATTTTTAGCAATCTTTCGGATTGTTTCGCGATTCACTCCGGTGTCTGTAGCACCTTCCTTATCGAGATCCCCGAATTTCGGTCGATTCTCTTCTTGATGATTTTTCGGACCCTCAAAGTGTCGTCTGTCCGTTGTCTTCCTCTTTCTGGACGATCTCCGTCATGACCAAAAATTTTGATCTTTTGCTTGAATCTAGCACGGTTGATTTTACCCTCCATTGTTTACTGTGTCGACCCAGCAAAAAACTTATCTTTGTGTAAAGCTTTTCGCTTTTTTGTGCACTCACAGCACTCTTATCATGAATTGAGAATTTGAGCATTGAGCCGAACAAAAATTCTCCTGTAATTGCACAAAGCAGGGACTAAGAATAAATGATCTTGATAGGCTCTGATTTATATATGTCGCAGCCGCTCGTGATTTTCAGCCGCTAGTGATTGAATCACCATTGGCTAGCCGCTAGTGATTGAAAGTTTTTTTAATGAAACATATGGAATACAATGCAGATTTATCTCACATGCAAATAAAAAAGTTAGGTTAATAGGACCAAATATTTTAACACCTCGGGAGGTAACTTCTGTTGCCAAATCTTTTTAAAAAGATGTTTTCGAAAAAAATTTAAAACAACGCCACTCATTCCATCTTTTAGACACAAACTATTACTTTATTCAGTGTTTAATAAGTAATAATTTTTCTTTTAAGTAATAGTTGAGTACTAATTTTTCAACCGTTTCTTTTTTTCGATTTATCTCGTGTATCGTTGCACCTTTTCTAGTTATTTTTTTAGAAATGGAAAGTAAATTTGTCGATCACCTTACGCAACATCAATCTATGAAGAAATACAATTGGATTCCTGATGCCACAAAACACGCCGAAATGGTGAAAACCATCAAACAAATAACCAGTGAAGATACGAAAGGAAAAAGGACCCCTGAAGAAATCAATTTGTTGGCGCACTTTACTTTGCAGAAGGAAAACGATCTGGACATCCTCTCCAACATTGGAAGAACCGAATAAATGAAACGAGTGATCATCAAGGAAAATCTCTTTGAACTGATGATGAAAACACACAATGATCATAAACACGCAGGACCGGATATAATGTGGAAAGCACTGAGGGAATATCGGAGGATATCATCGAGATTTTTGTCAAAGGAGAAATAATTTCGCTCAGCAGTCGGCGCTGAATCTCTCACCGGATCTCAAGGTAACTTTTTTGTAGCGTTTGTTTAATTGCTTTCGTTTAGGCCACAAGCACTGTAAGTGTACAAATGGATGCGTAAATGTCTCAAGTCGAACGTTTTATGCAACAGTCGATGTCACAACAGCAATCCCTGCTCAAACAAGTAACATTTAGTTATTTTTTTAGTTAAACTTGATTTTGTTGTCTTGCACCTTAGGGAAGTTAATTAATTTTTTTGTTGTTAAGCTTGTTTACTTATTATATGTTTGCAATAAATTGTTGAAAAGTGAATAAAAAAATAAAACAGTTTATAAAGAAAAAATATTAAGCAAGATTTACTTTCATTTAAATGACATAATTTTCCGCATTTGGCAGCTGAAGTTACCTCCCGAGGTGTTAAAATATTTGGTCCTATTAACCTAACTTTTTTATTTGCATGTGAGATAAATCTGCATTGTATTCCAAATGTTTCGTTAAAAAAACTTTCAATCACTAGCGGCTAGCCATCGGCGATTCAATCACTAGCGGCTGAAAATCACGAGCGGCTGCAACGTACAGTGCCGCTCAAAGGTAATGGCCCCTTCAAACTTTTTAGGTTTGTCATATAAAACAAATGCACAGAGTAATATGTAAAAGCAAAATGTAGATTTTTCATAAATATGCATAAATATTTTGGTTTCAGCTCATTTTGAATGCTTTCTAGAAGATGACATAAAAAAGAAAACTTAAGGTCGCTCAAAAGTAATGGTTCCCTTGCCAATGCTGTAAAAGTTTTCGAGGCGTAAAAGATATTTATTCAACAAAAACAGTATAAAAAGAACCAAAATCGAAACTAATATTTTGTATTTTGACCTTTTGCATGAATAATAGCTTCAACTCGCCGAGGCATTGATTCAATAAGCTTTTTGATAACTCCTGCGTCAATTTTTGCCCACTCTTGTAATTTCCGGTACAAATTATCAGCATTTTTGCTTTATATCCTTGGCATTGTTCCATCAAGTACTTCCATACATGTTCAATAGGATTTGCATCGGGGCTCTGAGCAGGCCATTGAAGAATGGACACGCGATTTCGATTGAACCAAGTTCTGGTCCGTTGGGCTGTGTGTTTGGGGTCGCGATCCTGTTGAAAAGTCCATCCGTTAGGCAAATTTTGCTTAGCAGAAGGCAACATATAATTTTCCAAGATATCCACATACTTTTCGGCATTCATGATGCCTTTTATGCGCACGAGTGGACCAACTCCCGAACCCGAGAAAGATCCCCAAAGAAGTACCGAGCCTCCCCCGTGTTGGAATATTGTACGCCTGCACGTCCCGTGTGTTCTTTGGTCGTCGAATCCATTGTATTCCAGCAGAAGAAAACAAGTTGACCTTGGTTTCATCTGAAAACAAAACCGTCGACCAATCATCCACATTCCAATTTCGGTAATTCTTGGCCCAACTTCAGCGCTCCTTCTGATTTTTCTTTGAGATAAGCGGCTTCTTTGAGCCATGTCGACCAAATAATCCAGAATCGACAAGTCTTCGCTTTATAGTAGAAATGGAAGGTTGCACACCATCGGTATGTGGAGTATTTTGCAGAATTTCTCTTGCTGTTAAACGAGGATTCGATTTACTTTCGAGAACGAGCCTTCTGTCATATCTTTCGTCAGTAATTTTTTTACGTCCTTTCTTGTACTTGAACTCCAAAACCTTTTTCTTTTTGTAGGCACGATTCCAGCGCTTTGCCGTAGTGTATGGGATTCCAAAACTTCTTGCCGCTCTTTTGACACTCGATCCAGAGGAAACCTTAGCGAGAAGAATTTTGCGTACAGCAAGCGGATAATATTTCTTGCCCATATCTGAAAAAATCAAAATAAATTAGAAATAAACTATAAAATTAGAAGAAAAATTGATTTATGAAAGTTGTTCAACACAGACGCTTAGGGGTGCCATTACTTTTGAGCAACCTTAAGTTTTCTTTTTTATGCCATGTTTTAGAAAGCATTCAAAATGAGCTGAAACCAAAATATTTATGCATATTTATGAGAAAGCTAGATTTTGCCTTTAAAAATATTACTCTGTGCATTTGTTTTATATGAAAAACCTGAAAAATTTAAGGGGGGCCATTACCTTTGAGCGGCACTGTATATGATTCTTTATTCAAGACAAAGTGCCAGAACACAACCAAATACTCAGAAAATAATTTGCAGATAAGAAAATAAGAAGCATGAAATATGATGATCAGAAGTCCATGACAAGCAGATGAATGAGAATTAACTTGAACAAGAACAACAAGATAGCAAATGTTTAAGATCTAAACTATCGGATTCTTAAAGTGAATAGCATTATGAATGGCTCTAATTTTGCTCGGTAGAGTTCCAGAGTCTCGTAGTTCTAACGGGGAAAGGAACTTATTGGAATTGTTTAGCAACTGCAGAACGAAAGGGTTTCTTGACTTAGACCTATTGATGCGTTTGAAAGATTGTTTAAAGCTTCCAAGTTGTTTAAAGGATCCAAGTTGAATACACCTCAAGCATTTGAAAAATTCAACTACCATTTCCAAAATCATTTTTAAAAATCATTCTCTGAACTTTGACATAACGAACTTAATCCATGAAAGAAACAGATGAAACTCTATAAAAAAGTATTATATTTAGCATTTTGTATGTTTTTTGGATCTATGGGGATTTAATTTTTTGTTTTCTCGAATATCGGTCCGTCTTGCTTGACGTGGTAACTTGAAAAAGAATTTTGAAATTAACTTTTATCGCTTTTGTTTTAGAACCGTCGTTTTTTCTTTCTTGAAGCTTTTAATCCCGTTTTTTCTTTGACAAGGTTCAGTCTTCTTTTGGGGTTTTATCGCGGAGATAAGAGTGCTTCTATGGGGCAAATACCGTGGTATTCTCGGAGTTCACCCGACACGGCTTATCTTGACAATAAACTTTTGCAAAACTTTTCACAAAAAATGAATGAAAAAGTGCTTTTTATAAACAAGGAATTGAGAAAAACTTATTTTATTTTATATAAACGGTGGAACAAAGATAATGCTCAGTGAGTTGACCTTGTAAGCGTGGAATCAAAAAATGAAACATTAGCAGCTAACAAATTGTGAACGCAAAATTTCCATTTCACAAAAGAAACTATCACTAACAGAGACGCGTTTGTCGTTTCTGTTGATGATAAATGGGAGTCAAGAAGTGTGAAATCTAACGAGTAAGGTGCTTCATAGATTTTCTTTACTAGTGTGGGCTCCTCTTGATAAAAAATGTTACCAAGATAATGCTTGGTTTCATCTTCTAGCGACTCAAGAATTCCTTGCCTTGTATTGAAAATCACTTATTTAACATGTTAATCAGGCCTGAGCCTAGAAACTAAACTTTTGTAGTTTATGATCTCCGTAAAAGAATGCTCTATTGTTACGTTGAGAGCTGAGAAGAAATTTCATGAAACGAAATTCCTTTCCCAAGAATCGCTAGATAGGCGGCTTTGTTGTGTGCCAATTAACGCGGCATTGTGGGTTCTTTGTTGCTGATTGTCTTATCTAGGCAATAAACTCTTGCCAAGCTTCTCAAGCGTTGATCGGCAAAAAAATGGAAACGAGAATCGTTTTATTATATTTGAAAGTGTTGCTGAGGGACCGATAAATGTGGAAAAAATAGGCGCACGTTTAAAAATCCAGCATTGAAATAGTTGGGTACATTTGAAAATGTTTGCGGAAAAACCGGAAATTGCACAATTAGAGTTCAGCTTCAGGTCAAAACGATCACTCACCAAAAATAAGCACAAAAGTCGCTAGAGGACTAAACGAGTAAGTGGACATTGAAATGACCAAATCATTGGTCTATTCGTTCCTTTATCCAAAGCCGACAATTCGGCTAGACTCTAGTTGTCCGATGACAGGGAAAGAGACAAAAAGTTCAATCAAATCATTGTGGGAAGCTTCTTTGCATTGTCATGAGGATTTGCAATCCACCCACCACTTCTGGTCACCTTCAAAAATGATCTTTGGCTATATTTGACTAGAGTTCCTGCCTCTCAAATAACGATAACGATTTAACGATTTTAAACATCTCATTAAACAAAATAAACAATCATTTTCGAAATTTCCACTATTTGCCTTTGATGCAGAGCTTGAGACGTTCCGTGAAGTTCTCCGCGATAGGCCGCAACAATTTTTTCCCATTCTCGAGTCAACGATCGCTTCTGGGCCTCCAAACTTTTGTGTGATTCAGCACAAGCCCTTGACTTCAAAATTAACTATAGGTTGTGATCCAAAGGATTGAGATCTCAGGAGTAAGGAGGCTATTCTTGAGCCGAGATGAAATCCGGGAAATTGGCTTTGTACCAATCCTGCATGGTTTTTGCTCGGTGAGAGGGTGCCGAATTCTGCTGAAAGGTCTTAAACTGGTTTAACGTTTTAACGATGCTGAACGATCAAAGAATTGCCCGGAGAGCTTATCGATTGTTTTGCCGGTTGTAAATTTGCTCAACAGGGAAGAGCTTCCCATCCGAGAACAGAATTTGCTCTCAATTCGGAGTTGCGGCACGCTTGATCCGCCCACGGCATCTCTCTAGTCGGATTCGTTTCTTGTCATCGGCAAGCAATTGTTCTTGTTTGAGCTTATATGAGTGAAGGTTAAGATTTTTTAGCAATCTTTCGGATTGTTTCACGATTCACTCCGGTGTCATATATATCACACGATTCACCTTCCTTATCGAAATCCTCGAATTTCGATCGATTCTCTTTTTGATGATTTTTCGGACCCTCCAAGTGTCGTCTTTCCGTTTTCTTCCTCTTTCTGGACGATCTCCGTCATAAAGAAAAATTTTGATCTTTTGTTTGTGTTGAATCTAGACTGTTCTTTTTGGCTCACCAAGCAATTGAACGATCTCCACCGGTCGTTTTCCTTGTCAATGCAACGCAAGAAGCGCACTACGGTTGTCCAACATCCTAAAAAGGAACGATAGATTCAAACGACTACAGTCAAAATATAAATATTAAAAAAAGAATCACAGCAAAGAAGAAAAATAACATTTTAAGTGACAGAACGAGTTACAAAGGGGATATGAGTCGCTAGGAAAAAAAAGACGGGTTATTTATTGTCACCCTGTAAAAAAAAAAATGATCGTTTTCAGGATTACCAAAATGGCAAAGCCAGGGCCTTGGGCTTAGAGTTGACTGTGGAAACAGATTTAAGCCAAGATCTAATGATTCGACCACTCGGATTCGATGATACCAAGCAACGACAGGAATGTGCTTCGGTGAGTGATAAATTCATCTATCCATTTCATCTCGTTTCAGAGTTGTGTGATGCTGAACAAAGCCCTTTCATCATTATCAAAAATCGGTGAAACAACTGATCATGAGCCCTCGGATCGTCATCGAAAACTTTTCCTAGAAAAATTTGATGAAGTGCAGCAGGCGAGTTTGGACGCTAAGGAAATTTGTGCCGAACAATCGGCTTTTTTTTCTGAACGCTACGGGGAGATCGATGCTGCATTCAGCGAAAGCGAAAAGATTAGAAGCGATCTGATTGACTTGAGCTTTAAACAGATCCTAAATGCCGATTTCAAACACCAGGCCGATGTTTACAAATCAACATGCGATGTGCTTATTGAGACGGTGAACATTCCTGCAACCGAGGAAGAGTTACCAGAAAAACTCTCACCTTTCGAGCATTTCAATCACGGATGCTGGGATGTTTTAGAGCTTTTGGGTGTAAAACTAAAGGCTATTGAGATTATTAAAAGTGCTTGTTATAACTTGTCTTTCCGCTTTTGCTTTTACAAACTTAAAAGCTTTGATGGTAAACCGACAGACGATCACTTCTACTTATTACATAAAAGTTCAAGGGGCGGATTGTTTATGCGTAAAGTCTCAACTCAACGAACACTACATTTTATCGCTGGAAGCTGGAAAAACGAAAAGTTTTGCATGGATTCAAGAGAAATCTCGCCAAGTCCCAATCCATTTGCAGAAGTGTCTCCTATTGATATGACTGAATGGATCAAGCAAGAAATGATCAAGCTAAATGGTTATGCTAAACATTACCACGAGGGCTTTTTTCCAGGCTTCTTCACTTTTAAGCTTAGTGATTATGTCTTTCAATTGCAAATTCCTCCAAGGCACTCGTCAACTTGTAAGAATCCTGATGATCTCATTCTTAAAGCTGGTTTCCCAGGTGAAGTTGATAATGACTACAAAATTGGCAACTGTAAATGCACAAATGATGACGAGAAGGCGTACATCAAAACTTACACAAAGATTTGCAAATTGCTCTTTCTGGTGAATCGAAAAGGAGTCAAGATTTTCAAAAAGAAACACTCCACAAACGGATTCAACATCGACTTTCAAAGTTGTGCCGAATTGAAACAGGAGATCGTCACAGATTGGAGATTTTACGTCCACCGTGATGAGCAGAAGATAGCTCTGAATCACCCAAAATATTTCCCAGCAGATCATAAGATTGATATTCTGCTTGTCGATCAAATGTATAACTTGTCAAGTAGGAATCCGATTGCCGAAGACTTTACTCGAGATGAGCAGACTTCAATGGATATTTTTGAGATTTTTAACCTTAAAGAACCAGCCGCTAAAAAGAAAAACATGTTTTTTTCGGAAATATAACCATTCAAAATTGATTTCTACCAACGTCATTCTACCATTGTTTGATTATTGAGCTTTTAGAGAGATTGTAGGTATCGATGCTCTACTCTTTGAGTTTTGTTTGAATCTACTGTATTATTATTTAATTCGTTTAGCCGAAATTTCTATACTCAATGAGATTTATGTTTTCGTAAATAAAATTCTTTGAATTACAAAAGTTGAACAATTGCACACAAATCTACTCACAGATTTTATTGTTAGTGTTTGTGTCACTCCAATTAACTTGGAGAACACTCTTTTCACGCATGTTTCCCCAGCAGTGCACGAGACAACAAATTACACCCATTTACGCCAGTTATCTATCCGGACTGAATCTTTTTGGATAAACTTTCAAACATGTGAAGCATTTATGGTAAAGGTTTAGCGCTGTCATCTTTGGCAGTCCCTTTTTACGCAAGTACAGTTGTTTCGAAAGCAAATTTTGAATGATTTGCCAATTTTGAAAACAAAAAAATATTCAACCAAAACTTTATCTAGCCAGCCAAATTTTCGAACTTTTCTCAGTTTAGACCATCTTCCGTGTTAAATATTTATATCTCAAAAATTCTTTCCTTGATTTTTTGTGCCCATTCAATTTTAGAATTCAAAAGTTCCCTCCGTGCTTTTCTTTTCTTATCAAGGTGAAATTTGCACAAGAAAGGCCAAACGGGTTTTGTCCGGTGAAAGAATGACTCATTTTTCTCTCTTTCTCTCCATTACCTTTTCATCTTTTCTTTTTTAGCTTTGCGCATTCGTCAGTCTTGTCTCTTCTCTTGGAAACATTGTGCAATCATCATGAAGAGAACTGCCGCCGGGAAACCGAAACAACAAACGACGATTACGGGTATTTTTTAAAAATTTAAGTTTTAATTAAGCTTTTAAGCCAAATTAGAAGTCGTTTGCTACTACAGATTCATTTTCAAGTAGAGTAACCTAAATTTATCATTTTACTCACCTTACTTACCTAATTCTAGAACAATAACCAACCGTGAACAAGCTACGTTTGTTTTAGCACAAGTGTGTAATTTGTGTGCATGCAAATATAAATAGGTCACTTTACTTTTGTGCAATTCTTCCTTACAGAAATGTTCAATGGGAAGCAAAAGTCCGCCTCGGGGAAATGGTCCGTCGATGGAAGCGATCTCATGGTTTTTACGACGCATGGTGTCGAAGCTCGACCGAAAATAGCATCTTTCGATTTGGGTATTCTAAAAATAAGCTTTTTTGGGTTTACGTTTTTCTTTAGATGGCACGATTATTACAACAAAATCCGGAAAAGTTTTCCCGAAAGACGAGACCGATTGGGTGATTATGGATCCTAGAGTGGGTATTGAAGTAATTTCCTTAACTTGTTTTTTATTAGATCACGGCGAAATTGAAAGAACTGCATACTGCTGGCGAACATAAGCTTGTATTTTTCAGCAATCAGAATGGCATTGGCGTAGGTTTTTGATAGTTTTTATGAACATACCAGCGTTTAGAAAGACCACATTTCGCCAGATGCTTTTAAGAGGAAAATTGAGGCAATCATTGAAAAGCTGAATGTACCGATTCAGGTATGAATTGATATAAACTTTTAATTTATACATTAATTTCAGGTTTTCTTAGCACTGAGCAAAAATCGATACCGTAAGCCTTGTATCGGGATGTTTGACTACCTGCAAGAGAATTGTAACGATGAGCAGAAGGTGCTTGTTTTATTATAGATTTCAAAATTATAATATAGTAGATCATTATTTTTAACAAATTTTAGATTTCGATCACGGATTCGTTTTACGTTGGAGATGCTGCCGGAAGACACAAAACTAAGGTTTGAGAAAGATTTACTAACAATGATTAATAACCTTCTTAGATTCGGGCAAAGAAAGATCACTCTGCCGCCGATCGTCTCTTTGCCAGCAATGTTGGGCTGAAGTTTTATACGCCGGAGCAGTTTTTCTTCAATCAAAAGGTGAGTTTTGGAATAAAATGCTATTTGTTTTGTTTATGTCCAACGTTAATTCCAAATTTTCTAATTTAGGAAGAAGAGCCCTGGGGACCGATCTCTTTCGATCCAAAAGAATATATCAGCAGACACTTGAGTCTCTTGGAGCCAAAAGGTAGTTTATTAAGACTATTTTTTCATAGTTTTTGTTTTTAGATGCACCTTTAGCATCCGAAGAGAAGGAAGTGATTGTTCTTGTTGGATTTCCAGGCATGGCTTTGCTCATCAAGTTTTAAGAAATTGTGTTTAGGCTCTGGAAAAAGCACCCTTGCCAAGATGCTTGCTGAAAAACATGGGTATATTTCTCAGTCTTCGATAGCTCAAATTTCTCAGTTTAGTTACGTGATCGTGAATCGGGATACACTTGGTTCTTGGCAAAAATGTGTTCAAGAAGGGAGAAGGGCTTTAGAGGTAGATTGATTGGAAATTGTTTGTCACCATCAGTTTTAGAAAGGAAATTCCGTTGTGGTGGACAATACAAATCCAGACGTTGAGTCCAGGTAGATATTTGTTTGAACTGTAACACTTGTTGTTTAGAGAGCGTTACATTGCCATGGCTCAAGGTGCAAAAGTTCCTTGTCGATGCTTTGTCATGAACACCGATTACAATATGGCGGTGAGTTTTGGGTGCAGTTGATTTCTAAACTTGCAATATTGGGTACAAATTGTAGGCAGATTTGTAATCTTTATAGCAATGCTGACATGAACAATTCGTTAGCAAGAACACATTTCATTTTTTTGTCAGATTCGTCAATACCATATTTATACGGCTTAATATGAACAATTGTTACAGGCTCATAACATTCGCTATCGTCTTTTGAAGAAAGCTGGCTCCGAGATTTCCACGATGGTTTTGCGAATGCACTCCAGTAAATTCAATGTAAGACCAAGAAACATTCATTTTCAACATGTTTTATCAGGAACCATCACTCGATGAAGGCTTCTTGTCAGTGTCTCGAGCAAATTTGATACCGACTTTTGCCAACGAGGAGGATAAAAAATTGTGGACGATGTATCTTACGGAAAGTTAAGTTGTTGTTTCTCACTTTGTTTTGATTTTTTTTGATTTTTCGATTCGTTTGTGATATGCATGTCGTTGATCTCTTTACAGGTTATTTAGTCCCTAAAATTTGGAGGTATCTAGTAAAATTTTATCACACAAACACTTTTTAATGCAACAGATTTTGATGAAAGCGGGAAAAAGTTGGTATTTAGTATTTCACAAAAAAAATTGGTCCAGAAAAAGTTGTCGCAAGAAAAAAAGGCCCCCTCCCAACATGACATGCTCCAAAATATTTACATCTAAGCTACAGATATGGCATCAGTAAAGTTTAAGAGCACACTTTGTAACACAATCATCTTTGGGCAAAAAATAATCACAAGCTACTTTTTGGATAAGGCAGTCTCATTCTTTAGTTGTCGTTAATGCTCGATTTAAAGCGTTTGGCCATCTAAATATTAATTTTAGTATAAGAGTAAACAATTGTTGCTTGATATTAGGCACTAACTTTTTTCTCGAATCCTCGCGATCCACTCGGAATTTGATGCTATGTTCATGCCGATCCGAGCGGAATTGACTGCGATGACTAATCTCAAAGATTGCACTGTTTCCATCATCCGCTTCGTGTTCCTGAAAGATTTATTACTAACAAGAAACATTTTCTCACCTCCAGATAGTAGCCATGAATTACAAAGGTCGATTCAGGTCTTTCATCCTAAAAAAAAGTTGTTTTAAAGTCTCAATACTACATTTGACTTACAAAAGTTGCGGTAAAAAAGCTGAGCTCCAGATCGTCTTTAAGTCGGGCAAATTTCACGGTTTCTTTTTCATTTGCAGCTCTAAAATCATCCACTATATGTTTTACGCATAACCAAATAGCCTTTGAAAAACACGTCCAAACACAATCCAATCTTTTTCGTTATTTTTGGTTAAAATCACTTTAATAAACGCTACCGCAGGTTTCTAGGCGTAAAACTTTAAAAAAATCGGCTTCTCCACCTTTTTTACCCTAAAAACACAAAAAGTTAAAAACAGCAAAGAAAAAATAAAAGCAAAAAGCTAGAAAATAATTTTTTTTGGGCGGCGTTGTTTTGGGATAGACCCTTCACCAGCCTATAACACATTCGCGACAATGCGTACCACCAGTGGTACTCACCAATGACAATTATTTTTGGTGTCAATTCAAGTTTTTGAAGACTTTAGTGATTTATCTGGGACCTAGTCAAAATAGTGCCACCAAAACAGCGCCGTTTAAAACAGCGCCCATACAAAATAACACCAAATCGAAAAAGACTGCGACTAGATTTTTCAACTCCAATGTTTTGATACTTCTCATAAAAACTTGTAACTTTTGTTATTTTTAAAACATTTTAAATTTTTGACAAACCGACGGATTATTTCATCATCAAAATCATGTTTTATGGCCCATTTTAGACAAACAACGTGGTACATTTTGTTTTTCATTTTTTTTTCTGGTTTTTACTGTGCTTAGTAGTTAATTGTGTATTTTTCAGATAAAAGAACGTCGCCTGAAGGGATAGAAGGGTCGTTGCAAGTGATTCGACGTGGCTAGCGACGATCACAGGTACTTTTCACATAATATCGTTTGCAAGAAATTCATACTTGTTTACGGTAATAATTTTGTTTCTCTGATGTAGAACAAATGTTATAAGATGGATTAAGCTAGTTTTTACTCTTTTCTGCAAAATTTTTATTTCTCAACACCTTTTTTCATTTAGGGTTGTCGCTATCTCAGAAAGGTGGAGTGTTACTTTAAGATGAAGATGGACACGAGTATTGGAAGGGCAAAACTATCCGAAAAGAAGTAGCTACAGCTTATCGGTAATTTCTTTTACTAGTTTTGTTGGATATTTTTCGTTGAACATTTTAAAGTTTCCTTTCAGTTGTACGAAAACAAATTGCCGGGGAAGGATGCATAAAGATGAAGCGACTGGAGTCCTTTCTATCACCAACGAGCACGCTACGACCTGCCTGCTATTGAAAGAAACACAAGAGGTAATTATTATTTTGTTTAACTTATTGGTTCTTGTTTATATTTTTAGATACGTGAGATACACTGTGGCACCAAAAACGATCGAATTGCTGGAGTTCCGACGAACTAAATTATTAAACGACGTGCCCTCGGAGCTCGCCCACATCTTTTACCTTTTCTCAATGCCAACGGAATTTAGCAAATGGCGGCCGGCAAGTCAAAATCGACGGCGACAGAAATTGGCCTGCTCCGATCACTGAAACCTTTGTTGTTGTTATGTCAGCCTCATAAATATTTACATTTAGGAGTTTTACTTTTACGATATGATAACTACTCAAACTATCCAGCTCTAAACGCAAACGCAATGAAATTCTTTGCTACTGATTGGGGAATCGGTATGTTGCTTCAGGTATATTAAACTCTTTAAACTTTCAACTTTAATAACAAAAGTTAAATACTTTTGGCACTCAATTTGGAGGATTGATGGGACGTTTCATGCGGCTCCCTTTTGATTTTCTCAAATTCTAGTGATGGGGTTGAAGTTTTTTTGTTATATTAGAGTTTTTACAATCTTATTTTAGATGGAACATCTTTCCGTTCCGTGTGCATATGCATTTCTGTTGAAAAAACGTATAGCTACGTCTTTGGTTTGATCAAGCAATTGGGATTGCCACCACCAACAAAGATTAAAACAGGTTTTTTTTTGCATTGAATAATTTATAAAACATCTTTAGACATCTATAAAACATCTATAAAACATATGGAGCTGGCTATGGTCAACGGTTTTATGGCAGTTTTATGGCATTTCTTCAAGGCCGTCTTTTGCGAACTTAAGGTTTTTGTAATATTTATCTATTCTCTTAGGAGAAGAAACTACAAGACATCTATTGTGATCCAAATACGTTTGTCTATGTGAAAGGATTGCTGACACAATCCGTCACATTATCGGTGTCACCAGGCTTTGTAACTGGTGATAAATACTAGGTGAGAAAATACAAAAATAACACTTATTAGGTTTTTACTTCTAAAAGTTTTTATGCATACAAAAGAATCACAGAGGTTTTCAAATTTTTCAAATTCTCGAATTTCATTAAAATACCGGAAACATAGGGAATCGAGAGCAAATTTTGCAGGAAAAGTGAGGTAAGCGAAAAGTAGATTTGTGACAAAAATAGGCTTTGAGACTTGCAAACTTTTTCCGAACCTAGCATGTTACAGTAACGTAATTCTATCTTCACAAAGATTATCATGGATAAATGTTTAGACCGGGTTTACAGTAGCTAGAGCATGCTTTAAAGCGGTTATCCCGAATCGACGTTGGAAAAAGTTTTCCAGCGACTTGAGAGACTTTTTTCATATAGAGTAGTTGAAAAATATTTAAAAATATTCATCTTGTCAAAAAAATGAAATTTACATATAGTAATGAGGTATGGGAAGTTTTTGACACGCAAAGACGCAAAATCTATGAGCAACTATGGAGATCTTCCTCTTTCCGGGTGGGTTGAGGAAGAGTACAGCACAGTTGCATCTTTCTTTCACAAAAATGAAAAAGAAAGATTTTGGGGCGGTTAGGAACAAAAGTGGGTTGTTCTACTGGTTGAGAATGAATCAGGCAATCGTTTGAGCTCTCAATAGCTTTCAAAGCGTGTCACAGAAGACGTTATTTTTGAAAACAATCGAAAAAAACTGTTCACTTTTCCCGATGTTTTAGAGGAAAATGAGTGGGGTTTATGGTATGAGATACTCGTCTATCCAATCAAAAGTAAAAACAAATTCAAAAAGACTTTCTTTTTCTGTCAATTGGCTGATAAGAGAGAAACGATTTGTATGATTGCTGTGAAATATAAAACCTATAGAAGTACACAGGATTTCTTAAGACACCTTTGAATTTCATGACTCTTTAGTGTTATTAGTCGATTTTCTTTTGTACGACTTTTATTTTTCCTAATCTGATCGTTCATTTCTTTGTTTTAACAATGTTTTTATGTTATTTTTATAATCAATTCGTTTAGTTACAAATGATTTTTACAAATTACAAATGATTTTTTATTTTTTTTTCATAGCATTTCAAATCCAGCAGAGATATACTAAGATAGCTCTATGGAAAATAGATTTTTCCAAATTTGCATACTTTAGTTACACAGATAGACTCAAAATTTTTGGTCTTAAATCTCTTAGACACCGCCGCTTGGTCACGGATTTAATAGAATGTTTCAAAATTGTAAAGGGCAGGCAACCTATCCCTCTTTTTCGAGATTTATTCAAAGTTGATCCCACGGTTAGTTCAAGGAGAGGTTCTTTCGTTTTAGAAATTCCAATCACCTCCAATAAGTTTGTTTATAACTCTTTTCCAATAAGAACTGCCAGAATTTGGAATCGACTCCCCAGAGTTTTGAGAGAGTCCAATAGTCTCGAAACCTTTAAATTATCTGTAGATAATCTTGATCTTGAAGCTCTAGTGGATCCTTGACGTTATCTGTGCTACCCACATTTTACATATATTATATCGTGTTTCTTTTTATTGGGCCTTTTCGTGTTATGTGTATGAATTCATGTATTTTAATCTTAAATCTAGCGCACTTTATCTCAGGTCCTGAATAAAGTATCTATATATAGAACATTTCAAAATGTTCATCACTTACTAAACGATTCCCCTTTGCTCTGTTTATCACTGTATTGTTAAATGAATCTTCAATCGGTTAGCTTAGGCTTGGCAAAAGAGCAAAGCGCGACGTTTCAATAACGTAAACAATTTACAAATAAGCTAAAGCAGTCTGAATCGTGGGGAAACCACATTTCGCTGTAAACCCCATTTCTTTGAAAAGTTTAGGAACGTTAAAGCCAAAAGATAAGTGGCCGATTCTTGCTTTAGAAAACACCTTTCCAGCAAATTGGTCTTATAACTACATAGACTTTACAGCGAAATCGTGCATATTATGTGTTTATTCTATCATTATTTTAGTTATACTTGGTGCGTGCAATCAAATGAGAAAGAGCGTGCTCTTTATGAATCATTTCTCTTTTTCGTAGTTATTCAAGGATATCTCTCACTGTCTTTTTCCGTGAGTTGCACGTGTATCGATTTTGTGCTACTCAAAAAATCCACTCAATTGAATGTGCGCCGAGGAATCGACAGTTATTGGTAGTGGAGCTTTTGGATTTGTTGTCGTGTTTGGGGAAAATACGTGAGTTTTCGATGCGTTCGATCAAATCTCTTTGGTTTCAGCAAAAAAGCCGCCAAGTACATTCTAAAGAGCCCACAAACAGATGATGAAACATTTCGAAAAGAATGTGAAGCTTTGGAGAGATTTCAACATCCAAATATTGTTCAATATTTCGGATTTAAAGAAATTGGAGATTATAATGTGATTGAGATGGAATATTGTGAAAGGAAATCATTAAGTGATGGTTTGTCTTCTTACTAGGGAAGGCGGCCGACTCAAGGTGGGATTTCTAAATGGAACCTAAACCATCTTAGACGCGCACACACTTCTCTAACAGATGCCGTGGTAGCCTAGTTGATAAAAGGTTTGTCTCTGAAACAAGTTACGCTTTTTTGCGCAGGTTCAATTCCTTTTGCAGCAAAAGCTTTTGCTTTTCATTTATCTTAATGTTTCCACTGTTTTGTTTTCAATTTGCGTGCCATTTAGGAAAATCTAAAAGCAACATCGGATTCCCCGTGTAAAACTGCATAAGATGGTTTAGGTCCTATTTAGAAATCTGACCTTGAGTCGGCCACCTTTCCTAGTTAGAAATTGAAAAGGAAAGAATTCGATTTTATAGTTTTGAAAGATCCATCGATTATTTATTCCATGCAAACAGTTTATGATTGGTCAAAGCATTTACTTGATGCTTTTCTTTGTCTACAGAAAGTTGGAATTGTTCATCGAGATATTAAACCGAGCAAGTGAGTGTTGTTGTTGTTTTGTGTGGGATAAATTGAAAGCTCTTAGACAAATTATTCAATTTTTATTCATTAATGTTCATTTAATCGATTCAATTCAGAAGCTGTTCAATTCAATTACCAGGGCTGTTCCTAAGGCTAATTGACCTTGGTCCTTTGGCTTTTGGCTCACTTGTAACAGCACTTTGCATTACAATGAATTGATCTATGAATTTATTTGTTTTAATGCTTTTTAGTGTTCTTGTCACTCGTGATTTCATTCTGAAATTGGGTGATTTTGGTTCTGTTCGTTTATTAGATCCAAATTCTCTAACAACAACAATCACACTTGCTGGAACATTTCGTTATATGAGTCCCGAAGCTTATGGATATCCGAATCAACGCTTGGTTGGTTGTTTAGTAATGAATAAATGGATACAGAAAGTGTTTAGATAACATCATCGACAGATTTATACTCAATTGGACTAGTTATTTGGGAAATCGTTGAGCGGAGGCATTAACAGTTTCGATTTCCAAACAAAGTTACATTTACAGATTAGTTCATTCGGACTATTCTACTTCAAAAATATTCAAAGAGTATGATTTTTTTTATGATTTGTGGCACGGGAAATATTCACTGGAAGAAATCAAGTGTACAGATAGGAAATTGAAAGATTTAGTGATCAGGTTTGTACATTCGCGTGAAAATGGGTTCGCCGTTAGTTTGCTTGCCGATATCCACTATTCGATGCAAAAAATGCGCTGAATCCGAATCCGAAAAATTTTTTGAAAACCGTCTTACAGATTTTTTTTAAATCGCAGAAAACCAAAAAAGGTGATCATTTTCAATGGGAACGGCCAAACCTACCTCCATTTAGAGAGCTAAATCTCGCCAACAAAGTAAAATGGGAAAATTCCGGATAGTAACTTTTATGCACGAGAGTCTTGCGGTCATTTTCAAACCAAAAACATAAAAAATTGATCGATCCTTGAAAAACTCGTGGCATTTTGAAGGGTGCTATTTTCGACATTTTACCCGCTAAAGCGTGGATAAAATACCGTATTTCCAGAACAAAATACTAATAGAACGGTCTTTCTTGAGACTTTCTATTAGTATTTTTATTAGTATTGTATTAGTTTATTAGTAAGCGTATTTAAACTATCCGGAATTTTCACATTTTACTTTGTTGGCGAGATTTGGCTCTCTAAATGGAGGTAGGTTTGGCCGTTCCCATTGAAAATGATCAACTCTTTTGGTTTTCTGCGATTTTAAAAAATTCTGTAAAACAGTTTTCAAAAAATTTTTTGGATTCGGTTTAATCAGTAAAAAGAATAGAACTTAAAATTTTTTGCATCAAATAGTGGATATGAGGAAGCAAACTAACGGCGAACCCATTTTTCCAGTTTTCGCGCGGATGTGCATTCATGCTTCAAGTAAAAAAAACCCATCAACCTAGATGCACAAATATTCACCCAGGGAAACGGCCGAATCTTGATGAGTGTGCTCAAAGTATCGAGTGGTTGATTGAGGTGTTTAATGGATCAGTGAACTTAAGAAAAGCAATTACAGCAAGCTAAAGATGATCCGGTTGAGCCGTTGCTTGTCGAAACACAAAATGTTTTGATTAGACCTATCGGATTTGATGGCACAAAGCAATGGGTTTGTTTCTAGAAATCTTCCGAACTTACCATTTGAGTTTTGAAATAGTCCACAATGACAAAAATCGTGTCTATCAAGTGCCCAAACATGCTTTTAAAGCTTTGCAACAAAAGAACAGAAGACTTCTTTTGAAAACAACCTCTTTGAAGAGTCATTTTTCAACTAGCAAGAAAGTTCAAAAGTTTATCTGTATGTGTAAACTTCAAAGTGATGACCTTTTACTCTAGTGTTGAACGAAACTCTCTTGTTCGGCACCGATATTCTCTAATGCATATTCTCTAACTAGAGATGCTTTGGAATTTACACCTTGGTTTTGGGCCGAGACCTAGCACATTTTATTCAGTTTTTTACGCTGATTCCGACGGTGTATGTCGTTTGGGGATGACGGTTTTAAAATTTTGAGATATTTCGCTTCAAATTTTACGTCAAAGTTGAACATGCAACTTTACAAAAAACAATTCTAAGTAAACACATAACAGCTATGAGTAAAATAAACGTTATGCGATATTTAGATAACCAAGAAGCCTGGAAAAAAATTATTTAAACAGTTTTTAGCAATAGCAAAAAGTTGAGCCGCAGTCGAATCTAAACCAGAAACAAAAGAGAAAGAGCTTTAGGCCACTAACCACTAGGCCACGAGTTCACGTTTACAAACCTCTGTAGAATCCTTATGACTCGTGGGTGCATGGTTTCGTGGATGCCCAATTTTGACGTAAACTTTGAAGGGAAATATCTCAAAATTTTAGAACCATCATACCCAAACGACATACACCATCGGAATCAGCGCAAAAAAACTGAACAAAATGTGTTAGGTCTCGGCCCAAAACCGAGGTGTAAATCCAAAGTCCAAATAAATCCAAAAGCATGCTAAAGTCAAAAGGTCTCAAAGGTCAATTAAACAACTATTTTTCAGGTTCCAGCCGTTGATCGCACAGTGTTTGACTCCTTGAGTTTCAACTTAAAATCAACAAAAACACCCACAAAATCGAAAACTCTGAGTAAAAGGAGGCAAATGATTGAAGTGACTTTAGCGAAAGGCAACAATTCGAGCAACAATTCGAGACCAATGATTGAAGAGGAAAGATTTTTGGTTAATGACGGAAGTGAACATGAAAGTCGAAAAGTCAACAAGCGAATGCTTTGTTTGTTTCTATGGATGCTACTTTCATGTATCACCTTTGCATTGTTGATGTTCATTTGGAACTTTGTTGCTTCTGGAGTGAGTTTCATTAGAAATACTCTTGAATCAATGGTTTAGGATCTAAGAAATTCATTCCCAAATCAATCAATTTCGCAAAATGCTATCAATGATTCCATTTTTACGAAATGGACAACAAACAATCAAACGTTGATCTCTGCAGTCGACCTCACGATTGGCTACAAATTACTCAAAGCACTGAGCGATATAAAACTGGCACTACCAGAACATGAAATCAATGCAATAATAAGACCGGAGTATTTATTTGATCTCGATGAGAAACCATACGCTAATGGTCAACAAAACTCTTTCGTAGTTTATCAACCAACCAATGGAACATTAGACGAAAAACTGAGCGGTCTTCTTCGTGAATTTGATCTTTTATACGTTGAGTTGGTGCAACTCATCCATTCACTACATAGAAATTTGTTTTTCAAAATTTTTGAAACAATGATATCGGTTGAAAAAGAAGGACTAAGCTACGTTAAAGCCGGCTTGTCATCCGATCTCGAGCAAATTTTTCAAATGAGAAATGATTTGTCAAAAGTAGACGTTCGTGGCATTGATTTCGATATAATCTTTTTCAAAGAACAAAGCACCGGATACTTTTTGGTTTCAGTGGAAACAGATGTCCTGTTACTTGGAACAGACTTTACGGTCACAAAAATTCTATCATCAGAATTCAGTGAACGTTTGCGGTCACTCAAAAAACAAAGCGAAACGCAAAAGTTCAAATTCAACGTACTTCGTGGATTTCGAATCGATCTTTTATTTATCATGTTAGTGGGTCAACTTATCAAAATAAAAGAATCAAAGAATGTCCCAGTCTCATCTTTAAGAACCTCAATTCGCAAATTTTTACGACAAAGTGAAGAGTATCCTTTTGTACAATATCGTTTTCATCTTGGCCACAATTTGCTTAATGATCCCATATTCCAAAAATCATCTTCCATCGTGAAAAAAGAAACGATACAAGCTTATGGCGAACTTCACCAACTTTTTGAAACATTTTTCGCTTTGATGCAAAACTCGGATGATACAGGGCTTATAGACAACGCGGCATTCAAAAGTTTAAAAGCAGCTTTGCAACAAGTTTTTGAGTGCCCAAACTACTTCTTATTCGCAAAGTTACAATCAAATGTTCAACAGCTACTCCTACAATTTCCAACTTATGACGATGAAGAAGTGCTCACAATGACACTTGACTACAAATTTACAAAGATGAAAGTGAAACGTGATGATGTCGACGTCTTTAGCCTTCCTCTACAGATTATTACTCAATCGGATTTGATTGAAACGATTGGGAAATTACTAGAAAGATCATCGATACAAAATAAAATCAGTATAGAGAAAAATAGTACGCAAACTTTGTAGCTATTAAAGTATTTTTTGTTTTTCAACTCAAGCATTGCAATGAATACACACAGTAACTGCTTTGTAAAAGAATACATTAAAGAGCTTGATTACAACATAAAAGATAAAACAGAGCTTTTTTAAACTTTTATGACTTTAGACAGTACCAATAAAAAAAAGTCATTTTTTTTTTTGTGCAAAGATTTCTCTCAAAATCGAGAAAAAAAAGGGACTAAATGAAAAAGGAAAAGAACCGACGAATTGATTTTCTCTTTGATCTAATCTTTTCTGAGAATGATCCTTGTTGTAAATCTCGACTCCAAGTTATAAAAACTTTCTCCGAATGAATATTGATCCGTCAAAAGTTATTGGAAATGGAAGCTACGGCTTTGTCGTGTTAGTTGGAGAATATTCGTAAGTTGTCTTTGTAGTTACTTTTGTTATTTAGAACATGTTTAATAATCAAAAAAAAGCTAAATCTTTCTCATTTTATGGTTATTTTCAGCAAAAAAGCCGCCAAGTACATTCTAAAGAGCCCACAAACAGATGATGAAACATTTCGAAAAGAATGTGAAGCTTTGGAGAGATTTCAACATCCAAATATTGTTCAATATTTCGGATTTAAAGAAATTGGAGATTATAATGTGATTGAGATGGAATATTGTGAAAGGAAATCATTAAGTGATGGTTTGTCTTCTTGCTAGAGAAGGCGGCCGACTCAAGGTGGGATTTCTAAATGGGACCTAAACCATTTTATGCAGTTTTACACGGGGAATCCGATGCTGCTTTTAGATTTTTCTAAATGACACGCAAGCCCGAAATATTTAACAAAAACGTTTTTGGCAAAGCTAGAAAGTTTGCGTACTATTTTTCTCTAGACTGGTTTTATTTTGTATTTCTAGTAATTTTCCAATCGTTCCAATCAAATCCGATTGAGTAATAATCTGTAGAGGAAGGCAAAAACGCGCACACACTTCTCTAACAGATGCCGTGGTAGCCTAGTTGATAAAAGGTTTGTCTCTGAAACAAGTTACGCTTTTTTGCGCAGGTTCAATTCCTTTTGCAGCAAAAGCTTTTGCTTTTCATTTATCTTAATGTTTTCACTGTTTTGTTTTCTCTTTGCGTGCCATTTAGGAAAATCTAAAAGCAACATCGGATTCCCCGTGTAAAACTGCATAAGATGGTTTAGGTCCCATTTAGAAATCCCACCTTGAGCCGGCCGCCTTTCCTAGTTAGAAATTGAAAAGGAAAGAATTCGATTTTATAGTTTTAAAAGATCCATCGATTATTTATTCCATGCAAACAGTTTATGGTTGGTCAAAGCATTTACTTGATGCTTTTCTTTGTCTACAGAAAGTTGGAATTGTTCATCGAGATATTAAACCAAGCAAGTGAGTGTTGTTGTTGTTTTGTGTGGGATAAATTGAAAGCTCTTAGACAAATTATTCAATTTTTATTCATTAATGTTCATTTAATCGATTCAATTCAGAAGCTGTTCAATTCAATTACCAGGGCTGTTCCTAAGGCTAATTTATCTTGGTCCTTTGGCTTTTGGCTCACTTGGAACAGCCCTTTGCATTACAATGAATTGATCTATGAATTTATTTGTTTTAATGCTTTTTAGTGTTCTTGTCACTCGTGATTTCATTCTGAAATTGGGTGATTTTGGTTCTGTTCGTTTATTAGATCCAAATTCTCTAACAACAACAATCACACTTGCTGGAACATTTCGTTATATGAGTCCCGAAGCTTATGGATATCCGAATCAACGCTTGGTTGAGTTTCTGTTTACTAAAAGCTGAAAGTGTTCTTTAGGTAACACCATTAACAGATTTGTACTCAATTGGTCTAGTACTATGGGAGATCGTTGAACGGAGGTTTAAAAGAAGTCTATCCCCAGTTTAAAAGCGATTTTAGATTAGTCTATTCTGACTTCTCATCTTCTAAAGTGCTCAAAGAATATGATTTCTTTAAAAAATTATGGCATGGGCAATATTCCTTATCAAAAGTTGATTGCGTTGATGAAAAATTCAGTGATGTGGTTGCTAGGTTTGGGGATTTTTATAAGTTGAAATTCAAATTTAGATGTACAAATGTTCACCCAGAGAAGCGATTAAATATCGATGAGTGTACTGAAGTTCTTGAGTGGCTTAAAAAGGTGCTCATAAAAGATAGGGTACTTATGCATCTGGCGGGCGCATTTCTGCAACGCAACGAACGGCAACGCATTAAGCACTGTTATTTGAAGTTTTTTTTGTTATTAATATGCATTTATATTCAACAAAAAAACATATAATACAATACAATATACCATATAGCAATATAGCAATATACAGTCGACTCTCTCTGTAACGAAACTCTATATAGCGAGAACTATATAACGGAGTGGAATTTTGGTCCCGGCCGACGCTAAGCTATATAAAACAGTACTCTATATAACTAAAATTTTTTTTGGTCCCTTCCATACCTTTTTAGAGAGACGACTGTACTTTTGTAGCAATAAACAAATGTATATTTCTATATTCTATTTTATTGCTTCAATGATATTTTTGAAAGGTGTTTTTGGTAAATTTTTTTGCAAATGTTCGGTCGTTCGACAAAAACTTTTGAAAGTGTTTGACCTGGCAAGTTTTCGACCTGCAAGTGTTTGGCCTGCACTGTTCAACCGTTCGAACTGTTCGGAAATGCGCCCGCCAGATGCATAAGTACCAAAGATAGCTTTAACAAAGGTTTTTAGCGAGTCGAAGTTGATCTCTTTGAGCCGATGATTGATAAAACACAAGTCAACGTGGTGAAACCAGTAGGCTTTGATGGTACAACGGAAAGGGTTTGTTTGGTAAAATTTACAAACCAACTGATATTAAGATACCTGTGAAAATTCTACCAAAAGTTGACTCAGAAATGAAAGAAACAAGTTTCGAACTTCAAAATGCTGAAAGAGAAACGTTTTTGTTTGAAGATAAAGCGAGGAAAAAGAGCAAAAAGTTGCCCGTAAGTCAGTTAAAAAGATAAAAAGAACGCTATTTAGTTTCAGTTTCTGCTTTGGACTTTCATTTTTTCCGGCATAATCGCTGCAGGTGTCATCATTTTAACAATAGTAACGAATCTAGTGAGTTTTTCAAAAAGTGAACCTCTATTCGTAGTTCAGGGTGATAAATCTATTTCTACAAATAGCTCTCTTTCTCCAAATGACAGTTTGATTGCCAATTCGAGCGAGCTCTTTGTTGAAAAACTCGAAACTCTTGACCAATTGCAAGAGCTATTGTTTCAGCTACAGCTAGCTTTACAAAATGAAGGACTTTGGGATGGGGAAATCAATGCGGGCTTTCACAATGACTACGCTTTCGATATCAACGTCGTGCCTTACAAAAACGAGACAAGTAGATTCTTCAGAGTGAAGCCTTCGATGGAAAAGCACTTGAGTGAAAGTACAAAAAAGCTCGTGGATAAATGCAATCGACTTTACATTGAACTAGTTCAATCGTTGCATTCACAATACCGAGCTATCATTTTAAAAACGGCTAATGCAATTGAAAGCATCGAAACAAAAAGTATAAATTTTCTCAGAAACGACTTGTTGTTTATTCTCGAAGAAATCATTGCAATAAGAAATGAGATTTTGAAAACTGATGAGCTCAATATTTGGTTCAACATCTTTCTCTGCAAAGCAACAACTGGACCGCTTTATTTTGTACTCTCAGAGAAAAACGAAAAACTTTTGCCAGAAGCCGATAAAGTTTTTGCTCTTCAGACTGATTTTAAGTTTCTGGAATTTGCAATTGATGAACGTCATCGAATTACAGTTGGACAATTAAAGAAATATCCCTTCTTGCAATTGACTGGTTTCAGTATTGACATGATCTTAAGCATGTTTACTGAAAGATTGACTACAATTATAAATGAAAGAAGTTTGAGCCAAAGTGATGCTTTGTGGTCGACTCTGCTTCAAATGTGGAAACTGAGCGAAGAGACTCCATTCGTGCACTATCGTTACCGTCTTGGGAATAATTTAACGAGAGTTCCACTATTTCGTGACTCAAATCTGCAACAAACAATAATCAATCGCTACGCAGAGCTACATGAAGTTTATGATTGGTTTTTTCGAATAATGGAAGGAATAAGCGTAGATAAAGTTGTGAACAAAAAAGCTTTAGGAATCCTTAAATCGCATTTGGAGCACTATTTCGGATGTCCAAACTATTTTCTCTTTGCACGTGTTCGCAGTGATCCAGAAAGACTTTGGATTCAAATACCGACTCTTGAGGGTGAAGAGGGACTTACGATGCATCGAGACACCCTTGCATTTGCCAATGTCACAGCAAAACAAAATGATATTGATCCAGCAAGAGATGACTTACAAATTGTCCCTCAATATTATTTACATTTTGTTGTTGAGAGAATTTCGATGACACTTGAATCACAGGAGAAGAGTTTGCTCGAAGTTGTATCAGAAAAAAACAATGAAACTCCGATGTCGATAAAAGATAGATTTTAATATGAAACTTTCCCGTTTTTCTTTTCTTTTCATATCACAAATAGAGTGTGTGCCTCTCAAAAAAAGAGTTATTTGAATAAATTTGGGCAAACAAAGATCAAACAAGGCGTTCTAAAGTGAACCTACAGGGTGCGTCATAATTATTGCAACAAGATACTCAAGGCATTGCACACCAAGAAGTTTCACTGGAAGAAGATTTTTAAACAGAAATAGCTTTATTTAACAGTAACAAATAAGGAAACACCAGATCATTCGATATGACCGCCTTTTGCCTTGATAACAGCGCTTAATCGGTTCGGATATGCCTCCACTGCGGCCCGAATGTCATCTTGAGGAGTCGCCTTCCATCCTTTGGTCAAAGACTTCTTCAAAGAATCCAAACTTGTGTGTTTTCCTCTAAGATTGCCCAAATGGAAAAGTCCATCACATTGAGATCCGGTGAGTTTGGAGGCCATTCATCCTTGGTGATCACTGAGGGAAAGTTGGCCACACACCAGTCCTGAACCGTCTTCTTCGTGTGAGCGGGAGCTTCATCTTGCATGAAGGTCCAATTTTGATTGTTATTGGCTTTACACGCCCATGACACGCCCGTTTTCCTGTTTGGAAAACGGTCTTTGAACTCTTCTTGCAATAATTATGACTCACCCTGTATCTCGGGCAATCCAGTACATAAACGCTACTACACATTTTCTTTTCATTCTTCAATTTCCTTTAGTCTAGAGTGTTTAAAAGTGTTTAAAACATTTTCGAATGCTTTTTCTAATAAATATATTAGAATTTAAAGAGCTTAACTCAATATAAACTACCCGTAAGTGATAAAACATGGCAATATTAAACGTAAGCGGGTAAAGATTACGCTTAGCTCGGGTATATTTAACCATATGATTTACTAATTTAATCAATTTAACTACGGAAGTTAGTTTCCTTATTGGTGATGGGATTTTCTTAAAATAAAGTTTCTTGTTATAAAAAGACATACCCTAAACTGTAATAGTACCCCACCACCCTCGTACAGTCGCGTAGTCGCAAAAGTTTTAGTATTTCATTTTTTTCAAAGCGCCTGTACTTTCAAAAAATGCGTCTTTGGTATCAAAAAATAGCTGAAATTCAGGGCTATTTTTTGATACCTAAGCGCGCATTGTAGCATAAACCAGTGTCGAGAAAACCTCGTTCAAAGCTAGACTACGCAACACTCCGCACCGTCATTATGGGGGTGGGGTACTATTACAGTATTTACGGTAATTACTGAACCTTTTGAACTTGCCATTTTCCTTACTGTCTCTAATGAATACGTGTACAATTTTTCTATCAATTCTAAATTACAAAATTATTAGTTTGAAAGAATTTCATTAAAATAAAGAGAATGTGCAAAAGCATGCTTTAGAAGATTTTGCTTAATTTGCATTTATACAAATTAGCATGCAAACTACGATAGTTTGCGCGCTTTTTAGAACGCCTTGTTTGAGAGACACGAACTCTAGTCAAATGTAGCCAAAGAACATTTTTGAAAGTGACCAGAAGTCGTGGGTGGATTGCAAATCCTCATGACAATGCAAAAGTTTCAATAAATGTTTTGATTTCATTGTTGAAAAAGCTTCCCACGATCATTTGATTGGACTTTTCGTCTCTTTCCCTGTCATCCGACAACTAAAGTCTAGCTGAATTGTCGGCTTTGTATAAAGGAACGAATAGTTCAATGATTTGGTCATTTCAATGTCCACTTACTCGTTTAGTCTTCTAGCTACTTTTGTGCTTCTTTTTGGTGAGTGATCGTTTTGTCCTGAAGCTGAACTCTAATTGTGCAATTTCCCGTTTCCAAATGGATTTTTTAAAAAGCTTTTCGAGCACACAGTAGTACTTCTTTAACAAGAGAATATATTGGATTGGTGAATTGAAAACTGCGGGCTATTTTCATATGTGACAGTTTGAGCACTTTCTTCAAAAGAAACCCATTTTGGTGTCAATAGAAAAGTTGTAGAGAATCAAAAATCAAGCTTATATCCAAATTTTCAGAACGATTCAAAAACTGGTTTTCAAGAAATGCCAAATTTACGAATTTTCACAAAACTTGCATTTTAAGCGAAACTACTAAGTGTATCTTTTTGGGAATTTGGCTATAAGCCTAATTTTTGATTCTCTACAACTTTTCTATTGACACCAAAATGGGTTTCTTTTGAAGAAAGTGCTCAAACTGGGACATCTCTAGTTCTCGATTTCTGAGTCTCACACTTGTCTCACACACAAACCAAAATCCTACTACGAAAGAGAAATCTGCAAATTGCCTGTAAAATGGGTAGAAGTCGTCAATAAGAATAGAAATTATTTGGAATGAATTGATGGTTTTATGTTGAATAAATTTCAGTTCAAAGTCCTTCAGTTTTCAATTCACCAACCCAATAGCTTTACTTATGATTTATGAGAACCCCCATATGAAGCAATTGATTTTTAACCTAAAACTTATTTACCCTAGCCTAGCATAAACTATTTTAGAAGAGTTACAAGTTCTCTAGACTAATCCCAGCCTCTTGGTGATCTTGCTTTGAAAGTCAATCAACTCAAAACTCAAAAATCAATTTTGTGCACATAAAAGTTTTAACTTGTAGCTGGAAGGAAAAGAATGTGAAATTGGCCTAATGTTAAAGAATTTAAAGTTCTCAGGTCTTCTCTCTTCATCAATCATTCGTTATGATTACATTCGTCCCACTCCACAATGCAATAAACATTGTACATCAAAGACACCGATAGCTGGGATGGTTCAATGTTGTAAAGTGAGTGTGAATTTAGATTTTTAACAATAAAAACTGTGCTGTGACTGGCTGTAAATCATTTAGAGATCTCTCTCTCTTTCAGGCAGCCGGCGCTTCAAATTTCGGCTTTTGCACGAAACACAATCAGGCCCTTTGTGCCGCTTGGACTGAAGAGTACACGGTTATTTGGACATCCGGATAAATGATTTGTCGTAGATGATTCAAAAAATGAATAACGATCATCATAGCGTTTGATTCTTCAATGTTTTACGATAAGTTTTCAAAAAAGAAACAAAGAGATCATTTCAAAGCTGAATTTCAGTCTTTTACACGTGAATCAACTGCAAAAAGACAATTTAGTTTACCTTTAACATTGGTACTACATCAGTTGGGAGGCACTTTTTTCTTCAAAACCACTTTTTCCGGGATAGTTTTATGCGTAGAATCCAAAAACACAACGAGAGTTTGGGAAAAGGCGTTTTAGGACAAGTTTCGGGGCTTCAAAGTGCGCGCTCATACGGTGTGATCAGAGGGATACACATAGGGAAAAGGTCTAAAAAATGGTCTCTCAAAACATTTTTTGAAACCAAAAACGCTTCTTCTGGCATAATTTAACCTACGGATTACGTTTCTGATTCAATTGGAGCAAAATAAAAACTTTCTTCCAAATTTAAGGCGTTTTAAGCCGAGTTGCGGGGCTGGGTAGTACACCGATTGGGGAACCACTTTTTTTTTCTTTAAAATCACTTTTTCCGGGGTAATTTTATGCATAGATTCCAAAAAACACAACGAGATTCTCAATGTTTTGTTGCTTGCATAGCGTTGTTACAATAAAGTTTTTCTGTTGTTCCATGGTGTTTGCATTGCGTTAAATAACTGAATAATAAACGTTAAATAACGAATTTGAGCTATTATTCTTGCTAAATCCGTTTTAGATATCATTTCATTTTTTCAAAGTTAGATTAACGAGAATACCTCGATACCAAAGTACAAAACTTTCGCGCCCGGGATGTCAACGTGAAAGCCATCTTTAGGTGGCTTTTCACACTGATCTTAAATTAAATAGCATCAATGTGTCAAAGTAGTGAAACAAAATTCCAAGAGTTACTACTAGAAAGTACATCAGAACAAAATACTAATGTATTTCCGAAGTCGATAATGATAATGAAAGTGAAATGTTTTTGAAAGAAATTATTGCATTTGTAAATAAATGGTAATGAAGCCGTTATTATTGCAAAATTTTCTCAAACAAATATTTAAAGCAATAATGGTTTTCTTTGATTTAAATTTAGCTTGTTAAGCTGTTTAGCTTTTAAATTTACGGTCTGTTTAGCTTTTCGATTTTTCTTTTAAAAAATATGTGTATTAGCGTTAATCAAAGCGAGAATTTATTGCTTTTTGTCAAAGAGATGACTGTCAAAGAGATCTTGTTCACTTTTTGTAGACACATCCCCTCTCAAAGTATCCCACAACGTCTTCACCATAATAATCGAGATGATCCAGGACATTTGTGAGAAGAATGGGAACTCCTTCGGAACATTTGCTGGAAATTATTGATCTCGTCTATCTAGCGAAAAAAGCCAAGCTGGAAATGAAAAATCTGGAATGCTCTGGCTAGCCGACTCAAAGCTTTTCAGTATACTTCTCATTGTCAAGTAATTTGGTCAGGCCAGTCCTCTACTTGTTCACAAAGTTTCCAATCTACTTTAATTTAATCTGCTCCTTTTCCTTAATTCCTAGTTGTTCTCTTTTCTCTTTATGAACTTTGTACATCATAAAACTAACTGGCTCTCGTCTCCAACACAAACCGTGAATGGTTTTCCATTGGCCATCGTGTTTGAATAGTAAATCTAATGAGAAATGTTTTTGTTAACAAGAAAAAGTGTACCTCAGTTCGATGATGCTCGTAGTTCTCGATGTTGAGTGGGACGTGAGGAACGGGATCATGATTGTGGACAATTCGATAGGAATAGGGAAGCTAAAAAAGGAGTGTTTTTTTTACTTTTTGTTCTATTACGGCTTTACTTTTGTTTTGATGGTCTAGTTTTTTATTCTAAAACGCTAGACGGAGTTTTGCGTTAGAGTTAGCCACTGATACTTAAAACGATGCTATTTTTCATTGTACATTTTTCATTTTCATTGTTCATTGTTCATTGTCATCATTCATACCTTTAGCGATACTATCGATCATTTATCGGTAACCCTATTTATTTAATAGTAAGTGAATAGAAAAACCGACCGAATCAATGAGAGCAGCATAGGCTTTGTCTCCGGTTCTCGGCTCGCCAAAAGTCATCAGTTTCATCTAAATTCATGTTTCGATAAGGATTTCTACCAGGGATTCAACCTGATTCACCGGCACCAATCCCAGCTCGGCCAAATATCCGGCACAGAGACCAGCCATTGCAGCGCCAAGAGAATGTCCAGTTATCTTAAAGAACAGAAGCTTCACTGCTGCTTTGCAGTAAAAATTTTTGGCTGCGAGAAGAGGCGAACCCGCGACCTCTCTCTTCTGTTCGTTTGAAAGACGCGCGCGTTAACCAAACGGTCATGCTCTAGTAGATGGCGCAGTGCGACCGCCCTTGTTTCTAGCTCACACGACCTGGGTTCAACTCCCGCCCGCGTCGGCAATTTTGGTTTTTTAAAAATTTAAAAACGTTGCACAGCTACATGGAATTCTAAGCCAAACTAACTATAAATTATTTGAAACGGCCCACTGAAACGGCAGAAGTAGTGCGCACAGACAGACAGACGTCTTAGTTCCTTTATATCTGACCAGCCAAGAAACACGCCTAACGGCGGATTTTTGTCGATTTTTTGGGGATCAGGGACTTTTGTTGCCGTGGAGCAGTGGATAGCGCGCCGGTCTATCGCCCATACAATCCGGGTTCGAAATCCCTGTGCTCTCGAATTTTGCTTTTTAAAAAATCTAAAAGCACATTGCACAACTACATGTAATTCTCTATTCAACGGCGCAAAAATCATTGCAAACGGTCCTCTGAGGGCTGAGGAGTAGCGCGCACAGACAGACAGACAGGCGGACAGACAGACAGAGGAACAGACAGACGGACATACAGCACGGACAGACGGACGGACAGACGTCTTAGTCTCTTTATATATCGTAGATTTTAATGAATCTCAAATCAGTAACAAAAACTATAGATGTCACTTGGGGATTTATTTTAAAAGTATAATGTCTCGTCAAAATCTCACCCAAATCTCATAATCAGGATATTGTTGTCTGAGCGTCAAGAAATCGTCCTTAATCCCACTGTTCCACAAATTCAAGAAGGCATCATAGAAGAAATCGGCCACTTTGGCACCACCTGGGAACACACGCTGAAAATTTTAGTTACACTGAAGTCCTATTTATAAAATGAACTATTAAGTTGAGGAAAAAAATAATGCGCTTTTTTGGATTTCGTATTGGGGAATGAAAAATGACTTCAACTCAACACTCACGACTCGCGGGCTTGCAGAAATATTTGATGTTGATCAGAAAACAATCGAAAACTATTCCCACCAACTCGGGAAACAAAATTTGCTGTGGTAAATAAATCCCGCGCGAACTGACTCAAGACAACAAAACAAATCACGTCAATGTAAATTCTTTTTGCTTCATATATGCAAAGCTGGTGGTTTTTGGGATTCGATTTTGAAATCTGATGAAACTTGGATTAATTACGAGAATGTGAAAAGAAAGAACCAATGGCTCTCTACCGGAAAAACCCCTCAAGCCACTTTCAAACCTGATATTCATGAAAAGAAAATAATGCTCTGTTGCTGGTGGAACTCAAAAGGTTTGGTGCACTATGAGTTAACTGATCCAAGAGACAACATTGATGCTGATTTCTATTCAAAACAATTGACTTAAGTTAACAATGTCTTAAAGAAATTGGGGCTCAATCCATTAAAAATTCGATTTTTGCACGATAACGCGAAACCCCACACTGCAAAACTCACAAAGAAATTGACGAGCTGGGCTGAAGTTGCTTCCTCATGCCCCTTACTCTCCTCACTTAGCCCCATCAGATTACTTTTTATTTCTGAATCAGTTTATAATGAAAGAAAAGTCTGATGATCATGCTCAAGTCAAAACAAGCGGTCGATAACTATTTTGGCTTGAAAAATCCCCAATTCTTTACAAGGATTTGTGTCAAAGATGGGAAGAAGTCATCGATAAAAATGAAGAATACCTTATTGATTGATAGTTGCAATTTCTTGCCGAATGCAATAATTGTTAAAACCAAAAAACGCGCATCTTTTTCCTCAACCTAATACTAATCTAACAAGGAAAACGAGATACCTGTTTTCCAAAGAGAATGTCAAGAACTTCCATTGGAACCTCGGCATTGATCTGCGAGCCTCTAGAAAGAAAGCTTACTGGTTGGTAGGGACCAAGTTGACCATGGATTATATTACACAAATGATTTGAACTAGTAAATAGTTTTTCTGTTTCTCAATTGCTGGACCAGCCCACCTCCATGCCACTATAATGGCCTTTTTCGAATCGGATGAGGCGGTGTAAGCCGAACATTTCTCATCCAATATGTCACAATCGTAGTCGATCTTTCTTTTCAACTGAAACGTTTTAATAACAACAATGCCAGTGAGCTGAAAGTTGAATTTATAGTTCTTACTTTTCCATCACCAGTGGCACTTGTGATGCACTCTTGTTGATTATCAATGTAGGCCCCAGCAGCTAATGGCCACATCACCTAGAAAAACTTGTACAGGGTGTTTCAGAATTATAGGCGACAAGACGGGCTAGCCTTGTTTTTATGACATTTTCTTTGTTACGATTCCAATACGGTTCCTATTTTATTCCAATACGGTTTCAATACGGTTCCTATTTTATTCCAATACGGTTCCTATTTTATTCCAATACGGTTCCAATACGGTTCCTATTTTATTCCAACACGATTCCAATACGGCTCCTATTTTATTCCAACACGATTCCAATACGGTTCCTATTTTATTCCAATACGGTTCCAATACGGTTCCTATTTTATTCCAATACGATTCCAATATGATTCCTATTTTATTCCAATACGGTTCCAATACGGTTCCTATTTTATTCCGATACGGTTCCAATACGGTTCCTATTTTATTCCAATACGATTCCAATATGATTCCTATCTTATTTTACGGTATTCCCAGTAGATTGCCAATTTCTGTTTATCATTCAAACTGCTTATTGAAAACCGTGCTTGGACAAGCTAGTAAAATGGCATGTCTACTCAAAAAGCAAAAAGATCTATCAGACTATTTAGTCTACAATATTTTAAAACCAATAGTTTCAGTTTGTATTTCTTTATGACTGCTTCTCAAAACACATAAATCACATCGTTATAGTCCTGGAAAGGTTGCTCAATAGCATTTTTTTTTCTGTGTCTTCTTAATTAGGTGCTTAGCATTCTTTTTTGAATCTGAAAACACTTACATTGCGCGCAAAATTATCATCATATTGTTGAGCGAGTGCTGTTGAAAAGAAACAAAAGCTGAGCACCAAAATGATCTTCATGGCTGTTTACTTTGAAAAGTGTTGATGCCACAAAATGAGTAAACGTGTATCCGGCATGGGCAGTGTTTTTTTCTTGAGGTAGAGCCATAAAAGCAGACGTTATCAGTCGTTTTCTTCAAGAAGCAATAGCTGATAGTTGAGAGCAATGTCACAGGAAAAGAATTTAAAAGGGTTTTTGAAATGCAATTAAATGAATGACGAGAAAACCACTACACTATGCACAAAACGGGTTAATGACAATATTTATTGCAAACAAGATAGCCGAATGAAAGTTTAACAGCTTGCTGCTTGACAAACATTCTCAAAGACTTGTAAAAGCTTTTGTAAAAGCTTTTCTCTTCCGAGAAACGTATAAAATGATCTGCCAACTTCTTTTTCTTCAACTTTTCTATCATATAATCTTTGCGATGTCTAAATGGTAGCCGAAGCAGATGGACAGACGGACAGACGGACAGACGTAAACATATTGGAAAATGTATAGACATATTCAAGGTATTCTTATTATAAGAATCTCTGGCGCACTCTGAAAAAACTAAAGCTTGAAAGGGAAATCTTTGCTTTCTTGGCTTGATTTTTGTTTTTAAAATAGATCTTCAAACTGTGTATTTGTATTTTAAGTTTTCCATTGAATTCCATTGAAGTTTCCATTGAAAAAAAAGTGCCACCAATAAGAGTCTAGTCTTGTTTCCCCAAATAGTCACATTTCGCTCAAACTATGAAAAAGGAATCTCTCAAAATCTCAAAACTGATAAATAGTGGGAATCTTTGAGCTCAAAAAATCTAAAAGTTTCAACAGAGATTTTTCTTTCCTAAAAAGTTTAAGGTTGATGAGAGAGATGGGGGAATTGCCCGTGGATCGAAAAACCGAATGTTCGCTGAATCGGCTTGGATTGGAAAAAAAAGGATAAATAGCTTGGAAATAGTTGAGAAATTTTGTTTTCTCTCAATTTTCTTCCTAAAAATACACTATTTCTCGATGTTTCTTTTTTTGTTGATTATTGGTTTATTCATCGATGTTTGTCATGGCTGTAAGTCTCATAAAAAACTGTTCTGTTCAACTCTATTAGGAACTAAAGAAGTTAGAGCAGAGGCTAACTGTAAGAGTTTCTGTTCAACTCTATTAGCGGAGGTATTCATGCTTGTTCGTTATAAATTTCCAATTATAATCCGAGAAGGTCCAGTTGACTATGATAAAAGACTGGAAATAAAGAAGCTAGAACAGGGGCTAACTGTAAGAGTTTATAGATAAGATTTAGCAAAAATTACTAATTAGTCGAGCCACAGACAAAAGCTCACCTTGTGAATTTTTCTCTATCTTTAAAGAGCTATAACTCCAAACCTTTCCATTGTAGACTGAAAGTGTTATAGTGATTCTGAAAGCTTAAAATAAGCTCTATAAGATGGTGTATTTGCTTTTTAGAATTATTTTGATTTTTGACACATTTTGGGGTACGCAAAATCGGGTTTGAAAAGACAACATTTTCAGCGCTGTTTTTCTTGTTGATTCCGTGCTCTAATCATCTTGAAACCGTGTTTTTTGGATAGAAAGTGCCAAATTACTCCTAGAAACCTTTGATTTGAGTATTTATTGCTGTCTCAAAGTTCTAAAAAACCCAACTTCGCATTACCGTCGTTTTTTGAGACTAAACGATTGAGGGAGCAAATCTGAAATTTTACATAAATAATACTTAACTTAAAATGAAAGAAAAGAATAGGATCAGAAAAAAGAACAAAAACAAAGCATTTGAACTGAGAATTCTCACATGATATCTGAAGCGGTGAGACGCGTATTTTTTCGAGACTCCCTTACCGTCTTTCGGTCCATTTTGCGCAAAAATGTGTCAAAAATCAAAATAATTCTAAAAGCAAATACACCATCTTATAGAGCTTGTTTTAAGCTTTCAGAATCACTATAGCACTTTCAGTCTATGATGGATAAGTTTGGAGTTATAGCTCTTCAAAGATAGAGAAAAATTCCCAAGGTGATCTTTTGTCTAGTATGTTAACAGGACTAAAAATTTGAAATAGCCAAGCGTAGCCACATGTATAGTTAGCCTAGCCTTGTCTAATTCTTGGCTTTATTCAGCTTTTGGTAGGATTCACAGTGAAAATGATGCATTGACTCATTTCAGATTTGACTTGGTCATTTGGTGGCGATGACGATGATGACTACTACTCTGGACGACGTTATCTTGGTTCGTTTCCTTAGTTATTCTAAAGAATGAATGCATACGAAATGGCTAATCGATGTAAATTTCTCCGCCAGTTATCTAATTTCTATTTGATTAGAATGCAAACTTACAATCTAAGCTAACAGGCAACTTTTTTGACATGAAATATGGAGAAACTTTTCGATCATTCAAGTCAACTCAACTTTCATTTTCTTTTAAGCCAAACTTCTATTAGCTTCTATTTTTTTAATTAAAATGGTTCTATTCTTTTTTCAATATCTTTTTTGAGTTTTGAGAATAATTTGAATCGATAAAGCTTGAGATTTCTTAATGAATTAGCTTTTTATTGAAGAAGCCTATGAAAATAATGTTTACATGAAATAGTTTTTTCAATAGCTGGAATTCTTGGTCAAAAAAAGCTCATTATTACATAACTTTTCACTAGCAACGAGTCATAAAAGAACTTTTTGAAAACTGGTGTTTGTTTGAGGAAATCTGGAAAAATTTCGTACATTCTGTTGGAAGATTTGTAATGGAATTAAATTGAATTTTTACATATGAGATTGATCTAAACTAATTAGTTACGCTTTTTGCAAAAAGCAAGTGTTATTTCGAAGATTTCATTGCCAGTTGATTGCCTACTCTGTATCAGACTGCCTTGGGGATCTAGTCTTTCAGAACTTCAAACCAGGTCAATAGCTTCATCGACCCAATAATCCCAGTTGATTGCCTACTCTGTATCAGATTGCCTTGGGGAGCTAGTCTTTTAGAACTTCAAACAAGGTCAATAGCTTCACCGACCCAATAATCCTAAATCTTCACTAGAAATTGACTCTACAAAAAGTATCATTATTTTAGGTGGGTCTTATGGACAGCCAACCGTTCAGCAAACATATGGTCAACCGTTCTATGGTCAACCAAGCTACTCTCCAGTCACATACTCATCGGTGAATATGGGCGGTCGATCGGCTGGCCAATGTCAAGGTTGGGCTCTAGGCTGATTTTGAATTGAATTTTGCTTCTTTTTAATTTAGAGGTCAGGGTCAGTAAACTTGAAAGCTTATCATCTAGAAAACAGATGAAAAGGGAAGAACATGAAGAAAGCCATGAGATTCGAGTCAGTTTACGATGTCAATTCCTGAAGAAAGCAATAAGCGGATCTTACCGAAAAGTTCTTGGATCAGGAATGATTTGAACATTCAAATTCAGGTCCAGAACAAACACTTTACTTCTTACAAGGAAATGACACGAGCTCGAAGTTCAGAATCGGTTCGTGATCGAGTGCACCTCATAGAATCGGCTATGCTGATTCTGAATCTGGAAAAACTAGCTGCTCACGCACAAGGAATTTGGCATAGAAAATTCCCTTAAAGTTCGGACTCTTCATGGGCCACAAAGAAACTTTTCAACCACTTTGGTGGTCTAGCGGATAGTGTGCTAGCCTACGGAACTTATGAAGTTTTTTTGGCTTCGGTTCGGATCCTCGCCTGGCCAATTCTTTTTTTGCTTTGCTTTGCTTTTGATTTTGCTTTTTTTGGAAAATTCTTTTTCTGATGTCTTGAAAATTCTTTTTCTGATCTCTGATATTTATCTTTTATGCACTTTTTTACAACTTCTAAACGGTGTTGATAAAACTTTCAATTTTCAAATGTTTCTTCTCGTTGAAAAGTTTCTTTATGGTGGCCCATGAAGTGTCCGAAATTTAAGGGAATTTTCTATACCAGATTCCTTGCGATTGCGTCGATGTTTGCAGTTAATTTTTTACAGATTCAGAATCAGCATAGTCGATTCTATGGGATGCATTCTGAACTTCGAGCCGGTCATTCTGAATTCGTGTCATTTCGTGCTGGTGTCATTTCCTTGTTAGCTATCTTTCCTCAAAGCCCCAGTGACGAGGCCAGATATCCACTCTGCATAGATGCTCGAACTTGCCATTAATTATAAGCCAGCTCATTTTCAGTTATTCGCTATCTCGGAAATCAATATGTTGACTATCTCCGGACCAGTTATCCCTCGTACCAATGTTACTGTTCAAATATCGGCTATTTCACTCACGTGATGAGGACAAACCAGTATGCTGCATGTGCCAACAATTTGCCGACAAACAAGCTGATGCAATGGTCACAAACCACTCATGTCACTCAGTATACTCCAGTTTATACTGAAACCACATGGCCTTATTATTCTTACTACAGTAGGGGATGGGGGAAATAATAAATCAATGATAAGAATGTGCAAATTGCAGAAATTGCAGAAATTTGTGAATTCATTTTATTTTTGATCGAATAAAACTGATATGATGAATAAATTAGATCTTTTATCAACTCAAATACACTAAACACAATTCAATTCAAACTCTGGAAAAGAGCTTCTAAGAATAAATTCTTTAACCTTCATTAAAACCCTTATTTCTTTAATCTTCTTCTTTAATTTTAAAAAAATTTCTTTAACCTTACAATTCTTACCTTATCTTTGCTTTTTGTTAGACAAAAAGACACCTTTTTGTCCTATCGAAGTCATTAAAACTCGACATTTATTCGGATCGGAACTGATTTGAGTCTTTTGATGAAAGAAAACTTGTACTACTGCCGGAAAATGGCGGAAAAACATCAATATTTTGCTCCCCATTTCTTCTTTTTACTTTAACTTCATTTTATTTGTTATTTGTTAAAACCTTATTTGTTAAAAGTCACCTTTTTGTCCTATCGAAGTGATTAAAACTCGACATTTATTCGGATTGGAACTGATTTGAGTCTTTTGATGAAAGAAAACTTGTACTACTGCCGGAAAATGGCGGAAAAACATCGATATTTTGCTCCCCATTTCTTCTTTTTACTTTTTACTTCTTCATTTTAATCTCTGATCAAACCTAATCGAGTAAGCCTTATTCAGTTTGACAACCTTAAATAAGGGAACATACTCTATCTTTTCTATTTGTTTTATACTGCTGTCGAATTACAGAATAATCGAATTGTCGCTGAATTCATTTGACAAAGGTTTAAAGTCTAAACTAACAAGATGCTTTTGAAAGGTAAATAGAGGAAAGGCTTATAAGATTTTTTTTTATTTTCACGGTCGGAGTCAATATCTTTTAAAATAATCAATATCTTTGCAATCTTTTTGTGAAAGGTAAGGTGTTAATAACAAGAATACCGTATTTTCTGTAATAGTAGTGCAGTCTGTAACAGCAGTGTAGTCTGTAAAGTGGTGTAGTCTGTAATAGTGGTGCAGTCTGTAATAATAGTGCAGTCTGTAATAATAGTGTAGTCTGTGACAGTAGTGCAGTCTGTAACAGTAATGCAGTCTGTAACAGTCGTGCAGTCTGTAACAGTAGTGCAGTCTGTAATAGTAGTGCAGGCTGGAGGGGGGTTGAAAAACGAGTAATGCGCACTACTATTCCAGAAAATACGGTAGTTAGATCAGAGTCGTATTTTTGCGACTGAAGAGATTTCCTTTTAACAAAAAGTCTAACAACCATCTTATTTTCAAATCAAAAGTTTTTTTATTTTAACTTTTGTTCTCTATTAGTTAAAATCAATTGAGAATCCTTTTTCTCAATTTTAATGTTCAAAATTCTAAAGTTCAAAATTTTAAAGGCTCAAGCTATCTCAAAAGAGCTGTTTTGTTTATTTGTCCACTTTTTCCCCGTCTTGTACTTGCCCTTTGTTATTGATCGATTGAGAAACAACTCTTTTCCCTTTTTCCCGTTGTTGACTCATCATTTTTTTAAATCTTTTCCCTTTTTTCTCTCTCTTTGATCTATCAATATGTTTTCCCGAGAATTTTCGAATAGTTTGATTTTGAAACGAGCGACACCTCGTCATAGTCTCTCAATTGGGTGAAATTTTTACCTATTTGTTGGTATATTTCTGGAATCACTGTCCTCTAAAGGACTTTTAATTGACTAAAATTGAATTTATCATCTTTTTGAAGTCTTTTTGAAGTCTTTTGAATTATTTTATTGATCAAAGTTCGATCAAAGTTGCCAACCAAAGCTATTTTTATTTAAATAAAAAAAAAGAAAGATCAAATTATTGAAATCAAGAGGATTTCCTTTAATTTAAACGTGAATTGAATAAAATTCAATTCACTTTTCAAAACTCATCATGACAACACGATATTTCGGTGCTGGTGCCTTAAAAGAGTATGAGGACTATCACGATGCAACTTGTGAAGCTTGTCAAACTGCAGAAATTCGCGGAAATCGTTATGATTGCCATTCTTGTTCGATCACTCTTTGCCAGAATTGCTATCTAACAAAAGATTATGGCTCTGCCCCTCAACATAATGATTTTCATACTTGTAAAGTGACACCATGTCCTTTGGATCGTTTGGCTTCACCGCAACAAAATGTTTCTTGTAATGGATGTCTATCCGAGAATTTTCTCGCTATTTGCTATCATTGTGAAGTCTGTGATGAGTTTAATTTGTGCGAACATTGCCATTTGGAAGCTCGATACGCGCCGATCGAGAATACAATTGTTAAGCATGAAAGTGGACATAAGATGAAGGTCAGTTTAGCAAATTTTGAGATTCTAGATTCTCTAGATGATTAAAGATAAGGTTTTATATTTTTCTGTATCAACTACTAGATAAATCATTTTGATTTTCAAAATTTAGCTTTATTTTTCTGTAAAAACAGAAAAAGATAAGCCTCTTTTCATAAATTCAATACGGAAAACGAGAAAATTTATTACAAAAATATTTACAACTCTATGGTTTTAGAAAACCGCTTTGATAAAGCATAGCATAAAAATAGGGTTATTATTTTAAATATTTTTATAAAAACAATGTTTAATACGAGCTTGAGTTGGTTGAATCAAAGTTAAATCAAGTCAAACCAAGCCAAACTAAAGGACGTTAATATAATACAGGGTGACCGCAAAGTATAGCGATCACCTTTTGGAAAAGTATCTAGGAAATTTCTAATTTATTTCAAAAGACTCAAGGCCTCTATAATAAATTGTAGCCCTTAATCTTGGCTACATTTATTTACCAAAAACTTTCCCATTCGACTTATACAACTCATTTAACAAGCGCTTGAATGAGCGTCGACATCTCTCCGGTAAATCTGTCATTTGGCCACTTTTCTTTATTAAAAATTGTTAAGAAAAGCTTTCCAGAAAAGCTTTAATGCAAAAATAGCTTTTAACATCATTTAATAACATTAAGAATCGCAGCTAACTATTTAACTTTAGCCAAACTAAAGGACGTTATTATAATTCAGGGTGACCTCAAAGTATAGCGACAAATTTTTGGAAAAGTATCTAGGAAATTTCTAATTTATTTCAAAAGTGGCAAGTGTTATGTAGAGAATTGTAGCCCTTAATATTGGCTACATTTATCTACCAAAAACTTTCCGATTCGACTTATACAACTCATTTAACAAGTGCTTGAATGAGCGCTAGTCATTTGTCGAATCTGTTATTTGGCGGCTTTTCTTTATTAAAAATTGTTAAGAAAAGCTTTAATGCAAAAATAGCTTTTAACATCATTTAATAACATTAAGAATCACAGTTAACTATTTAACTTTAGTTTGTCTCAAAACGAGTACTTCTGGTGCTAAAGTTTGGGTTGATTTCCGTTCAACTTCCACAGAATAGATCGACCAGAAAAGCTGGGTAGTGGAACTAAGTTGATGAACTAGCATAACCAAAATCTAAGTTGATATCAAGCGGCCAAATGACAGCTTCGCCGGAGAGATGTCGACGTTGATTCAAGCGCTTGTTATATGAGTTGTATAAGTTGAATCGGGAAGTTTTTGGTAGATAAATGTAGCCAATATTAAGGGCTACAATTCTCTACATAACACTTGCCACTTTTGAAATAAATTAGAAATTTCCTAGATACTTTTCCAAAAAGTTGTCGCTATACTTTGAGGTCACCCTGTATTATATTGACGTCCTTTAGTTTGGTTTGATAGGGAAAGGCAAATTCTACCTAATGTTATAGGTTAAAAGTTAAAAGTGCCCAAATAGTCGATGGCTTAATCTCCATATAGTACACTATAAAAGCTTTGAAGCCCTGAAACTTGGCTTAAAACGCCTGGTTTTTTCGGAATCTACGCATAAAAATTACCCTAGAAAAAGTGGTTTTGAAGTAAAAAAAGTACTACCTTAGTGGCAAAATAGTAGTTTCTTTCTATTCATACCTACAACTACCTATAAGTGGCCAAATCATTTTATTTTTTCAATTCTAAATATTGGAATATTGAGCATATAATTAAATGCTTTGAGAAGAAAACAGTAAACAATGAAACAGTTTTTGCACTAAAGAGATATTGAAAAGCTTTTCTTAACAATTTTTAATAAAGAAAAGCGGCCAAATGACAGATTCGACTAGCCAAATTCGACAAATGACTAGCGCTCATTCAAGCACTTGTTAAATGAGTTGTATAAGTCGAATCGGAAAGTTTTTGGTAGATAAATGTAGCCAATATTAAGGGCTACAATTCTCTACATAACACTTGCCACTTTTGAAATAAATTAGAAATTTCCTAGATACTTTTCCAAAAATTTGTCGCTATACTTTGAGGTCACCCTGAATTATAATAACGTCCTTTAGTTTGGCTAAAGTTAAATAGTTAGCTGCGATTCTTAATGTTATTAAATGATGTTAAAAGCTATTTTTGCATTAAAGCTTTTCTTAACAATTTTTAATAAAGAAAAGTGGCCAAATGACAGATTTGCCGGAGAGATGTCGACGCTCATTCAAGCGCTTGTTAAATGAGTTGTATAAGTCGAATGGGGAAGTTTTTGGTAGATAAATGTAGCCAAGATTAAGGGCTACAATTTATTATAGAGGCCTTGAGTCTTTTGAAATAAATTAGAAATTTCCTAGATACTTTTCCAAAAAGTTGTCGCTATACTTTGCGGTCACCCTGTAGATTGATACTTGTATGCAATAAACATGATTTAAATAAGCAGCAAGTCAAGCCAATTCAAGCCAATTCAAGCCAATTCAAGCCAAGAGATGTGAGCTTGGCTTTGACTGGCTAAAAATATATGTCTAAAGCTGATGAATAGCATTAAAAAATTGTTTTTCAGGAGATTCTTCCCATTGAGCGCGAAGATCGAAGCGAATTTGTGGTAACAGCGTGTGCAATCGAATTCCAACAATTGATGGGATCTCAAATGGTGGCCCAGCCTGACACCTATTATCTAAATGATCAAGAGGGACTTCATGTACTTGGACAAAAATCGGCTTTTGCTCTTTTTGGACCACCTAGTCAGTTGCCTGATGGGAAAACCGTTTTTGGCTATTCAAAGAAACAAGAAAAAGTTATTCAAAAGCTAACAAAACATCTTGAAAAACTTGCAGAAGATAAAGAAGATAAAGAAGATAAAGAAAAAGATGGAAAACTTCTCGTCTCTTTTATCTTTATTCGATATTTTACTTTAAACGGAAAACGAGAAGGAACAGCTCCATTATTAAGAGTTCATTTGAATTCAGAGATTCTATTTGTAGAGCCCAACTGTCGAACTTATGATGATTGGATAGATTTCACAAAGAAGAATCAGTTTCCTGAGGGCGAGCTGATCTGTCCGGAACGAGGCGTTTACACTCTCGATAAGAATGGGAGAATCGAATTGGAACAACGAAAATCTGCTGATTGTAAGTTGACAAGGCAAATCGTTCGATCTGGAGATATTGTGGCAACAGTTGGAGCAGTTGGAGCGACAACGCTTGGCCTTGTCGGTCTCTTTACTCCATTGGCTCCAGTTGCGGCAACAACGTTGGCCTATTCGGGAGCAGCTCTAACAACTTGGGCAGTTGGTAGAACCGGTCAACAAATGTATGATAGAAACTCGCACGAACAAACGCTAAATCCCTTAACTGATCGAGACGCTTTTTTCTGTTGGTTTACTCTTCTATCCGCTGCCGCTCCAATTGGAACTCAATTAGCTGTTAATCATTTAAGTTTATTGGCTCAAGAAGGTGCTCAAATCAGTAGAACCACTCAACTCTTGACAAACATTGCAATTTTTGGAGGTATCGGCATTGGAGGCTTTGGTCTATTGTCTTCAACCGCAAATCTAGTTTCAAATTTGAAGAAAGGACGAAAACCGACACCTTTAGAGATCTTCCAGCTAAGCGCTGGCTTGTTATTCTTCTCTCATTCGGTAGCCAATGTGAAACAAGCCAGTCAGATCATCAATGATATTCACAATAAACAAACAATTGATATGGTTGTTCCAGAGAAGAAAGATCGACTGGATATAGACGATTTTACTTTACTAAAAGAGGGAAATAAGGAACAGAACGAGCATCATCAAACATTGGTTAAAGATGGAAATCTGAAAGGAATGACTCCACCAAAAGTCGAACGTTATGCAGAAGGGATTGCTGATCGAACGAGAATGTCTCTCTATGGTGGAAGTAATTCTGATCAAGCTTCTGTTACAACAATTCTTTCAATGGAACCAGCTGAATTGAGTAGAAGAATCAAACGCGCGATTAAACCGGAACAACTGAATGGACGACATAATGTGGAGCTAGAGGGAACCTATCACGCGATCAATCAACATTTTGACCCAAAGACGAAAGCTTTCAGAACAGAATATGTAAAGGTGGGCATTCAATTTCTATAAGTTTTATTAAAATTCGAAAATTTTAGCGATTTCGAGGGTTTTAGTTGCTTTGTTTGTTTAAATTGAAAGAAAATAGAGATATCGTCAACTCTAACCTATAACAGTAGGTAGAATTCACTTTTTCCTACCAAACCAAACTAAAGGACGTTAACTAAAGGACCAAACTAAAGACGTTAACAGGGTGACCGAAAAGTCTAGCGACAACTTTTCGAAAAGTATCCAGAAAATTTCTAATTTATTTCAAAATTAGCAAGTGTTATATAGAGAATTGTAGTCCTAATTCTCGGCAACATTTATCTACCAAAAACTTTCCGATTCGACTTATACAACTCGCTTAACAAGCGTTTGAATGAGCGCAAGTCATTTGGTCGAATCTGTCTAGTCGAATCTGTCTAGTCGAATCTGTCATTTAGCCGCTTTGTAAGTGACTTTTTTGTCGCTCTTTTGTTTATAGCTCAACTTTCATTCATCAAAACACGATAAAAACTTGCTCTCTAATAGAAAATCGAATACTAACAATGTTTCAAATAATATACTACACGGCGACCTCAAAGTCTAGCGACAACTTTTTTGGAAAAGTATCTAGGAAATTTCTAATTTATTTCAAAATTAGCAAGTGTTATATAGAGAATTGTAGTCCTAATTCTCGGCAACATTTATCTACCAAAAACTTTCCGATTCGACTTATACAACTCATTTAATAAGCGCTTGAATGAGTGCAAGTCAAACCTGCAGTCAAATCAGTCAAATCTGTCATTTGGCCGCTTTTCTTTATTAAAAATCGTTAAGAAAAGCTTTTCAATAATTCTTTTGTGCAAAAACTGTTTCATAGTTTACTTTTTTATGGTTTTAAAGAAAAAAGGTGGGTCTCCCCAAACGGTGTACTACCCAGCCCCGAAATTCGGCTTAAAAGTTTTTCCTTATGGGCATCCCTCTCAACACACTGTATGAGCGCGCAGTTTGGAGCCCCGACACTTGGCTTAAAACGCCTTTTCTTAAGTTCTCGTTGTGTTTTTGGAATCTACGCATAAAACTACCCCAGAAAAAGTGGTTTTGAAGAAAAAAAGTGCCGCCCTGAACTACTTTTAGTACAACTTTAGTACAACCTTTTTATCATTTTAGCCTTTTCTTGCTATTAACGGTTTTTAACAGAATTTTTTATTTATTTTAAAAAGAAAAATCTTATTCTATTAGTAGCATATCAAATCGTTTTCATTTCACTTCAATGCTTTCATTTTCAGATCGAGAATCCGGTGTTCGGTTTGAAAAATGGTGAGCCGATTCATTTGAATGCTGAAGCTTCTGGAAGGCCACAATTGCTCACAAGACAACAATTCTATGAGCATTTCCCAGCCCTCAACGAGATGACCCCAATTCGGCACATTCGATTCGGTCCCAAATTTCCGAAAAGAAGAAGAAAAGGAAATGAGGAGGAGAGCGATGATTTCCACCAAGAGCTTTAATTTCTCTTTTCAATAAATTTTTAAGATTTACAAAACGTTTACAAGAAATACACAAAAGCTCACTTGATAAAGAGATTAAAAACGAAGTTTTAATAAAGAATTAAAGCTTAGAAAGATAAGATTTGTATATGTCGTAGCCGATTATGAATGAGTGGGTCTAGGAGCGTCCAACCATCAAGTATTTGGTATCTTTCAACGCAGAATCATTGATAAGTATGTTAAATTTTTAAAATTAGCAAGATTTGATGAAAAGAAAAAAAAAATTAGAGCAAAAAACTGTTTGTTCAAGAAAAAACTTTGAAGCCCCATAATTTTTTTTCTTTTTATCCAATCTTTCTAATTTAAAAAATTTAACATAATTATCAATGATTCTGCGTTGAATGATACCAAATACTTGATGGTTGGACGCTCCTAGACCCACTCATTCATAATCGGCTACAGGGGTCCCGGCGATTTTGAATGATACGTTGTAGCGCCAGCAATTTTTAACCTAAACTCACAAATTTGGTACCAATCGACGCAGAATTGAATTCGCTACAAGATGATATAATATTGTCCTCATACATTAAATCGGCTACATTAAATCGGCTCTACTAGAAAGATTTACCAAAAAATTTCATTCATAATCGGCTACGACATATAGATTTTCTTCAAAGATCAAAAAGGATTCATGAACCAAAAAAGTTTGATTATAAACTGAAGATTTTGTATAGATTTTCACCAATTTTAATAAAACTTAGAAAATCAATGCCCACCTTTACATATTCTGCTCTGAAAGCTTTCGTCTTTGGGTCAAAATGTCGTTCTTATGTCTGCAAAATTGTAAAAAAAGGTTAATAAAGACTAAACGAGGAAGATTGTTTATTTCCCAGGAAATATAATATCATAGTTTTCGACAAAAGCCCCACAAAAGCCGACAAAAGCCTGGTTGTTCTTTGTGCAGAAGCCAAACGATCCAACGGTTCCTTTCTGAAAAACAATTATTTCTAAAAGTTTTTGCTATGTTTCCTATTTTTACAGCATCAAATTTAGTCTTCGCATCGACTGCTTTTCTCTTTCGCTTTGGCTTATCCGTTCCCTCGTTTGCTTCTTTGTCCGATTGGTTGTGCAGTTTATTTCACGTTGATTTTCTTGTCCTTTTTCTTTTGATCAACTAATTTGTTCGTTTGACGTATCGTTGGACACAAGCTCGACCAATTTTGTAGAATTTGGCAGCGGTAGAGACTTCGCAAGCCATTTTTGCAGCCAAATTTAATCTTCGCATCTATTGCTTTTCTCTTTCGTTTTGGCTTATCCGCTCCCTCGTTTGCTTCTTTGTCCGATTGGTTGTGCAGTTTATTTCACGTTGATTTTCTTGTCCTTTTTCTTTTGATCAACTAATTTGTTCGTTTGACGTATCGTTGGACACAAGCTCGACCAATTTTGTAGAATTTGGCAGCGGTAGAGACTTCGCAAGCCATTTTTGCAGCCAAATTTAATCTTCGCATCTATTGCTTTTCTCTTTCGTTTTGGCTTATCCGCTCCCTCGTTTGCTTCTTTGTCCGATTTGTTGTGCAGCTATTTCACGTTGATTTTCTTGTCCTTCTTCTCTTGATCAGCTAATTTGTTCGTTTGATGTATCATTGGACACAAGCTCGACCAATTTTATAGAATTTGGCAGCGGTATGAACGGAGCCCTCGCAAGCCATCTTTGCAGCCAAATTTAATCTTCGCATCTATTGCTTTGGCTTATCCGTTCCCTCGTTGGCTTCTTTGTCCGATTCCTCGTGCAATTCTTCGTTCAATTCACGTTGATGTTATTGTTCTTCTTCAAAGAATCGGTTCAGTTCGTGCTCGCGTCGATTGCGAAGCGCTTCAAAGTCATCCCAGCTTTCGTGATCTCTCATCGAACCTAAAAAATGAAATTATTAAAGAAAACAAATAAGAAATGCTAGAAAAGCAGTAAAAAAGGAGAATAAATGAATGAAAATTTTGCAATTGCAAGCTAAAAAGCAAAAAGTTGAATATCTGGGGGTGGGAGAAATGCGACCTTTTTTTTGCGCACCTGGACATTTGCACACGTTTTGTTTTGCTGGAAAAGGCCTTAGGAAAGGTCGTAGAGCTTCAAAAATGTTATCATAGAAGGGAATCGTATGTGTAGATTCCGAATTTCGACAAATCAGACCTTGCTGACATGTCAAATTTGGACTAAAAGGCAAAAACTACGCAACTTAACGCTTTTCCGCAGTTTTTGCCTTTTAGCCCAAATTTGACGTCTCAGCGAGGTCTGATTTGTCGAAATTCGGAATCTACGCATACGATTCCCTTATATGGAAATATTTTCGAAGCTCTACGGCCTTGCCTAAGGCCTTTTCCAGCAAAAAAAAGGTGCGCAAATGTCCAGGTGCGCAAAAAAAAAGGTCGCATTTGTTCCACTCCCGAATATCTTGAGTTTTCTCATAGGCATTAAGATATTCAGTTAAGGGGCGCTACTATTACAGGTATCACGGTATAAATCCTGTTAAATTGTTAACTACTGATAACCATCTGCTGATAGTTTGGTTTACTATTAGTGAGAGTCCTTCTCCTTTAAGCCAATTGTAAGCGTTTCCTTCTGAATTCAACCGTTTTCTAAAACGTGTCCCCTTTCTCTTTCTATTTCTTCGGTGTACTTTGTGCGGTGTTTAGAGTGTAAATGCATCCTTTCCAGTGCAGTTTAGCCCCTCAGATCATACAATCCTTTATAACGATCATACAAACCTATCAATTATAAACCTATCAATTATTTAAGCTTCTATGAATGTCATACAAGATTATTTGTAAATCTTTTAGCTATATATTTAAGAATTTTAAGAACATTTTCTTTTCAAAATAAAACAACATGATTTTTGATTAAATGAAATAAGAGATTACGACTTAAACATACCAATCAGACCATATAGAAAGAAAAAAGATGTTATGGTTGAAAGGCGAGCCATTTCCAATTGAATAAGTGAATATCCGGAACCAGTTTCAGTTTTTAAAGTCTAGTCTTTTGCAAATTTTTTTGCTAGCATCATGTGGTTAATCTTTTGGTAACCTTTTTTAACAAAAAGCATCCCGTTATTGTTGGCGAATTCGACTTTTTACGATTATTTGATCTCTATTGAGCTGTTTTGAAATGAAATCCGCCCACGAATGCTCAACAACTAGAGTCTTCCGTTTATGCTAGTAAAGCAAGAGTAAAAATGTTAAGAAATATTCGAGAATAATTCTAAGTCTTGCTCAAAAAAGATCCTAAATGAAAACTCCAATGCTATAAATCATTTTTTTCATTTCATCATCCAAAATGAGTCTTTTGAGCAAAACATTGGCAAAAGACTAGACTTAAAGGTTTTTAAATGAGAAAAAACTTGCCTGCGAGCACTCAAATGTTCCGTAGCATTCCTCAAACTTCTGAATTTCTGAATGTAAAAAATAAGCCAAAACAAGTAACCAATCTCCATCCAGGACGATGTGAGACAGCTATCACCAGACAAAAACACAAAGAAGATGCAATTAAAAGTCGCATCTTTGTCCGGGAAGGGGTAAACAGTTACTAAACCGTTTCTGAATCAGCTACTATAAGAGATTTTGGGCTGAGATGTTCCTATTTTATGTCTATCTATTTTTTAAATAAAAACTCGCTCCACTTCACTACAGAGTAGCTATAAAGATCTATAAATTACAGGATCTATTTTTTGAGCAAAAGGTCTTTGATTAGAAAAGTGGAACGAAACGGAAAAGTGATCTGTGTTTGATAAAATTTAGTTTTCTAGACGAAAAAAAAGTGACTTGTTATGAATGAATTGACTTGTTATTTGAATTTAAGGTTAGAAGCTTAGAGGACTTTTGGAAGTTTAGGGGACTTTTGAAAGCTTAGAGGACTTTTGAAAGCTTAGAGGACTTTTGAAAGCTTAGGGGACTTTTGAAAGCTTAGAGGACTTTTGGAAGTTTAGGGGACTTTTGAAAGCTTAGGGGACTTTTGAAAGTTTAGGGGACTTTTGAAAGTTTAGGGGACTTTTGAAAGTTTAGGGGACTTTTGAAAGTTTAGGAGACTTTTGGACGTTTAGGGGACTTTCGAATAGTTAGTCAAGCTCTAAATATTTATAACTTACTACAGAGACAATATATTCATCTACTTTGGATATATTTTTAAAAAAACACATTCCAGGCTTTCAAATGAGAACAAATGGAGCTAGATTGGATAGATCAATCCCGAAAGTCAAAGGCAAGATCAAGTGACACAACAACGACTTGTAGCCCATTCGATTTTCTCGAGACTCATCTATCCAATCTAACTCCATTTGGTCTCATTTAAAAGCCTGGAATGTGTTCTTTGAAAATATGAATCAAAAGTAGATGAATATATTGTCTCTGTAGTAAGTTATAAATATTTAGAGCTTGACTAACCATTCAAAAGTCCCCTAAACTTGCAAAAGTCTCTTAAACTTCCAAAAGTTCCCTAAGCTTCCAAAAGTCCCCTAAACTTTCAAAAGTCCTCTAAGCTTCTAACCTTAAATTCAAATAACAAGTCAATTCATTCATAACGAGTCACTTTTTTTTTCCGTCTAGAAAACTAAATTTTATCAAACACAGATCACTTTTCCGTTTCGTTCCACTTTTCTAATCAGAGATCTTTTGCTAGATCCTGTAATTTATAGATCTTTATAGCTACTCTGTAGTGAAGTGGAACAAGTTTTTATTTCAAAAATAGATAGACATAAAATAGGAACATCTCAGCCCAAAATCTCTCTATAATAGCTGATTGAGAAACGGTTTAGTAACTGTTTACCCCTTCCCGGACAAGGATGCGACTTTTAATTGCATCTTCTTTGTGTTTTTGTCTGGTGATAGCTGTCCCACATCGTCCTGGATGGAGATTGGTTTGCTTGTTTTGACTTATTTTTTACATTAAGAAATTCAGAAGTTTGAGGAATGCTACGGAACATTTGAGTGCTTGCAGGCAAGTTTTTTCTCATTTGAAAACCTTTAGGTTCATTGATTTTCATTAGAGATCTCAATATTAAAGCTAATTATTAGCTTAATACAAAAAATTGAAAAAAAATGAGTAATTTAGGGTTTAAGATGCTGCACTGAATGTCCGTGGGGCGCCATATGTGGAGCTGGAACGAAGGTGGTGATGTTGTTGTTGTTGTTGTTGCTTGTTGAGGAAAATCTTTAACAATCTTTAATATTTTTATGAATTTAAAGCCTCTTTTAAATCATGATTATAATCTTTTAAAAGAAATAAGCTCATTTTTACAGTATGCTCCCGTCTGTCAGCCATCATGCGGTCGGAACGACAAAGAATTTTTCGGAAACGAGCCTAGCTATGTCAAAAGCGTAAGTCAAGAAGTTTTTATCTTTTCGAAAACAATTTTCCAGCCCAATGCTTTCTGCAGTGATACCTACGAATGTCCATACGTTTGTTTTTTAAAAGAATTTAAAATTTGAAGCTGAAACGCTTGTAAGCAAAAGCATTCCTTAGTTAAATCTAGCATTTGATTAGGCTCTAGCATTTGATCAAACTCTAGCATTTGATCAAGCTCTAGCATTTGATTAGGCTCTAGCATTTGATCAAGCTCTAGCATTTGATCAAGCTCTAGCATTTGATTAGGCTCTAGTATTTGATTGGGCTCTAGTATTTGATTAGGCTCTAGTATTTGATCAAGCTCTAGCATTTGATTGGGCTCTAGTATTTGATTAGGCTCTAGTATTTGATCAAGCTCTAGTATTTGATCAAGCTCTAGTATTTGATCAAGCTCTAGCATTTGATCAAGCTCTAGCATTTGATTAGGCTCTAGTATTTGATTGGGCTCTAGTATTTGATTAGGCTCTAGTATTTGATCAAGCTCTAGCATTTGATTGGGCTCTAGTATTTGATTAGGCTCTAGTATTTGATCAAGCTCTAGCATTTGATTGGGCTCTAGTATTTGATTAGGCTCTAGTATTTGATCAAGCTCTAGCATTTGATCAAGCTCTAGCATTTGATTAGGCTCTAGCATTTGATCAAGCTCTAGCATTTGATCAAGCTCTAGCATTCAAGCTCGTTACAGCTTGATCAAATGCTAGATTTAACTAAGGAATGGCGTCAACTTAAGACCTTTTTGAATAGCATCTAGCTTCTAGCTTCTAGCATCTAGCATCTAGCAGAGTTTTGAAGGCTGACTCCAAATCTATTAAGTTGAACCGAATAAAACTACCGCAAAATCTTTTGTCGTTAAATATTGATTGCTGCCTATCTAATCAATATATTTTGATGTTAGTTAAACCTTGTTTTCTTGCTTGTTTTCTTATAAGCTCTTTCTTATAAGCCTTATAAGTCTTATAAGCCTTTTTTTCACCTCACAAAGCAAACGACGCGATGGTGTAGTGGTTAGTATGGCCGCGCTCGGCACTTTTTGACCCCAGTTTAAATACCCTCACTCTCAATTGTTTTTGCTTTTTTGTTAAGTCATACAAAACCGCTTTTAACCATTTATACAAGATGCAAAATACAATAATGGCAATAATAATGCCACAACCATTGTTGGTGACACAATCATTAAGAAAGAAAAGAAATAAATTGTCAATTATTCAGTATTTGAGTAGATAACATTGGGAAATACTAGTAACAAAAAAGAAATTTCAAAAAAACTCTATCAAATAAGCTAGATGCTATTGAAAAAAAGCGAAATTCAAATATTCAAAAGCTAGATGAGAAAGTTGACTCCATTCTCTAGTAAGAAAAGCTTCAAGATCTTCAAATTCAATCGATTCGATCGTTTTCGATCGTGGCAAAATCGATTTAGCAAGCTTTAAAGGAATTTTCTTAAAGAAACCCAATCTGAATCAGATAGAGCAGATTCTTTTGCATAAATCTTAACTTTTGCAGCTCCATGTCTGTTGTGCGATGTGCCCAGCCGATGCTCCATGCGGTCCCGGAACGCAGGTATTCACAAATCAAATAGTTTTGATAAAAAACAGATTAGTTTAAAAAAAATGACTTTGAATCTTCAGTTTGCTCCCACTTGTCGAAGAGACTGTCCGCCTGGAGACCCCAACTACAGATTTTTCCCTGAACCCGTCACTCTTAACTAACTTTTTTGTCTCTTTTTGTCTTCTCTATATCTTTTTAACAAATCATTTACTTGAATTTACATTTACATTTACAAATCATTACTTTTCTACTCGATGCTAGTTTTTTTCAAATAAATAAGGGTCACTCCCGATATACTCTTTTATTATTAACAAAAAATTCAATCCGCAGTAAAATTTAAAACGGTATTTTTGAGAAAAAGTTATAAGGATTCCTCACGTGGGTTTTTTTCGAGATTCAAAAAGGATCGCGGGTAAGAAAAGAATTTCACTTTTAAACGTGTTTTTTGTATGTTTTGAATAAAGGGATAAGTTTTGGATAAGTTTTTTAGGTATACGCTTGCACAGGTGATTGCTTTATTACTGGATGTGGCCGGGGAATTTGGGCAATTCTCGATGCATTCGCTTATCCGCCAACCTATTTTGTTTGCAAGAAATGCTAAATAAATTTGTTTATTCAAATAGCCGTTCAGCTGTTCTTCTGTTTTGTTGAAAGCTTTTTTTCAAACCCTTTCCAAGCATATTTTTTAGAAAAGGGTTATATTAGCTAAATGTTCTCTTAAAAGCTAGCCGCACAATCATCATGACCATCATATTTCTTATTCATTTGTTGACAAAATAGAAATAGTACAGTCGAACCTTTCTATAACGAACCTCGATATAACGTAAACCTCTCTATAACGTAAGGCGTGACCGGTCCCGGCCGACGTTAAGCTATATAAAACGACACTCTATATAACGTAAACCTCTATATAACGTAAGCTATAGCCGTCCCGTGAGTTACGTTATAGAGAGGTTCGACTGTACATTGTAAATAGAAATTAGTAGTAAATTTATATGCAAGCTAGTAAATCATAATAAAAGAATAAATAAAATCTCTGTAATACAATAGTAAAGAAAAGAAGATTGCTAAATAGACGTGAAAAAAGAAATAAACTGGTAGCTCTTCACCAATTCAACGAGTAAATTTCGTGACAAATTTTCGGATCATTTCCATCTCTCACTGCGATTTGTATCTTCTAAACTTCAACCGTAATCACTCTGAAATAATTAGAAACTTGCATTCTTCCGTTCTTTTCGTATCCTCTTCAAAATCTGTAACATTGCAAGGCAAGCGGCAACGATGTACGCGTTGTAGACCTAGGAAGGATTGATTTTGGTTACGTTAATCTAGTGGCTACCAGACATTGAGCACCAACTTTGATCTATCTACTTTAACTCTGAAATAATCTACTTTAACTATTTTTGGTGTCTATTTAGAAAATTTTATTTCAAAAGAACTCAATTCGTCCGTAATTATCCAAGTTGTCCGTCCAAAGGTGGTTTAAAAAAGGAAAATGAATCAAATACCTTAAAATACCTATTGATTACATTGATTTCGGTTTTCGTGGATGGATTAAGCTGTTGATTAACACTAAAGACTGTCAGAATAGAAGACTTTAATTCAAAGCCATCTCAAAAGCCGAAAGTGTTAGTTTTTGACTCACATAGATCAATGCAGCAATTGTGAGCAAATCGTCAACAGAGAAACTCTTCAAATCCAAGAGCATCGGTAGATAAGCAGACAGTAGGAGAAAGGTTAATTGAGCAAAGAGATGAAGAGCTAAATTGGATTTTAAATTGTTTTATTTGCTGATTTTAATACCTGAAAACGGCCACAACACCGTATAAGCATTTTGCGATTCTGAAGCCGAAAAGTTGGCGTTTAAATCGTACGATCTAGAATTCAAATAGGCTTCATAATTCAGCTATCTTATCTAGGTGTTGATAAAGAATACTAGCAAAAAGTTTCTGGATTGGTTTCTTTTCTGAAAAATTTTCTAGGGAGTCTATGTTGTAAGTGACTTTTTTTCGCTCTTTTGTTTATAGCTCAATTTTCATTCATCAAAACACGATTAAAACTTGCTGTCTAATAGAAAATCGAATACTAACAATGTTTCAAATAATACACGGTGACCAAATCAAATAATTCAAATAATAATGTTTCAAATAATATAATACACGGTGACCTCAAAGTCTAGCGACAACTTTTTGAAAAAGTATCTAGGAAATTTCTAATTTATTTCAAAAGTCCCGACTAGGAGACAAGACTAAGACCCTGACTAAGAGATCCTACGACAGTTTCTTACAACGAATTCGATCCAATCCGAAATTACTCGCACAACTTTTTGAAAAAATAATTGTCACACGCTTAATTTATTTCAAAAGGCTTAAGTGTTATATAAAGAATTGTAGCCCTAATTCTCGGCAACATTTATCTACCAAAAACTTTCCGATTCGACCTATACAACTCATTTAACAAGCGCTAGAATGAGCGCTAGTCATTTGTCGAATCTGTCTAGTCGAATCTGTCATTTTTCCCCTTTTCTCTAAAAAAATTGTTAAGAAAAGCTTTTCAATGTTTCTTTAATGCAAAAATAGCGTTTAACATCACTTAATAACATTAAGAATCTATTTAACTTTAGTTTGTCTCAAAACGAGTACTTCTGGTGCTAGAGTTTCGTTTGATTTCCGTTCAACTTCCACAGAATAGATCGACCAGAAAAGTTGGGTAGTGGAACTAAGTTGATGAACTAGCATAACCAAAATCTAAGTTGATGTCAAGCGGCCAAATGACAGAATCGCCGGAGAGATGTCGACGCTCAATCAAGCGCTTGTAAATGAGTTGTATAAGTCGAATCGGAAAGTTTTTGGTAGATAAATGTAGCCGAAAATTAGGGCTACAATCCTCTACATAACATTTGCCACTTTTGAAATAAATTAGTGGATACTTTTCCAAAAGGTGATCGCTATACTTTGAGGTCACCGTGTATTATCTTAACGTCCTTTAGTTTGGCTAAAGTTAAATAGTTAACTGTGATTCTTAATGTTATTAAATGATGTTAAACGCTATTTTTGCTCAAAAAATATTGCAAAGCTTTTCTTATCAATTTTTATTAAAGAAAAGCGGCCAAATGACAGATTCGCCGGACGGATGTCGACGCTCATTCAAGCGCTTGTTAAATGAGTTGTATAAGTCGAATCGGAAAGTTTTTGGTGGATAAATGTTGGCTTGGCTTGTCTTGCTGCCTATTTAAATCATGTTTATTGCATACAAGTATCAATCTACAGGGTGACCGCAAAGTATAGCGACGACTCTTTGAAAAATTTTCTAGGAAATGTCTAATTTATTTCAAAAGTGGCAAGTGTTATGTAGAGAATTGTAGCCCTAATTCTCGGCAACATTTATCTACCAAAAACTTCCCGATTCGACTTATACAACTCATTTAACAGGCGCTTGATTGAGCGTCGACATCTCTCCGGCGAATCTGTCATTTAACCGCTTTTCTACATAAAGTTTCATTCGGAAAAGCTTTTTTTCAGTCAAATTTATGGTAATTTTGTCTAAAAAAATCATGTTAAGAATTTATAGAAAGCTCTTTGCTCTTTGATGAAACAAAAAACAAAAAGTGTTCTCAAGAATTAGAACAGCACCAAATAAAATGATCAAAGATTACCGATAAAAAGTTTTTCTTATTATACTCTAATTTGTTCTTAGTATTTAAACGCATTTTATCCGTTTATGAACGCAATAAGTTCTACAAAATTCTGAAACAAACCTCTTAAAGTTAAAATTTCTAAAACTTGTTATATTAAACAGTAAATAGCAAACATTTTTGACTCATAATTGATCAACTATTCACTTTTTTGCGTTCCTCTTCCGTCGCCTCAGTAAAAACATGATAGCAATACTGATAATATCAACAATTGGAGAACAAATAAGGAAAATCTCGGTTTTCAGCGCAGTTGTCACGTTTGGATTCGAACAAAATGGGATTAGTGCCTCAAAATCTTCACTTGATAGAATCCAACCATAGACTCCAACTGCGTAGATTGTCTGTAAAGAAGAAAAATCAATAGTATGGCTTTAATTTAGTCAAATGCCGGTCTTTAACGGTAGTAAACTTGATGCTAACCAGTGCTAATGTTTTTCTATCTATCACCAAACAAACCTAACACCAGACTAACAACAAACAACCACAAACAAACAACAAACCAAACCAAACAAACAAATTAAACCAAATCAAACGAACCAAACAAACCAAACAAACCAAACAAATCAAACCAAACCAAACAAGCCAAACCAAATCAAACAAACCAAACAAATGAAACAAATGAAACAAATGAAACCAAACCAAACCAAACCAAACCAAATCAAACCAAACCAAATCAAACCAAACCAAACCAAACAAACAAACCAAACCAAACAAACCAAACCAAACCAAACAAACCAAACAAACCAAACCAAACCAAACAAACCAAACCAAACAAACCAAACCAAACCAAACAAACCAAACCAAACAAACCAAACCAAACCAAATCAAACCAAACAAATCAAACCAAACAAATCAAACCAACTAAACAAACCAAACAAACAAACCAAACCAAACAAAGCAAACCAAACAAACCAAACCAAACCAAATCAAACCAAACAAATCAAACCAAACAAATCAAACCAACTAAACAAACCAAACAAACAAACCAAACCAAACCAAACAAACAAATGAAACAAACCAAAGCAAACCAAACCAAACAAACAAATGAAACAAACCAAAGCAAACCAAACCAAACAAACAAATGAAACAAACCAAAGCAAACCAAACCAAACAAACCAAACAAACCAAACCAAACCAAACAAATCAAACCAACCGATACTGTGATCAGCAATGGACCGATGATCATTTTTTGTTTTTCGTACTCGAGCCCGTAGTAGCTTGCAACGATTCGCTCAATGCAAAGCGATAAATGAAGAGCCGACGCGATGATAATAGCGATCGTGTTTGGCCCTTTAACAATATCACAGAAAAGAGTTGACACAAAGATTGCACAGCCACTCTTGAGAAAATAAGTGAACATAAGATAACCCTAAAATTCTATTTATCAAAAAAGATCTTATCGATTACCATAGTAAACGTAAAGCTAAGTCCATTGAGAAAAAGCCAGACGAACGTTGCGATCAATAGAGACTAAAAATTTTTTTGATAATTTAAAAGTAAAATCATCACACAAAACATAAAGTAAAATCATCAAAAACTCGAAATTTGTTTGTTAAAAATTTAATCAAAACTTTGGAGATATAATTGTTTGTAATCTAGTTCTAAAAAATAGCAAAATCTTCGCTATTCGATCAGCTAAATATTGAAAAAAACCGAAAGTAGAAACAAGTAGAAAACAAAGCAATTTTCTAAAAGCTTTATGACATGGGATTCTATTTTTCAACCCCTCAAAATCGATCGTAATGGGGACCAAACCAATCGAAGTAGGTAATGGGGACCAAATGAATCAAAAAATTTAGAATTTGTTAAAAACTATTTTAAACAATAACCCTTCAGCCAAAACGTACAAAAAACATGTTTAAAAGTGAAATTATTTTCTTATCCGCGATCCCTTTTGAATCTCTCCAAAAACCCCACGTGAGGAACCCTTATAATTTCATCAGCCGATCTCATCGAGTTTTGCCTAATCAAACACGTCTATTCAGCAAATTTAGTTTCAATTTAATGTTGATTTTTTCTTTGATTTCATCTTTTCTTGATTTCTCGAGAGAATTTAGACTTAGACTAAACTAGATTTAGATTTAGACTAAACTGAAAGCATTATGAATAAGTAGCACTCTTGAGAAGCATAGCATGGCTGATTTTAAGCGAATGGCAAAAATTTGAAAGCAAACGTACCTAAATAGAGCACCTATAATAGCTAGTTAGTGGACATGCGATCCGATTGATCTGATCGGATTGACCCCACCCACTTTCCACCGACATACCGTAAATATTGTATTAGAATGATGTGGGATTCTATTTTTCAACCCCTCAAAATCGTTTGATCCAAAAAATAGATAAAGAGGGACCAAATGAATCAAAAAATTTAGAATTTGTTAAAAACTATTTTAAATAATAGCCCTTTATCCAAAACGTACAAAAAAACACGTTTAAAAGTGAAATTATTTCCCTTTTGATCCCTTTTGAATCTCCAAATCCATGACCTTTATATTTTTAAATGAATAGAGGCTTTATCTAACTGGTCTTGTGGGCTATACCAATAAAATTTAGAAACCTGGCCCGAGCTCTGCTACTGTTCATCTAACAACCCGAGAAAGCTGTTATTTCAGAAATTCACCGAAGCGCTCAAACTTCTGAACCTCTGAGCAACGATGAAAACGAGGTAGAAGAACAATATCAGGTTTCTTTTGCTTTTCATTCATTCATAGAATCCCCGATAAGGGGCAGTCTTTAGACTTTAAACCGCCTGACTCCTCGAAATCTTGACTTTAGTCTTTAGTCAAGATTTCGAGGAGTCAAGCGGTTGTCATTCTATTAGAGGATGTCATTCTAATACAGCATTTACGGTACCCTAATGTTTCAGTGAAAAAACGCACCTTGCAATTCAGATGAAAGTACGATTTGTTAAAAGAGTTAAATGTTAAATAATAAAATTTGTTAAATAATAAAAGAGTATATCGGGAGTGACCCTTATTTATTTGAAAAAAACTAGCATTGAGCATTGAGTAGAAAAGTAATGATTTGTAAATGTAATTTCAAGTAAATGATTTGTTAAAAAGATACAGAGAAGGCAAAAAGAGACAACTGTTATTTCAGAAATTCACCTAAGGGCTCAAGCTCCTGTACCTCTAAGCAACGATGAAAACGAAGTAGAAGAACAATATCGGGTTTCTTTTGCTTTTCCTGGCCTGTTCTTTAGTACGTCTCAGGAAATTTCCACTCAGGTTTTCATCTTCTTTTCTAACCTTTAAAATATTTGATAGACGTCTTCTACTACCCAATTCCAGCCATTACTATCAATCAATCGATTGTATAAATATTGTATTAGAATGACATGTTATTCTATTTTTCAACCCCTCAAAATCAGCCGATCCAAAATGTAAGCGAATGGTAAAAATTTGAAAGCAAACGTGCCTAAATCAGGCACCTATAATAGCTAGTTAATAGACATGGGATCGGATTGATCCAATCGGATTGACCCCATCCACTTTTCACTCACATACCGTAAATAATGTATTAGAATGACATGTCATTCTATTTTTCAACCCCTGTTGCCACTGCTCGAATTGTCACTGCTCTGCAGTTAGTCAAAAATCCAATACACAAGTTAAAATCCAAAGTTGATGGATAAGCTACCGTAATCAGTCACTAGACGATATTCAGCTGTCCGTTTGTTGTAGCTTGTATACTTAAAAACTCGTTATTTAAGCTTTGCTTTTGAGTGAGTTTTTGTTCTCCTTTCTTTTGCTATCTCTATCCCTTTTTTCACATGCAAGTGTTGAATTAATTGTGATCGTGCCAGGTTGCTCCAGTTTGAGCGAAGTTTGCCCTAATAAGGGAAAGTTTGATAAATTGTGCGCTTTCAAGACGACCACTATTGTACCACACCGAGACACGGTCTCACAAGAAATTATATAGATCAAATCATAAACATATATTTCTTACAACCCCTCAAAATCGCTTGGTCGAAAAAGTAGGTAAAGAGGGACTACATGAACGTTAGAATTTTTTAAGAACTATTTTAAACAATAGCCCTTTATCCAAAACGTACAAAAAACTCGTTTAAAAGTGAAATTATTTTCTTACCCTTTTGATCCCTTTTGAATCTCGAAAAAAACCCACGAGGAATCCTTATAACTTTTCCCAAAAATACCGTTTTAAATTTTACTGCGGATTGAATGTTAATAGATTTTAGGTCTAGATCTATTCATAGAATCCCCGACAGTCTTTAGACTTTAGACCGCCTGACTCGTCGAAATCTTGACTTTAGTCTTTAGTCAAGATTTCGAGGAGTCAAGCGGTTGTCATTCTATTAGAGGATTTCATTCTAATACAAGATTTACGGTACCCTAATGTTTCAGTGAAAAAACGCACCTTGCAATTCGGATGAAAGTACGATTTCTTGACTTCGATGATGGCGGGAATACAGAGAATGATACCGATAATACTGAGAATAATTTGAACGAGAAGAATGATGTGAAATCGAGCATGAAGAGTGTAGTAAGCCGCTGTTGCGAGACAAAACGATTCATTCATTCATTCACTATTTCTCTGAAAGGTGAATGAAAATCTGAATGAGAGTTTTGTTTAAAACCAAGCATGCAAAAAAGATGAGCCGGAAGGAAAGTTTTGAACAAGCTAGCGGTCGAAAGATTTAGGGAAAAAAACCGGAAGAAAATAAAAGGGAAAAGGTCTGGGTCGATCTTTTTCTTTCTTTGAGAATATCTTTAAAATTAAGGAATAATCTAAATTGAATAAATTGATCAAAATTTCGAGATAGCTAAAGACAAACTGAATTCGGTTTGGTTTTGGCTTGGCTTAGTTTAGACCGTGCCAAAATCAGGCTAAATCATTGAGTATCTTTGAGGAGAAAATACTAAAAAAAAATACGGAAAGCAATACTGAAAATCATGGAATTTAAGCATTTTTTCTATTAGACTATCTCATAGGTCTTGGTAACACTTTGTTTTTTCGCCTGGCCACCCTCAAGTCTCGATCAATCTCAAGTCCCGAATAATTCTTTATGCACTCGACTTTCCCCGTTCTATTTACATCCAAAATGTCGGCTTATCAGTCCCCTTTCAAAATATTTCATACGCAGACTCCAATGCTGCTTCTATTGTTTTTATTCAAAGGCTACCCCAGATCTTCCACAAGGATATTCCAAACGTTATGTTGTACCTTTCAAAAAGGAGCTTCTTTGTCGGTGGTCTAGAATAATATTGAAAACGTGTATGGTAATGACGCTCCTTCCAAAAACACAATTCAACGTTGGTTTGCCAAGTTAAGAAATTGTGAGAATTCCCTTAAAAACGAAGAACGTGTGGGAAGACCTTATCAATTGAAAAATGAAGAGATTCTTCAGAAAATTCAAGACAACTCTTTACTTGTGAAATAGCGGATACGATTGGGCAATCACATTCAACAATTGAGAGACATCTTCATAACCTTTCTAGGTTTTAAGTCAATTTTTGGCCAATGGAGACCCTTACAGACCCAATGAAAGGGTAGAGATCATCAATTTCAGCTAAAATCTTTCGACACATGAACAGAAATCTTTTTTGTCGCGCTTAGTGACAGGAGAAATGGATTCTCAAAGAACTTTCAAAGAAGCGTTAGTGGGTAGGGCCTAAAGTTACAGCTGCCAATGATGTCCTTCCTGACCTTGACCAAAAGAAGTTTATTCTATCAGTTTGCTGGGATCTCAATGGAGTCATTTATTGGAAACTTTTTGAAAATAAGCAGACTGTTAATGCTTTTTTATACAGCAATCAGCGACAAAAGCTCGAAGAAGAAATCAAAAAAAAACGACCTGAATTGAAGAAGATTCTTCTCAACAATGCCAAATAGGGTAAAACTCACTTGTGCCACAACCCACAGCTTGGAAGCACAGCCACAATCCACAGCACAATCCCTAGAAGTCTTACTTCACCCTCTTAATTCTAGAGATCTTGTCCAATCGTTTTATCATCTTTTTCAATCAATACAATATTTTCTGAATGGAAAGTAGTTTCAAAACGAAGACGACCTCAAAAAATCGCTTTAAAAATTTTCTAGAAGAGAGAAATTCGCCAACTTCCAACAAAATGGGTAAAGGTTATCGAAAATAATAAAAACTATTTCAAGTAAACTGCTTTTTTTTGGTTGTTAAATTGGGTGATTGTTAGATTTTGAAATAAAAATGTTTACTGGACTTACGAAAACTTATGAGTCAACTTAATCGATTGGTTAGAGGCTGGGCTGGATCTAGAAAGAAAAATAAAACAAGATACAAGTGCATAGAAACTAGTATAGCAAAAGGAAACAGAGGCAAAGCGATATATGAATAAATTCTCGAGTTTAACTGCATCAAAGTTTTACTCAGTTTTCCGTTGATTGGTTGAAAAGTTGAAGAAGAGGAATTCAAATTATGGCCACGAAATGCGGCGAACTTGTAATTAAAGGCCATCAGGGAGTTGACAGAGTTCTTCAATCATAATACTTTAAAAAAGCACAATCAGTCAACTTAATTGGCATTTGTACAGTGATTAGTGCTTTATTCAAAAAAAATTCAATTTATTTAATATTCATTCCGCTTTTAAGTTCTTAAAGCTAAAAAGCTTTTAAGTTCTTTAAGCTAAAAAGCACCTGTCTTTTTAGTCTTCTGACCCAATTCATGAAAAGATTAATTGTTGGAAATGCACTCATGCTTGTCATCATTTTTTTTCAAAGCATTTAAAACCAAAGTCAATGAAATTTCGATTTTTCTCCTTAAGCTTACTTATTTGACTTTCATATGAGTTAGAATTAAAGAAAGAATAAATCCCTGATGGCTTCCTGATGGCCCCTGATGGCCTTTAACTCTCTGATGGTCTTTAATTAAAAATTCGCCTCATTTTGTGTCCAACGGAAAACTGAGTAAAACTTTGACCCAGTTAAATTCGAATTAAATTAACAAATCTCTAATTAAAAATATATTCTGATAAAATGCAAAATCAATTTTTAAGAGATTATAGCTGACAGTGATGGTTGTGCAAAGATATTAGGAAGATAGGAATGGAACTAGCGCTCATATACCGTATTTTCTCTAATAGTAGTGCACCTTGAGCGTCACCTAAATTGTTCGAAATCTCGAGAACCGCTTATCAGAACCTATCGATGTGGGATCGGAAAATGTAGCTGACAATGGGATCTAGTGGGGATTAGAGTGTTAAGCTTCTTCAAAAGCTTGGAAACCGTAAAATAGTCACCAACTCGGCGGGGTGCACTACTATTAGAGAAAATACGGTATCTTTTCAAAAGTAAAAAGACTTTAAGCCTTAGCTAATAAGTGTTGTATACTGTTCGAAAGCCCTGAATCTCCTCTACAAAATAGTGCATAAAGATTTTGAATTGGATTGATTCTTGGGGACTTGGGTGACTTTTAAGTTGATAGGTCAAAAATCATCATTTTCTGGAAAATGTGCTAGTAATAGCCTGGTTTTTTTATTAGAAAATACCGCTAATTAAAGTTATTTTGAAATAACATAAAAGATAAGATCTGCTTTTGTTTGTTCGTCTTCTAGAGCTAAATCTTTGTTGGAAAAAGTCCAATTTTAGACTAAAAACGGGTACTTTCAACTTTGGATTCCCATATCTCGATAGAATCTAAGCAGATCGTTTGAATTTTTGTATAAATATTGAGTAATGTATATTTTTAATATACTGGAAGAATGTCAAGCAAAAAGATCCGTGGAAGCAATAGTTGCCAGCAGGCGTAGATACCCAGGTTGAGACTCGATCTGCGATTACTTTTTAACACCTAAGTACCCAATAATCAATCCAATTCAAAATCTTTTTACACTATTTTGTAGAGGAGATTCAGGGCTTTATAATAGTGTATAACACTTATTGACTGAGGCTTACAATCTTTTTATTTTTGAAAAGATATATGAGCGCTAGTTTCATTCCTATCATCCTAATATTGGGTTGGGGAGAATGAGTCGGCGCCGAAAATCAAAAAAAAAGGCTAAAACTTCTATTCGACTTTGTCAAATAATATGCGTTTGATATGAGTAGAATGGTTAACTAATTCTCTACAAAATGACATTTAAAAGAAAATTCAAACAGCGCCTCCGCTCAAGAAAAAGCCATTTTTTCACAAAAACTACAAACGGTGATCTAGAAAAAACCATTGGTGGGATCTTCCTGCAAATTTGGCAACTTAAGTAATTGAATGTGCTCTATCTTTTTTATATAAACACCAAAGAAGGTTTATGTGAAAGAAACTGTTCAAATGATGAGTCGGACTCTTAGCCATTTTAACCAGCTGCGTTTCGAAGTTCATAAACTCCACGAAAGAAAAGCTTTGTGGAATCTCTCAAAAGTGATTTTGTAGAGAAATAGTGGATCCTTTTGATGAAACCAAACGTATGTTTAAAGAAGGCTTTATGTGTGCAAAAAGTCCCTTTAAAGTTCGGCGCCGACTCATTCTCCCCAACCCAATAGATGCGATTACCGTATTCTCTCTAATAGTAGTGCGCACTACTATTTTTTCAACCCCCTCCTGGACCGCAATACTATTAGAGAGTGCACTACTATTAAAGAGTGCACTACTATTAGAGAGACTACGACATTCGGATTATCTGTATTTTCAACTTTGGATTTTCATATCTCGATAGAATCTAAGCAGATCGTTTGAATTTTTGTATAAATATTGAGTAATGTATATTTTTAATATACTGGAAGAATGTCAAGCAAAAAGATCCGTGGAAGCGACTTTACTCAGAAACTTAAAATTAACAATTCTATAGAACTCCATACCTTCAAAACTTGAGAGCTTCTGGGACTCTGGGACGCGGCTCTTTATAACCAAATTTTGTGCTTAAGTGTTATCTTTTTACATTTAAGTTTAATGCTTGAGTAAATAGACGAACTGGCCTAGTAAACAATTTAACAAGTCAGAATCATTCAAGAAATCATCATCACCAATGGCTGGGATAATCTTTGAGCTATTACTAATTTGATACGGGCTAACCTGATTTGTAATTTTGGTTTTATGAGATATCAGTGATTCATTTTACATTAATGATTCATTTGCAGATCTAGTACAGAAAATGTCAAGTGATAAGAGTTCAAACTCTCTAGAATTCTCTTTAAAAATCAAAATTTTCCGGAAATCTTTCAGGAATCTCTCTAGCTTGTTTCCTATTAGTCATTATTTTCTTCAAAAAAAGGCTTATCAATCTACTTCCAGACTCTCCTAGATAAGGACTCAAAATTCTGAAAGTGAAGGGGGTAATCTTCAAATCGAATGTCACCAATCAGAGATATTCTTTTCTTTTTTGGCTTGACTTTGTCATTGATCGAATCATGCTCAAATGGAGGATACCCAGTACCAAATGATAATGTTTGCGTATACTTGAATGCTGATCGTAAGTTATTTAAACCTGTTAGGATCATAGCAAACCTAGGAATTTATCAGATTTTGATTTCTTTGGCATTGCAGAATTAGATCTTAAAGAAAATTTCTTAAATTGCTTTTGGAGTGTTTCGACTTTTGATCGACTTTGATAGCAGCCTTTTAATAGCAATGTTGATCATGAGTGACTTTGTCTTTGAACTTACCAGACCCCTTATGCTACACTCCGGGAAAGTTACCAGATTCTATGATCTTTACGGCAACACCTTTGATCTTTCCGGTAAAACGTCCATAGTTTTCCCGCAGAGCGGACTTTTCTTCCAGAAAGTTTCCGGAAAAACTTTCCGGTCAAGCAGACTTTTCTTTGAAAAGTTCCTCGGAAAGTCTTACCGGAAACTTTCTGGAAGAAAATTACGTCCACGAGAGAACTATGGACGTTTTACGGGAAAGATCAAAGGTGTCGCTGTAAAGAGCAGCGACGCTGCGAGAACTTTTCCTGGAGTATAGCATACGGGTTCAGAATCAGGCCGAGAAATTTTACCAAAGCTCCGGATCATATTAGTTGATTTATTGATTTTTCTAGGTAATAATGAGTCCAAAAATGAATCCAAAAAGCCAAGAATCAATCCAAAAATTCTTAAAATTACAAAAGCAGTTGTTTTCAGAGTTTATTAGAGTTTTTGATTACTTTCTTAGTTTCAGAAAGATTCAAAAGAGAATTTTTCTTTTAACTTTTTTGGTTATGCTTTCAATAGCAAATCTATTTGCTGTTATTACTTTAGCTATCTTTGTTTACTTAATTACAAGGCTAAGTTGTAAGACTAAAGAATATTTCTAGCCTTTTGAAACTCTTAAGAGCTCCTATTCCCCTATTACTCTTATTGTATTGCTAACTTTTTTTCAGAGCAATACTACATCGATACGATTCGTCACTGCGCGACTCTGGGAAGCGATGGGATTCCGGCAAAGATCAAGAATATTTACGAGAATGCCTATATCTATGCTTTATTGCCAACAAGTTTGTGAAGATCTCTAAAACAGAAATAACGTCATTTACAGTTCTTGGTGCCAATGATGGAGCGTACATTGGGCTTGAAAGGAAAGCGAATAACTTGTGGTATTATGCTGACGGGTCACCGGTCACCTATATGAATTGGGCTACAGGTAAGATTGAATGAAAGCCGAAAAACCCGCTTAATAGCGGTTTTTCCTGGCAGGCTGGTTGCCTGTCGTCGTGGAGCAGCCGGGAGCGCGCTTTGCTATGAAATGCGTCAAAAAATACCATATTTCTAAATATGAATATTACCATTGTGTAGCCCTTGAAAAGAGCTTTCAGAAAATGTATAACACTAATAGTTTAAACTCAAAGACAAGGGAGTTACAGACGCGCGAAACTGACGATCGTTTTTCAAATATGATATTTCATTGTCCAGTACTGAACATATAGAGCCCCACCCTAAAGAGGGTATGAAAAAATGGAGCCTCATCCCTATAGGCTATAGTAATGGAGCTATACTATAGCCTATAGGCTGTATAGGCTATATTATAGCCTCGCCCAAATTACAAATCACATTTATGCAAACATATTCATGTAAATTATCGGTTATACCCACCGCATATTTTTTTTATCATAAAAATATGTCAAGTTTAATATGAGTAGATTTACTTTATGGGCTAAATATGTTTAAATTATACTTCTAGATTGAATAAACCTTTGAAAATGCTACATAAAACTAAAAACTATATTTGAATGTGATTATTATGAAATTATAAACCAAGTGAATATTGACTGGCCAAAACTTTTTTTTCATTACTGTATTTACCTCTGATTACACAATGATTGCATTGTGTAATCAGAGGAAATGACCATTTCACCGCACGACATTTCGCCACAAAATTTATGGCTGCTCGCATAGCTCCTCGGAGAGTTCACATTCAAATCTGATTTCAAATTCAGAAACTAGAGATAATTTAGCGTTGTTTAGTACTATTAGGTTGATGCAAAAGTCTTTTTCATTTTTTTCGTACTTCTGTTAAAAAGTAACAAATTCACCAATTAATCTATAGTTTGCTCTATAAAAAAAGTGTTTTTTTGTTCAATTTGCATCTTTTTAAATGAATTTCGGTTCACTTTCAAGCAAATTCGAGAGTGAAAAACGCCTTTTTCGTAAAAATCTATAAAAAACTCTACGGGAAAATTGGCTGAATGAATTTCTCTGAAATTTTGGCGAAATATCAAACGTTTTTTTTCTCTATCTTTTATCTATTGACACGAAGATAGGTTTTCTTTAGCTAAGGTGTCTAAACCGCATCATCGAGTTAGCCCTTTTTGACTACCCGACTTCATACTCTCAAGAAAATCCAGGCATTAAATATTTTTAAACCCGTTTTAATGTTATTTTGCAGAAAAATAATTCGTTTTTCTAATGAAATCAACCGTAGTTTAATTGGTGCATTTGTTGGCTTGAAACGGCAGACGAAAAGGAACGAAAAGACTTATGCATCAACCTAATATTCTAAAGTTTTCTAAAGAAATTTTGACTTTATTGGTCAAGAAAAGGCTAAGAAAAGATAGACAAACAGACAGACACACAAACACTGCTCTTTTCTAGATAAGATGTGGCGAAAGTTCTATCCTTTTTAGAATTCTCTCTTAGAACTCTTCAGAATTCTCTAAATTCTCTCTAAAAGCTTTCTGCTTGATTTTATTTTATAATTGTTTATAGCTAAAATCTAGCCAATCTTCTACAGAATTTAAATCTTATTACAGTTTTTAAATGACTTCTTTAGATTTTGAGTTATCGCTTTTCGAAAAAATCTCTGTGCTTGCGCATATTTTTGCGTTTTTTTTATAAAAATTACAAACTCATTGAAAAAAAGTTGTTGTATTTCCAGTTTAAAACTGATAAACAATGTTTTTTGAATACTTCTAATCGTCTGAGTTTTAATTTTGACAGATTTTCTTATACTGGTAATACTAATAACTGGTGCGAGCTCTCTGATCTGATCTCTCTGAACTCACAGAAATTGTGATAACTCAAAATCTAAAGAAATTATTTAAAAACTATAACAAGTTTTAAATTCTGTAGAAAATTGGCTATCTTTTGCCTATAAACACTTACAAAATAATAAAAATTAGAGAGAACTTAATTAAAGAGAAAAAGGATAGAACTTTGTAGAACCGTGTTTAGTAGAAAAGTGACTTTAAACTCGCCTTTTACTAGTTCTTTGCCAGTGTTGATTCGCCTTACTCACTATCAGTAAAGACATCATTATTTTCAATGGCTTCTTCCAGGTGAACCAAAAAACTCATCAAGTCTCTGTGCCATTATGGATCCACAAACAGGGAAATGGATATCAGCTGACTGCTCAGTGGCGAGGCCATATGTGTGTTCGCTGATTGAAGGTGAGACTCTTTCTTTTGAAATAATAAAAACCATCCAGCCCAGAAAAGTTATAAAACAAGATATCAGATCTATCAGGCCTAGGTCCCAAGTTATCTCAAGCCCAAGTTATCTCAAGCCCAGGTTATATCAAGCCCGAGCTAAATCAAGCCCAAGCTATCTCAAGCCCAGGTTATATCAAACCCAAGTTATCAAGCCCAAGTTATCTCAAGCCCAAGTTATAACAATATCAAGCCTCGTTGAAGGTATTTCTGATATTTCTAAGAACAGTTTAAAATTTCCCATATCCTGACTGAAAACCCGAATCAATCTGAGCTGATTCTACAATATTTACCTTTCATTATAACCGTGATAACATGAATTTTAGTAAACACTAGCACCAGTGTTCAGCCAACCAAGGTCAACCCGACTTCAGGCCCAATCGGTCCAGGTGGTTGCCCGAATGGATGGACTTATTTCGCGGCAAATGATGACTGTTATTACGTACAGGTTGCTTAAATCTATTTGTCAATAAAATACCCAACTCTCTAGAATTTCACCTATACTGATGGAGTGCACTGGCAGTTGTACGGTGCGGGAACAGCCGAAGGAAAGTGCGAAGCTATGGGCGCAAATTTGGTCTCGATTCACTCGAAAGGCGAGGATGGATTTGTTTATGGTTTGTTCTTGCTGTCAAACATAGAACGAGAAGACAGAAGTCTTTAAAAAGTGCACATAGGAATCAAAAGTTAAGCAGTCTTTTTGAAGCCAATAAAGGAATTTAGGCTCTAGAATTGATTTAAGTCTTTAAGCTAATCCAGCTAATAAATAAAACTAGACCTAGACCAATCTAGTGCTTTTTTCTGTTTTTGTAAAGTGTCAGCTTCTAGTCAGCCTTAGAATGATTGGTCTGACTCTTAGAGTTTTCAAAACTAGAGTCAGAGTCTGATCTAGATCGTTCTGATCTAGGTCGTTCTGATTTAGATCGTTCTGATCTAGTCTGATTTAGATCTAGATCGTTTTAACCTTGCTTTGGAGAATCTAAGAAACTTACTGACTTGAGCCAACTAGTAGCTAGAGATAACTCAACATCTAGATCTGATTTGATTCTAGATCTGATTCTAGATCTGATTCTAGATCTGATTCTAGATCTGATCACCTCCAACGTTAGTAGGATGAAAAATGTGACGACAGACGACAGTCCGTGTGGTCACCAGTATGCCTGGATTGGATATCATGGAAATGGAAAGGGACAAGGCAATTGGACTGATGGAAGTCCAGTCGATTATCTGGGAGACAACGCGAAATTCTTTCGAAATATCAAGCAGTATTGGATGGTATGTAAAGTACTTTACTACTATAAAGCCATAAAGCTTTTGAAAGCTTTTATAAAACTATAAAGCTAGACTATAGCTAGCTAGACTATAATAGATACTATAGAGCTTTTCAAGCTTTTATCGAACTCAATAACTACTTATGAAGTTTTTATCGAACTCAATAGCTACTTATGAAGCTTTTATCGAACTCAATAACTACTTAACAAGTTTATTTTAACATTAGGTTATTAAAAACATTGGAAAACAAGAGGTGAAATTAGAAATTGAAATAGAATTCTCGAATTCAGAGTATCTAGTTTCTAGAAGCTCTAGTTTCTAGAAGCTCTAGTTTCTAGAAGTTCTAGTTTCTAGAAGTTCTAGTTTCTAGAAGCTCTAGTTTCTAGAAGCTCTAGTTTCTAGAAGCTCTAGTTTCTAGAAGCTCTAGTTTCTAGAGGCTCTAGTTTCTAGAGGCTCTAGTTTCTAGAGGCTCTAGTTTCTAGAAGTTCTATAGTATCTTTTATAACATCTTTTCTTTTCTTAAACCTGTTCAAGTCACAAGCCAAATCCTGGTCTTTCAATCTAGGATTCATTGGTCTAAAATTGAAGATTAAGGCTAGATTTATTAAGTCTAAATTTATTAAGGCTAAATTCAAGATTCGTGCATAGTTTTATACGAAATACTTTAACTTCAGTTAAGTTGGCATTTAGGCTGGATTAGTTGGCATCTATTTAGTTGGCAAATGATGATTCTTGTGGTATGCATGCGTGGTATGGATCCACCGATATTGCCACTCCAGCTCGTTTCGTCTGCAAGAAGCCCTCATCAAGAATTCGATAAAAAGCACGAGATCTTAGAAATTCGAAATATGGCAAATATGACAAATACATTATAAATACATTAAATCGCAAATACATTATGAAAAACTTTATTTGAGCAGAAACTCAAAACACTCGCAACACCTTTATTTAAAGGGTGCGCCAGAATTGTCGTAACAAGGTATCACGTGTGGTAACAAGGTAAACCTGACTCTTCTCAAGGATAAACTCTTGCCTTGAGCTCGTAAACATTTTGGAGATCGCATTTGGACTTATCAGATGGTCACAAATCCAAGAAAGTCTAAGAGTTCTGTCAAAGCAACTTCCCGGATTTCATTTCTTTTTCTGAGTAGCCACCTAGCTCTAGAGATCAGTTTTAGAAGCCAAAACTAGTTCAAGGCTTCACAAAAACATTGAAAGCTTGAAGAAATCACTGTTGAAAGCGTGAAAAGAGCTCGATCCAGCCTATTTGGCTCGATCCAGCCTATTTGGCTCGATCCAGCCTATTTGGCTCGATCCAGCCACCATTTAGGCGTTTTCGAAACGCCTTCAAACCTGTTCAAATGCTAAAGGTGACTGATTCGAATTTGATAGTTCATTTATAATTTTTAATGTATAATAAATGTTATTCAGTTAAAAATTTGTCTTTTTTTGCTCTTGTCTGCCTTAAAATGAGAACTTTATTTTGTTGTGACAATTAGACTCACTCAAAAGTCGTCCATGTATACAGGGTACTTTACTTTGTAAGTACGAGTTTCTATATCGAGAAACTTTGAAACTTTAGCTATGAATTGTAAAGCATATTATAGTTTTGATTAAATAATAAAGGCTAACTAAGGTTAGTTATTTTATGTTAATTTATAGAAGAAAAAGCTTTAGATATAGAGATTTTTCAAGAATTTTGCTATTACATAACAAGAATCTCTATTACATGACAAGGATCTAGCTATTATATGAAAAGAATCTAGCTATTACTTGACAAGGATCTAGCTATTACCTATCAAATTTTCTCAATAATTTCTCTGGCAAATCTTTGGATAGAAAAGTGATAAAATAAAATAAGTTCTTCTGCAAAGGAAGGGGAATCAAGAGAAACTGTGAGAGCAAGGAAGTAAAGGGAAAAAAACTGAAAAAACCGGATCTCCAATCAAGGATTTTTGCAAAAAAATTGTTTTCGATTCGTTTTTCTCAGGTCAACGTTGACATTTGCCAGTCAAATTCTTTGGTTTTTATTAGTCAAAATTGAATTCATTTTCTAGACTACCGTATTTTCTCTAATAGTATTGCACTTCGCCGAGCCGAGTTGATCACTATTTTACGGTTTCCAAGCTTTTGCAGAAGCTCAACACTCTAATCCTTCAGTGTCACCGTCAGCTGCATTTTCCGTCCCCCTCGATAGGTTCTGATAAGCGGTTCTCGAGATTGAGGAATTTAGGCGCCGGGCGGGCTTCATTCCCGAAAATACGCGTTATCGGGTTTGGGCTCTCAGCCCGGGGGCGTCCGGGGGGCCCAACCCGGAACTGCCGTATTCTCTCTAATAGTATTGCACTTCGCCGAGCCGAGTTGATCACTATTTTACGGTTTCCAAGCTTTTGCAGAAGCTCAACACTCTAATCCCTCAGCTAGATCTCATCGTCAGCTACATTTTCCGTCCCCACATCGATAGGTTCTGATAAGCGGTTCTCGAGATTTCGAGGAATTTAGGCGACGCGTCGCCTAAATTAGTGCACCCTGAGCGTCGCGACGCTCAGAGTGCACTACTATTAGAGAAAATCAATTGTAATCGATATTTGATTCTTTTAATCGCTTATAAACTAGTGACCCTGATAATTTTAAATGTTATTTAGTGAACCAGTTGACAAGTTTGATTTTTACTACACTCAGTCAACCCAACGAATTTCACAGAACTTGCTTAGCCATGAAAATGGCTGGTGTGCAAACATTTATGGACGTCGTGCGCACATTTGCCGACATTTGTGAGCAGTGGATGGATGTTCGGATGACGATGGAGGATGGATGTTTTACGAATTTCACTACACCCCAAGAACAAAACGCGTTTTTTGAAGTGAGCAATAAGAGAGGGAAATCGTCTTTTTACAGAAACAAACGGGTTACGGTTTTACATTTAGTTGAAATCATCACGAAGCCCAATAAATCCGGCATTTTCTTTCAGTAACATTGAAGAAAATTCTAGCATTTACGCGATTCGCTACAAGAAACCGTGTATTTACCCTACCATGGAACGTGGATGCTCCCAATGGCTGTGATGGGACTCGTGTTGACAACACTTTATCTTCGTGAGTTCTAGCAGTTATTTTGGTTCCTATTAGATTTACTATTGACTTACTATTGACTAACTATTGATTTACTATTGATTTACTATTGATTTACTATTGACTTACGATTGACTTACGGTCGCGTCCGTTTCCTTCCTATTTGCGTTGCTAATTTGCAATTATTCGCGTCGCATTTTTCGCCCTTTTCTCCCTTCCCAAAATTGTTTTTTTTTTGGTCTGCGGGTTGCTTTTTCTTTCTTTCTGGGGGGACTTGGTTGTTTCTATTGATGCGCATGCTGTTTTTGTAATGGGTATTGTTGCATTTTGGTTTTGTACTAATAAACAGTAAAATTATAAATTCACTTTACTTTATGCTACCCTTCAGGTTTTAAATCCTGTTTAGATAACTGGTTTAACATTGTAGAGAGCTTACTAACATTTGTGTCTACAGACGAGTGTTAATCCTCGTGTTGGATGTTGCGCGTTCTTGTCATGTTGTAAGGGCTTTGGGGAAACCCTTTCAACCTTCTTTGTGCAATTCGGCTATTCTGAAGTAAAATCATCCCCTCGATGATAAGGTTAAAGCGGGCCACACCCCAAACTTTACTATTGACTTACTATTGACTTACTATTAAAAGTTTGGTGTTATCCATACATATTAGGTTGACCAGAAAGGCTTGTTCGCCTTTTTAAAGGTTACTTTTTGATCTGATAAACCAATCGATCTATGGTTTCTTTTATCAGAAAGTTTTATTATTTATTGACTAATTCCTCTTTAAGAAATTCTAAAAAGCTCTCGTTATTTGTTTTTATTAAACTGGGAACATTAGTTCGGTTGGGTGGGGGCAGTATAACTAGCGTTCAAGGTTTAAAAGAACCAAATAACACAAACAAAAAAGGCCCTCTTAAACTGCAAGAAAAATAAATAATAAAACTGCCGATAAAAGAAACCATGGAATCGACAGTTTATCAAATCAAAAGTAA